ACCGTTACAGTAATGGGTCAAGAAAGTTTCTTGAAGAAAATAAGAAAGTTGTAGGTTTTTTTTTCGTAGTATAATTACAATACCATCATTCGTAAATTACTAAATATTTTTAGTGTAATTTGTTGTACAAAATAACAATAATTGTATTGTAATATTGCGAAACGAATTTTCTTCAGTTCAGTAAAGTTGTAATAGTACATTCTGTAACAAGTTTGGAATACAGCATATTCCGCTCGAGGAAAAATTTGACACACGAGCCGAAGGCGAGTGTGACGGTTTTACGAGAGTGGAATATGCTATTCCAAACGTGTTTCAGACATTATTTTCTCTACGACTACGTAAGAATAGTAACGCTTATATAATTTTAAACAGAGAAAAGAAACCAAGCAGTTTTTGACATTTAAGTTTTTGTACTGTCAAACCATTTTGTGCCGTCACAATTTTATAATGTAAATTATAATAAATTTAAACAAATGGTATGCCTAAATCTTTATTATAATTAAAAATAGTTATTTACACTAACTAATAAAAAAAATAACATTGTAACAAATACAAAACTAATTTTACAAGTAATTGTATGATTAGAGGTGTCCCTCTATAAACTGTATGTTTCTTGGGATGAAAATAAAGTATTTTATTTTATTTTATTTATTTATTTATCTATGTCAACATCTATTCTTTTTCTACATTTTAAAGGTCTTTTTTAAAACTTTTTGAATCTGTCAAAACTTCAAAGCCGGTATAGTAGGTAACTGGTTTATCATTTTAATATCAAATTTATTATAATTTTGATTTGTATATTTGAAAAACAATAAATATAACCAATTTTTTGTGCCTAAACCTTAATTATACAACTGCTATTATTTTTTAATTAATAAATAATACAGTAATATTTAAATATTTTTAAATTTTTTACGTTTAGTAAACAGTCAGGAGATGTCGTTACTTGTGACCATTCTTAACCAAGAGTAGGAATATTCTCGCACAGTATTGCAGAAAAACATCCTTTCTATGATCAAAAATTACACTAGAATGTTACTATTCTTAAGTAGTCGTAGAGAAAATATATTTTGTAATTTTCTTAAACTAAGTTGAAATGAAATGTATAGTATAATTACAATACAACATTTTAAAATTACTAAACATATTTAGTATTTTTTTAGCAAAATTACAATACCTGTATAGTAATGTTACTGAACCAATTTTTAATAAATGCTTGGTGAATTTCAACAAACGTTTTGTAATTTTCACAATTTAAAATAAAAAATTCTTAAAAATTCCACCTATTGTAAATCATTATAATTAATTATAAATTGATAGCTTAATTTCTCTTTTAGGACACACTGTATACATTCAAATGGTAAAACAAAAAATAGACTTTCACAAAGGTGAACGTGGGATGGGATTAAATTGTCGCCCAAACATCCTCCAACCGAAAAAATTCTTTTCGATAATAATAAAGATTTGGAAAACATTTTTTATTTAATTTAATTTAAAAAATGACATATTGAAAGTTTACTGCCGCCTCCTTGGCTCTATTTATTATCGTTTTATTTTCTTGGAGACGAGCGAAGCTAAAGCAAGCAAAACGGAAAATGACGGACGAACCCTCAGCTTCAGCTTCGGGCTGTTGCTGCTGTGTATGCAAACGTCAGCGGCGGAAATTAAATTCTGTTTTATCAACTATTGAATCTACACACAATTCATTGTCAGTAGGTTTCACGCTTTAATGAAGCTAATGTAGGAATCAACCGTTCCAAAGAATGGAACGTTCTTTTATCCAGCAAATGCACAGCACAGGCGGGGCACTGTGGGAAAACGAAAAGAAAAATATTGTTAGTCTCTAAAAATTAAATAGTCAAAATTCTACTATTTTTTACTAATAAAATAAAATTGATTTTTATAAGAGCGGCTGATAGCCGAATGGGTTATGACAACAGCTTGACAAGTGACAGATCTGAGTTCAATACTCGGCTGGGTCAAAACTTTTTTTAAATTTAAATCTACTAATTTGACTATTTTATTCAGTAGAATTTGACTAATTATTAGTAACTGCTGTTTCGCTATGACAATTAGTCGAATATGAATTATCATTAGTTATTTTTGACTAATTTATTTTAATGTAATTATTTAAACTTTGCTCTATTTTATTTTTTAATTTTTTCATATTTATTTTTATTAATTAAGTGCACCAAGCAGCGTGGGATAAATCATAAGCGATACACATTGTGATTAAGTTTAATTTATATTTAACCACAGATGTGGTTAATGTGGCGATGTGGTTTTAATGCTTCCTATTTTAAATGTTTATTGAACAAATCTTCTTCCAAAAATATTTAAATAACTTTATTTCGTTCTTTTTTTTTTGTTCCAATTGTGCAGTTTTGTGTTTTGATGGTTTTTAATAAATAAACTTATTTTAATTCAATTTTAAATATAATAAGCCATTCCTTGAAGAAACAAAGAATTATTTTTATCAATCAAACCGCTGATTATTATTTTTTCATCGAAGAAAGTACAAGTAAATATATATAATACATCCATATATTTATATATATATATATATATATATATATATATATACAGGATGAGTTTTTTAACTTGAAACTAAAATATCTCAGTAAATAGTCATTTTACGAAAAATCAATTAATACAAAAATTAAATAATTCGAGGGGGAAAATAAATTAATACCAAAAAATGAATTAGTCAAAAATGACTAATTGTCATAGCGAAAAAGCAGCCACTAATAATTCTCGTCAATAGCAATTTGTATCCGAAACATTTAGCAGTCAATTTCCATGTAAAATTGTCCCCTGAATCCGAAAATGTCGTCAAAAGTTAAAAAAGTAAAACAGTTTTTGAGATATAGTCAATTTTCCATTTAATATGGAATTGACTATATCTCAAAAATTGCTATAAGAATATAAGCATGAGTATTTTTATCTATTTTGCGTTCATAATGACTTCATGATTTTGATTTTATAGGTTGGCTATACTTTAAACAGCATAATATTTTGCATATTGGTTATATTTTTATGATTTTTCTAGTACTTACAAAACTTTTATGGCAATAAATTTTGTTTAACACCAAAGAAAATTCTTTTTTTCTTCTTTAACATTAACAGCCGCTTATTGTAAATAAGTAAATTAAGGACGGCATGGCGAATCGATTTTGACATTAACTGTCAAACCAATGACTGTGATACCAACTATCTAAATTAAAATTCGACCAAATTAAATTTAAGGTATAAAATTATTTTTTTTTATAGAATTTTTGCAAAATAGATAAAATAGCATATACTATTATATTAAAAAAAGTTGTTATAAGCTTATTTATTCTACATTTTAAATATCATTATAGTCATATAGTCGTCTCTCGTATATATAAAAAATTTGGTCACTTCCAACCTTACTTTGCCCTAAATTCAAATCCAAATGCTTCATTAATTTAAATATTAAAAATAAAACAAAATCGTAAAATATATTTTTATAAAATATAAGTAAATTTTTGTAGCTTCTTTGATTTTTTTTATGTAGGTAAATATTTAAAAAATAAAATTATATTTGATTTTAATTTTTCTACCTCATTTTCTATAACTTTATAACTATAATCAATTGTTAATGATTTTATTGTTCTCACCTCATTTAATAAGAATTTATTTTCAAATAGTGTTTTTATTTCATAATAATAAAATTATATAATTTAATTATTTTTTATTTATTTTTTAAATTGTTTGTAATGTTTACTTTAAGTACCTAAGTAGTTGATTGATAAAATATAAGGATTTTATGTTTTTGTTCATAAAATTTTACAATTCGTCTGCGTCTTATTTTTTGATTTAAAAGTTTTTTTATGTTTTTTGTTTAAAAAATTTAAATTTTACATATTTTGTAGTTATTTAATATATTTTTTGACAATTTATTTATTCAAAAGATACTGAAATACAAATTTAGCAAAATTTTTATCATGAAATCCAAAATAAAAAATAACCCTTAGCGCTTCAATTCTTGCGGCACCACTACCACCACCCAAGAACCCATTAGAGACTCGATGGTAGGGCGAACCACCAAAATTAAATAAAAATAAAAAAGAGGATTCAATTTTGTTGTTTTATTAATATCTGTACGCATATAAATCAATTTTATATAAATTCCTGCTATATTCCTGCATATTTTTTTATATTTAAGAGTTTTTTATTTTACTTTACTCTGCTGCGAAAAAATGTCCTGCTGTTTATAGATATCAAAACATTGTTTTAAAAAATCCTGCTATCACAAACTGTGAACGTATTTTTATCTTACATATATTTACAAAAAAATATAAATTTCATCGTAAGCATTCCTGCTATAAAGAATATTGTTACCAATTATTATTTTCCTGCATATATTTTTTAGTATTATTCAATATTATCAGTAAAAATAGAATAGGGGTTCTGGTTTTGTTGTTTTATTATTATTTGCAGGCATATAAATCAATTTTATAAAAAATCCTGCTATATCAAAATTTTCCTGATTATTTTTTATTTAAAATTTTCTTTAAATTTAAGGCCTACTTGCTAAATTAAATAAAAAAAATTAGTACTCAAATCCAGCTGAAATGTTTTAATGGAGTGGCTGCAGGAATCAATACTATTTCAAATTAAATAAAAATTAAGAAGGGGTTTTAATTTTGTTGTTTATTAATATCTGTACGTATATAAATCAATTTTATTTAAATTCCTGCTATATTCCTGCAAATTTTTTTATATTTAGGAATTTTTCATATTGGTTTTTCTCAAAATTTTTATCTACTGATAAAATTAAATAATTTTTTGACAATTTATTTATTCAAAAGATACTGAAATACAAATTTAGCAAAATTTTTATCATGAAATCAAAAATAAAAAATAACCCTTAGCGCTTCAATTCTTGCGGCACCACTACCACCACCCAAGAACCCATTAGAGACTCGATGGTAGGGCGAACCATCGACTTACCACGGTGCGGGACGTCATCGGGCAGTCCTATTTTACCATCGGCTGGCGGGGCATCTCACCAGCAGGTAATCATCGAAAACGCAAGAACTCCTGCAAGTGAAAGACACGCAAAACGACGACGAAAAGGTGCTCGATCCGTCCCGAACGGTCAGTGATTAGTGAGAGGTTTGCAGGACTAAGTGCCAAGCCAAAGCAGGAAACACGATGGGCAGGAACGGGCCTGTACTTGCGCTAGTGATCGCTTGTGTATTTGTCGGTAAGTAGAAAACGAGAGAAAAAGTAATTTTAAAAATTCCTGCTACGAAAAAATGTCCTGCTGTTTTAATCATAATTTGTAATCTTCAGTTTTCGTTAGTTTTGATGATGCGTTTTATTAATACAATGTTTTAAAAAATCCTGCCATCAAAAAATCCTGCTGAATGAAGTATTATTCAATATTTTCGTGCAAATTTCAATAAAAATGTAATAGGGGTTCTAATTTTGTTGTTTTATTAATATTGGTATGCATATAAATCAATTTTATAAAAAATCCTGCTTTATCAAAATTTTCCTCCATATTTTATATATTTAAATATTTTCTTATTTAAAATATCTTTAAATTTAGTATCTACTGGCTAAATTAAATAACAAAAATTTAGGGCTCAAATTCTGCTGATAATGTTTTAATGGAGTTGTTGCAGGATTCAATACTTTTTCAAAATTAAATAAAAATAAAGAAGGGGTTTTAATTTTTTTGTTTTATTAATATCTGTATGTAAATCAATTTTATATAAATTCCTGCTATATTCCTGCATATTTGTTTAAGTATATTTAAGAATTTTTTATTTTAGTTTTTCTCTGCTACGAAAAAATGTCCTGCTGTTTTAATTATAGTTTTATTAAAACATTGTTTTAAAAAAATCCAGCTATCAAAAAATCCTGCTGAAGGAAGTACCTATTTGTGAAAGTTTTTTATCATACATATATTTACAAAAATAAATAAATTTAATCATAAGCATTCCTGCTGTTACCAATTATTATTTTCCTGCAAATATTTTTTTTATTATTCAATATTTTCTTGCAAATTTCAATAAAAATAAAATGGGGGTTCTAATTTTGTTGTTTTAATAATATTTGTATGCATATAAATCAATTTTATAAAAAATCCTGCTATATCAAAATTTTCCTCTATATTTTTTAAATTTAAATATTTTCTTATTTAAAATTTTCTTTAAATTAACTATCTACTGGCTAAATTAAAAAAAAATTTAGGGCTCAAATCCTGCTAATAATGTTTTAATAGAGTGGCTGCAGGATTCAATACTATTTAAAAATTAAATAAAAACAAAGAAGGGGTTTTAATTTTGTCGTTTTGTTAATATCTGTAAGCATATAAATTAATTTTATATAAATTCCTGCTATATTCCTGCATATTTTTTTATATTTAAGAATTTTTTATTTTAGTTTTTCTCTGCTGTTTTAGTTATAATTTGTAATGTTTAATTATTTTGATGGGTTTTATAAAAACATTGTTTTAAAAAATCAAAAAATCCTGCTGAAGGAAGTATATGTGAAAGTATTTTTATTATACATATATTTACAAAAATAAATAAATGTTATCATAAGCATTCCTGCTATAAAGAATATTGTTACCAATTATTATTTTCCTGCATATATTTTATAGTATTATTCAACATTTTCAGTAAAAATAGAATAGGGGTTCTAGTTTTGTTGTTTTATTATTATTTGCATGCATATCAATTTTATAAAAAATCCTGCTATATAAAAATTTTCCTCCATATTTTTTATATTTAAGTGTTTTTTTATTTAAACTGGATAAATTAAATAACAAAAATTTAGGGCTCAAATCCTGCTGATAATGTTTGTGGCTGCAGGATTCAATACTATTTCAAAATTAAATAAAAACAAAGAAGAGGTTTTAGTTTCGTTCTTTATTAATATCTGTACGTATATAAATCAATTTTATTTAAATCCCTGCTATAATCCTGCATATTTTTTTTTATATTTAGGAATTTTTCATATTAGTTTTTCTCTAAATTTTTATCTACTGGCAAAATTAAATAACAAAAATTCCGAGAGGAAATCCTGCTGTTTTTAACGTGGGATGTGTAGTTTTGCTAATGTTTTAATGGGGTTGATGCAGGATTCAAAACTTTTCTGCAGCATAAACTTTTTGTTTAGTTAGTAAATATTTACTGTTTAATACTTTTTGTAGATGCGTTTGAAAAAATTCCTGCTATGGCACAATTTCTTGCTGGTCAATATTTTCATGTAGACTTTTTTAACCTGATTTTGTTTTTTTTGTTGTTTTTTTGATAGTTAAAATCGTCCTGCTATAACATAATTTCTTACTGGTTAATATTTTCCTGTAATTTTTTTTAAGTCAACATTTTCTTTTTCTTAAATGTAAAAAAAAATCTTAAAAATCTCTAATTTCTATACAATTTTATTCGGCAACTAAAATTCCTGCCATTTTCTGATTTAGATTTTTTTAATTTTATGTTGTTTTTGCTAGATTAAATAGATTTACAAAATATTCTGCTGCATTATCATAATATTGATAATGTAGAAAAAAATCTCAAAATTTTTAATTTCATAGGCCCCTTCAAAAAACTCATGTAGAATGGATACTATTTTTAAAGCTGTTTAAACTATCCAATAATTAGCGTACCTACAAAATTTTAAATCACTTTCTTTTTAATATTAATTCTCCAGCAATATGGTAACATTAAATATATTTTGTCTATTTTTAAAGTAAAAATAAAAATGACCTTATCCTTTTATTGAAAAACAATCAAAGATGACATTTAATATACACAGAATTACGAATTTAACAGGTTTAATTAACATTTCATTATATATTATATTTATCTTATTTTTAATAAAAAACATCAAATTTTTAGCACCAACTTTGTTTATATTTGTTATAATATAAACCCAGTTGAAAGAATGAATGCATATTAAAGTAATGAATTGTGTACCGGTGTAAAACAAGTATCTCCGGTTAATGTATGAAATTAGAACGACTCTCGCAACTGTCAGTTTTATTTTCATTTTATTATATATTTATGTACGTAGGTACTTGATACATGAATATGATAATTCCTTACATTTAACTATTTCATTTGAGAGCAAACATACTTTTGTACAAATACGTACTAATAACAGCTCTCGATTTTACTTTGCACGTTTCAGTTATTCCATTGTTTTGAGATTTGCTTTCAAAATTCTCATATTTAATATTTTCTGTGAAGTTTTCCCTCAATTTGTGTAATTTTTAGTAGGTAAAATGGTTGGGTATAATTTTCTATTTTCATATTTTAGAAAGGTATTTTTTTTGTGTTGAAATGGTTATTTGTGTTTTAAGGTCAAAATATTATTTTATGTTTTTTTTTAAATTTCAAACGAAATAAAGAAAAAATGGGCAATTTAATACTCGTGCCTTTATATAAACTTGAAATCGTCATTTAAATCAATACAAAAGTGTTACTACAAACATCTACATCATAAAAATAGCTATAAATTTTAATAGACCAATTATCAGATGTGTAATTATTTAATAATAGGTGTTTGTTAAAGCCAACGATAATTAAATACAAGCAAAATTCAATTAAACACATCATTTAATGAATTAACCTGATTTTTCTATCTATGCATTTTAACCTCAATATACCGTTAAATCCGTGTATCAAAAGCTATTAAAAATAGTTATTTATTGAATATTTTTGTTGTTGTTTATGTCTATACATGTACCATATGCCATGGAAAATTGCTATAATTTGTATAAAAATATAGGTATGTGGCACAAAATGTAATTAATATTAAAAATATTTATTGTAACAATAATAATATCCAGTAATTGAATCATGTACAATTTTTAGTAAATATTGCAAATTTTAATTTTGTTTGATAAATATTATATCTGCTCAATGTTTTCATAATATTAAATTATTTGTTACAATTGTTTATAAAATAAATTCAATTTGTTACCATAATGAATAAATAAATAATTCAAAACTTTGTAATTTACTATAAAACTAGTATTGTATGCAATTAAACTAAGTGTGATGCAAATATAGCAAAAAACATATCAATTGTTGAATGTTCATCAAGTGAAAGTATGTTAAAAATATGAACTTTACTAAAGTAGGTAAATATGTTTATATACGCTTATAAGTCAAACATGAGGTAGATGAGTTGTCACTTTAGATGCAACACTGTTTTTTAATTAAGTGGCATGTTTGCAATATTTTAAAATAAATAAATTAGTTTTTTTCCTAATTTTTAAAAAGGTTGACATAGTGATTTATGATTTTATTCTATTAGGCAATGTAAACAGTTGATTAACCTTTTTTCTATTGCAATAATCGCATCATTAGTAGACTACTAATGTGTATTAAGATTGAGAAACTCCCTAAAATGTCAACAAAAAAAGCAGAGGATGTTGCAAAATAAGTGATTTTAAAGTGATCAAATTTTGATTGGGTAAAAACGTTTATCCACTTCAATGCACCCAAAGAATGCAGTCCTACTTTATGAACAACGTTTTGTAATGCAATTCATTTACATAGACCTATCTATAATAACCACAATAAGAATGTGTGTATAGTATAACCTCAAACTAGTTAAGATACAAACTGAAAATTTGGGACACATGCAAAAGAAGTCAAAAGTTATTAAGAAAATTCAAGTAAACATTTTTGAAATTTCCAAAAATTTAAAAATGTTGTAAATTTTATCGTTTTAGTTTTCTACTCGTCAAATCAACTCTCTAAAAATGAATTAGTCAAAGATGACTAATTTAATATTTATTAGTGGCTGCTTTTTCACTTGTACCATGGTTAACCATGGAATACCATGGTATCCCAAAATTTAACAGCATCTCGTTGATAAACTTTTTTAAACACTCATTTATTATTATTAACATGCCCTATTTTTTGGTTCACTATAAAACGTGTACCAATAGTTTAAGAAAGTTGTACTTGTAATTGTCTTCAAATTTGAAAAATCTCTCTGGTATAGTATTAAAAATTTGGGTACCGATTGGACAATTTGACATAATGATAAGACTTATTTTGGGTGGGCAATAATGTTAGGTACATTGTCCAGATGTGAACCATCATGTTGAAAATAGTCTTCAAAACCGGACCTAAAAAATATTTTCATTTAATTGGATTATCGTGACCGGTTCGCGGTTGTAAACTCGACTTTTCAAAATACCTTTTTAACAGTGAACTAAACATTGATCAGGTGCAATAAAAGTAGAAATTCTTGGTTTCTGGTGCATGCAAACCCAAGATTACCATAATTTTAGCACGGTATACCAGCTGAAAGGAAAAAACAACCGAGAGCCGTTCGAAACTAGTTTATAGCTGAATGTAATTATTTGCATGGTCAAGGTTTCCGATGTTTGGTTTTATTATTTTCTGCGTTTATTAAAAATCGTTTCTTTTTCCTTATAGGTCAAGCGTACAGCGAGCAGTATCTAGGGAAATTGATTGGAAAACTATCAGAACTTCACCATGGAGTTTCGGGGGAAGTGTACGCCGTTGATGGGAGGACCCTGCACATCAAGGATTACACCTATGATGGACAAGGACCAGGTATGATGATATCAGGTTATCCAGAAATTCTAACCCAAAAAAATCTTTATAAAACCTAAATTTCTTAATTTGGTTGCATAAATATTTATATCACTCTTATATACCCCTTAAAGAGCTTATTTGGGGAGTTTGTACCTATAACACTATAAAATACACTCACAGGCAAAATAATCGATCCACACAAATTTTCGATGAATTTCAATCGCAAATAACTTTTTATTTGATGTCAGATTTAAACGAATATTAAAGAATATTGTAGATAAATTAATGGACAATCGCTCACATTTTAAAAATTACTAAAAAATAGACGTACGTTTATAATATACAGGTTAAAACAAAAAAATGTTTTTACCATAAGTTTAAGACACTCTGTAGAGTGGCAAAACCGTATATTGTTCTAAATTGTGTTTTAATTATTAAGTCACATCCATTCTTAACGGTTTTATTTTTGGTTCACCTAATTTTTTAATTAAAAACAATTAAAAACGCCGAGTTACCCTGTTATATTACTTAATTAATCCCAGCATTATCTTTAACAAGCTAAACAATAAAAATATATAAATAATTAATATAAAAAATAAACTTAAACCAGTTATGTAACTGATAATTTCCATATTAAACGCCATTAGCATAAAAACAATTACCTTGTTCCGACAAACAAAACTTTATTAATACTGTGTTAAATTTTCTTTGGCATGATAAATTAACAATTAAATTTGTTGCGGTTAAGATTATAAAGACTCTTCCTGTAAAAAAAAAGAAATACAATCTATTATGAACAATGAACAAATAAGATTTGCATTTTTATTTATACTGATCGGTATCTTTTAACCATTATAATTTATTGTCAAAGAAATGGAAAGTGTGATGTGTTTTATCAAACACATAATTTTAAAAGTGAAATTGTTTTAACCCCTCAGGCTAAAACGCCTAAAAATCGACCTTCAAAATTTCAAATTAGAGAAATTAAACCGTTTGTGTATTCACATACGCAATTCGCTTTCTTTTAAAATCTCTCGATGTGTTGTTCCTCCTATCTCGCCCATCTCTAATTATGGTCACGCGAGTCATTTTTTTTTAAACATCATCGCTAACCAGGAAAAGCAAACGCTACATGTCATATAATAACCCGTATATGTGAAACTGATAAAAATCACTTTAATTTCTTATGAGGTAATTGGAAGGTACTTTCACAACATCGTTGATACTTATTTTAACACTTAAGTCACTGCGCATGCGTCTTTGATGACATTCTGTACATTTTTTAATGTCATTACATTTTACCCTGTAATGAAAACCAAGTTTACTAAACCCTACACTGAAAGAAAAACTAGGGTTAATAATTAATAAATATTTATTTGAGACGTTTTATTTATAATAAATACAGAAAATTTGTTGTAAATCAATTTTATTTACTAAGTAACAGTATATTCTGAAATTTAATTTATTTTTTATTTTTTGGGTCGAATTTATTTGTTATTTTAATTTATTAAAATATACTAAAATTGTGTCAAATAATAGTATATTATGTATCAAGTTTGATAAACTCCATTTTATACATAAATTAATGAGTTTATAGAAAAGTTTATAAACGAGGTGCATACTATACTTATATATACAAATACTTATTATCTTAAAATGATTTAAATCAAATATTTTTATAGACCGCCATCTATGAAACAATAGAGGAATCTGTGCGTCACGGACAAATGTCAAATTTTTATATTTTATAAACACAGATTATAAAGGTTATAAATCGAAATGTATTTCTTGAAAATTGACAGTTTTTCAAAGTGAAAGTAAAGAAAATGTTTTATGAGCACTTACAGTGGAGTCCGTGCCCGAATTTAAGTTATAGTTTACTGCCGGCGAAATTAAAAATGTTCATATAAACTTTTCAAATATTGGCGTTGAGAAACTGTTTAATAATTTTGTATTTTTGTATTGAGATAATAAAATAATTTTCACATTTAGTATTATTTTACTAGAAAGGCACTTTATTTTAACGATTGTATGACATTTGACAACTGTCAAGTTGAAGTTAGTTTTAAGTTAGTTGACAGTGTCAACTAACTTCAGTCCGTGACTAAAAACCTGTTGCTAACTTCAGCCTGTGACTAGAGCCATAAAGCCACAACTTGTCAATGTGTATTTAAAAGGTCACTTAGTCACATATACGATAAAGGGCGTTTTAAAGGTGGGAGTAGAAAAAATCATTTATTAATTTATTGTAAATATACACGGTTTATTAATAATAAATATTGCTTATTAATAGTTGCTAAATTTTATATAGTTGATGAGACCATATTAAATGGTGTTACAAAAATAACTATTTTATATATTTTTTATTGATTACATAATTTACACTGTTTTAGTGCCTACATAATGTAATAAGGAAATTAAATAAGTATGTATTTTAGCCATTGTCTTTTCCATGTTTTCAATATTCAATGTAAGCACCAAATTTGCAAACTATTGCCTAATATTTACCTTACATAACTATGTGCTTATTAAATATTTCGCAAGTCGAAATATTTTAGCCGTTACTAAATTCCCGTCGCATCGTTCAAAAAAAATTTAATCAAGATAACAAAAACGTAAATTGCACATTTTTAAAAATTAATTTCGGCGTTAAAAAGAAATAATTTTATGTAAATAATGCATAAAACAAGGAAAACGCTTATCACGCAAAGCAAAGAACGGCTCTAATGAGAATATTAAAAGAAACTTTTAAATTAAAAGTTCAACATTAATTTTCTTTTTTTTATTTCGGGCACTTTCAGACTTTTACTCTAAAATAAACAGTTCAGTGCTTATTTTTCATTACATTTAAAAGTCGAAAAGACTAAATTGTCCGTATGACAGCAAAATATCTATTAGTTAATTTTTTTAGATTTTGTCACAATATATGGTATAGACAAATTATTTTAATATTTGTTTTTTTCCATTTCAGCTGCTTACTTTTATGCAAGCTCAGGCAAGACGGCAAGCAGTAACGGATTCAGATTGAGAGACGAAAATGGCAGCGGTGATGTCATCAGAAAGTACAGAAAAGAAGGCGTAACCTTGACCCTTCCCGAAGGAAAAACTCTTAGAGACATCAAGATTTTTTACGTTTGGTGTGAAGAATTTACTGTAAGTATATTTTTTTAATACTTGAACCTTGAATGTTAATCCCAAAAGTTTTCTGTTTGGTACAACTTTTTTTAAAATGTTAATTTATTTTGTGTTTTTTTGTTGGCAATAATAACATCTGTTTAACTAATAAATTTTCCAAAACTTACTATAAAAAATATATTAATAATTTAAATTTATTTTACGTTCCGTCTACTAAATAGTACATACATTATTAAACTAAGTGGAGAACCACCATTTTTAGGTTAAACGGATTTAAGACTACAAAAATCCCGGCGCATTCGCCATTTTTACAAAACTTGCATTACTATTTTCTGTGACTGTACATTTCTAAAAACTACAAATTTTATTAAAAATAGTGTAAAATGACTTTAATTAAAAATGTACAAAAAATAATGAAAATAAAAAAAATTATATACCTAATTTGTTATCCCTTTTAATAATAATAAAATCAATATTCACTAGGACTACTAAGTAGAAACTAAAACTTTGGAATACCTTAAGTTTGGAATTCGTCTAAGAAAGTTTATATAAGATTTTACCTGAAATTCCGGGGTTTTCTGTAATGAGTATGGTAAAATGGCATTTCACTAAAAGTTACTCGCGACTTGCTAACTTTGCAAAGAATTTAAATTTCCCCCTCCCTCACCCCTTTACGCGGGCCGAAAATATTCCCTGGGCGACTTTTCGAAACTTAACCTATAATCTTTCCCGCTAATTCGGTTTTCAAGGCGGCGGGAATTTAAATTCTTTGGAGGGGCGCATTTGCAATTTTTTAAATGTATTTAAATGTATATTTTGTAGAATCAAGGAGCCCTTATGAACAAACAAACTTTATGGAATGTATTTTTGTCTAAAAGTACTAAAAATTGAAATATTTTACATTTAGAATTTTATTAATTTTTAATAATTTTATATTCTTAATTTTAATTATTTTTTACAGGTAAGCTTCGGCGAGGTCAAAATCCCAGACAATTTTTTTTCTTAATTTTAATCAATTTTCCACAATAGCCGAATACCTTAAACTAAATAATTATAAAACTTTGACAACTTTATAAAGCCAATCTTGTCGGTTTTAATAAATTTGTATAACTTTTCATTCGTTTTTAATTTCTTGTACCGCAATCTCTCAAATTAAAAACAATGTAACAAAATTTTAAGCAATATTATGTTTAACGTTAGTTATTTTTTTAAGGTAAACTTCGGTGATGTCAAAATTCCAAGAAACTTTGACTTTCCGCGCCCCCAAAAAGTTGACGCCCTTAAGGGTGTCCACGACATATCATCCGACAACATTGTCATTGTAGACGCACAAACTCTACTCATACCCAACTTGTCGTATGATGGAGAAGCACCTGGTAAGTCAAAAATATATCTGTTAAAAATGTTTGTAAAATTTCTACTAAGCAGTTGCATAGTAAAATTACAAAATGTTGTGTTGTATTGCAAATTTAATACGCATTTGTTGTAATATTACATTTTGTTATAGCAAAAGTACTAAACAATATTTTTGTTTTTGTCAAATACTTATAGTAATTTTACAATTCTCTATTGTAGAATTGTGTTTGAAATTTTGTAAAATTTCTATACAGATTTGGAATTTAATTTTACTAAGATAATCAATAAAATTACTAACCAAAATTTGCTATTTGAATTACAATAAGAGTTTGGAAATATACAAATCATTATCTGTTTTATACAACTTTTGTTGGAATTTTTACTATATATCATTTTAATCATGTACACTGTTAAATTGCAAATTGGCAAATTGCAAAACAAAGGATGAGTAAAATTACAAATCAGTGTATACCAATACAAAATTATAATACAATTTGAGTAATCTTCAAAGATATGTTGAGAAATCTACTAAGATAAGTTGTAATTTTACAATCTTTATGTATAAATCCTACACGCATTGTAATTTTATTAAACACTTTGACAGTTTCTAATAAAAAGCATCTCAGATTTAAAAACATTGTTAGTAATTTGATTTGCTATAATGTTATGTAAAATGCATAGTAAGTACCGATTGCGGCAATCACGTGATGTTCTTACATCTCGCCTTGGTTGACTTAGGAGGACAGTATATAAGCTCAGGTGTCTTTCGTTTTTGGTGTGTTCCAATGCACCAAATTGCCCGACATTGATAAGACCCAAAATAGGTCTATCGGTCTAGCTGTCTGTTGGTATTTGAAGTTGGTGGAACGCACTTAAAACAAAAACTCTGGCGAGGTGAAGGTTCAAGTTTTATTTTGTAATAAGTATGGAAAAAAAATGTATCGGTAATTCGGGTAATATTAGTCCTTAATTATCATAAAAATGTATGAAAGCGTCGTTCTGAAATGTGTTGACTAATGTTGAGAGCTCCAGGTTAATAAATCACGGGGTTTATTATGTCATTACAGGAGCACTTTGGTGGGTTATTAAGGACTTTTTGAAGGCGTGTAAATGAGTTTCCTTTCATGTTTACTGATCTACTGGGTAATCAGCCAGGAGCACGATGCCATAAAAATAAAATCAATTTTTGTTTCAATATACTTTCTATCGCAAAAAGTTCGCCATAAAATTTAAAACAGCTCGCGAACAATAAAAAGTTTTGTAAAAAGTTTTTAATAATAAAATAGAATAAAGATAGCACGCAATCTCTGTTAAAACATTTTACTTAGGGTCTTTTATATCTCGAATTGTTAAATTCAATTCCGCGTCTAGAGATTTTATTCTTCTTATGAACTCTACTCTCTTTATTAAATGTTAGTTTTAAGCTGTTGAAAATTGAATCGACGAAATAAATTTTAAATCTTTTTTCATTTACACATCACTATAATTCCCTGTGGGTTAATCATAAAAAGGAATCTAAAATACGCCCCATTTTGTTGTTTTAGGAAATTCAAATTGCCATAAAATAAAGTAAAATTATTTAAGCTTTGTAAGCTCTAAAACTTCTTCTTGAATAAAGCCGATTACTTGCTGAATTAATTTTAAATGTATCCTCTGAAATGGGTCTGGAAGAATTATTATTTTTATTGTAGCAGCCAGAGTAATTCAATAATCTTTATTTAATGAATTATTTATTTTTTGAATGGCCTTAAAACACAGTTTAAACTCTATTTTAATCCCCATATGGAATCACCCAGTACGAAAGATATTATGTATGGGTGAATATAATGATTATTTTTTATTTTTGATTGTTTCACTGTTAGTCTAGAATGGGGTTTTTGGGAAGCCACCAGGTCTAGTATAACATAACATAAGTGGTTCTGCACTAATGCAAGAATTTTAAGAAATCATACATTTTGAATATTAGAGCTTCACGGAGGTTAGGATTTCGTATGTTTTTTTAAAACATCCCTTTGTATATTTGAAATAAGTTATTGTATCTTTTGACACCTTAGTATTTTTTGTAATACATAAAATATTTATAAAAAAATATACTTACTGATTTATTACACTTCACGGTGGATAGGTTTTTAAATTGCAAATTAATGAACTTAAGCTTTTGAATTATAAAAATGCAACACTCTCATCTGCATATAAATTCTAACTGACCTTCAGGAATCACATGCATCTATAATGTCGTAAACAGAGGTTTTTGCTTATTTAAAATGATTAAAGCGCCATCCGTTGCATTAAATTTAAAGCAAAAACAGATTCACGGAGGATAGAATCAATTTTTGTAACACCTACATTGCATCGATTGCTTTAGATGTGTTTAATTTACTTAGTGAACTTATATTTTTAGTATGCTTTTACTACCTCAGATATATGAAAACATATAGGTTAACCTAGAAAGAGTAACGGAGGATAGGAAAGGAATAACATGGTTAAAATTTATTCATCTTATTTTCAGACGCCAAGTTCTGGGTGGGCCATGGTCCTAAACCTAGTCCTCAAGGGATTAGAGTGCCAGATGAGAACGGAAAAGAAATCCCCCTTAGGAAATACGACAGAAAAACCATTGTGCTTACTTTGCCTGGAGACTTGACTGTTTTTGATATCGGTCATTTTGGTATTTGGTGCGAGGCTTTCACTGTCGATTTTGGACACATCGTCATCAAATCCTCAAATCTGAACATCCCGCCTTCCCTGAAAATGCTGGGAGTCAGCCCACAGGTTAGTAAGCATTAGTTTTAGAAAGTGTTTCTTTTCATGTTTTCTATGTTGCTTATGTGCAATACCGCCTTAAAATCTAGAAGCACGCACATAAATGTACGACACAGACAAACTTTGGCATTACAGGAGAGTGAAACAGTGATTTAAAAGTGATACAGTGACAGACTTACAAAAACCAACAACCGAAAAAGGTACAACAACAAAAAATACTGACTGTACTTCTAGATTTATGCTTGTGAATGTGACGTTGCATGACTTTGCTTGAAGCTTCAACAAAAAAAAATAATGGCATGGCACTTTCTTCTTGATGATGGCTTTTAAAACGTTTAGGGAAAGCCTAACGTTATTCTATTATATTTTACAGAAACGTCATTTTAATATCGAAGACTTCACCTCACAAAGTACCGCCACCACTCCGAAAAGGGGGGTGGGGGTAAATCACCATGGCAATCTACAACCAACAACTTATCGACCACCCAAAAAATTTGAACTCAATCAACAACAACATGATGTTGTTGATCGGTCTGCGTACACGCAGAATGCTGTTCAACAACAATTAATACCTCAACAACAATTTCCGCCATATCAACAACAACAGTTTAATCATAGACTTGATCAACAGCAAAATTTTATTCAACAACAACCACATTTGTTGATAAACCAACAACAACAATCGCAACAACAGTTGTTAGCTAATCAACAGCAATATCAACCTCAACAACAATATTTTGTAAATCAGCCTCAACTTCGACAACCACAATTCTTGGTACCGCAACAACAACCTCGACCTTTACTGTCTCAACAGCAACAATATCAAATTCAACAGTTGTTGCACGGTCCACAACAACAGTTGAACTATCAACCTCAACAACAACACTTTAACATACAACCCCAAATTCAACAACGTTCGCAACAAGTTCAACCTCAACCTCAACAACAGTTGGTTGCTCAACAATATCAACAATTAAACAACCAGCAAAGGCAATACGAACAACAAGTTGCTCATCAACAACAGTTGCAACGTAGGTTGTTCGAGGAACAACAACTTAAAGAGCAACTGGCAAGGCACAACAATCGGTTTAATGTTCAACACAATCAACAGAATCAATATCAACATAACCTCTATGCTCAATACGGTTAAAAAGTACTTAGTCGATATTAGTCACAATTTATTGTATTTTGTAGTGAAGCTTCTTTTGGTTATTTATTTCATATTATTTATGAAAAAAATCATTCAATTTAAATATAAAATAATCATGCAGGTTCTATTAATATTTAAGTAGGTTTTATTTACGAAACATGGCTAACTTTCCGAAGACGACTAAATTATTAATCCAACTTAGAATTTCATACAAACGCGGCTTTAAATATTAATCTAGGTAAATTATACATATTTATAAACGGTGCTTTTTTATAATGTATTAAAAATTTTAAATCGAAAATTTTCTGTGATACATTTTTCTACGTATATATATATATTAGACTGGGCCAAAAAAATCAACTATTTTTTTTTGAAAAGTATATCGAAAATATGGTTTGGGGTGACAAAAAAAATTATTGTGAAAGTTTGAGTCCATAATATTAATATTAAGAGGTCTATCATCGCAATTTTAATTTTTTTTTCCTCAGCAAGTTTTTGTCTCAGAACTCCCAAACCATTGAGTTTAACAAAATTGACTCAAAAATATTTTTTTAAGAAAATTAAATTCTCTACAAAAAAATGTTAAAGTGAAATTTTCCGTCAGATGAACCATTTCCTTAAAATCGTGCCTTAAATATTGGTATAGTTTTACATTTTGATCTTTTAAATTGGAATTTTGTAATTCATGTAAAAATCAGTATCCATAAAAAACGATAAATATTCTTATGGAAAATCAAATGCTTTACAAAAAAGCTTCTCAACATTTTTGGATAAATTCACTCAATCAAAAGTTATTCAAGGTTAAAATTTCGTTTTGACTTCAAATTTAACCTTGAATAACTTTTGATGGAGTGAATTTAGCCAAAAATGATAAAAGACTTTTTTTGTACAGAATTTGATTTCCCATAAGAATATTTATCGGTTTTTTTCCCGGTACTGATTTTTACATGAATTACAAAATTCCAAAGTTAAAAGATCAAATTGTAAAACTATATAAATTCTTAAGGCATGATTGTAAGAAAACGGTTCATCTGACGGGATATTCCACCCCAAACAATATTTTCGATATAGTTTACAAAAAAAAATAGTCGATTTTTTTGGCCCCTGTATATATAGTATGAAATTCTTTAGGCCAGTGAATATTTTTATAAAATATTTTATATCTTCTATGTATTTACATTTAATAAAAGCTTTTTTATTATTTTTTATGTCTCATTTTGTTTGCAGACAATCCTTATTTGCACTTTCACTAAAAGTTGTTTTCTTAAATCGTTATATGTATATAAGTTATGCAAATTTTCAGTCTTGCATATTTTTGTTTGCAAAAGCATTTAGCAGAGGTTTCGCACTTAATCCTTGCAAAAAAGACCTAATCTTTTTACTATTTTTTATTTTAATTTTCAGTCAAAATTAAACTGCGAAGTTTTGAACGATAAATTGGCTTTGGAAGTAAGATGGGCCGTGGCAGGGGAAAGTATAGTTTTACAACTGGTCGCTAAATTAGGTAAGTGGATAATTACAATTTTAAAAAAATTATCAAGGTTATATTAGTGAACGTAAGTAAATAAATCTAATAATATAGGTTCACGTTTATTTAATATTTAATAATTAAATGTTATACGGTTTTGAAATAAATAATACGATGATTGTTTAATTATAGACTAGCGCTGATAAGTTATTTATTGCTAAATATGTAAAAAATATTATTAGGATTTATTTGGCATTCAGAAATCGTCTCGATAAAATTGTAGCTTCTACGAACAAGTTGTTAAACGAGTGAAAGTTAAATTCGCTTTCTTTCTGAAAAAAACGAAATTTCCATATTTATGAATGCTTTATTGTTGTAAAGGGTTTTAACACTGTTTTTAGGCTACACCCACAAAATTAAAATAAGATAAACCACGTTATTCTTGTAACCTTTGAAAAGTTTTAACAGTTATAATACAAACTTGTACACAAAGGCAGCGATATTTCTTCATTTCGTATTAATAAAAACTTTTATTAGAGTCCGCACTCTTCTGGATAATCCCGTTTAATGGAAAAAAATGTCCGCCAATGCCCAAGAGATGGCACAAATTCTTACGTGTTATTATCTCATTGTTTGAAAGTGAAAGGAACTCATTATATTCTTGTATACCCACATAGAAAAAATCGTAAAAACTTCTAAGGTTGCGATTACCAACAGATAATAAGGGTTCATGACGGTTTTTTCTGTAGCGATTAAAGGCGGTTTCACATAGATGCGAAATGCGAATTGCGAAATACGAATATTCGCAACTCCTATTTCATACACTGTTTAAAATATCTGTGGTGTGAAGAGTAATCTCAAAATGGTGTCAAAATCCAACACCAAGTGGTGTTAATATAACACCATAAATTATGGTTGAAAATGTTTTATACAGCAAACACCAAAACGGTGTTTATCTAAAAATATTTGAGAAGTGCACCTACACAGAAAAAAAGGAATAGTTCATTTAACTATATTAATTTAGTTGACTCATAAGTATTTATTTAAATCAACTGTGGGAAGGTTAATATAAACAAAGATTAGTTTGACGGTAATAAACCAGATAGTTATTTTATTTTTTTTAAATTGGTTAAATTAACCCAGAAAACTTTAGTGAAACCAACCCGCTGTATGGTTCAGTTTACTAAATAAGTTGTTTGTAAAATAAGAGTTACTTCAACCTAGAGCACGATTAAAACAATTTGCCGTGCATTCCTTGTTGCATAGTGTGTACCGATCGCGGCAAAGGCGGTGTGGATCACGTGATGTTCTTAAATCTCGCCTCTGTTGACTTACATGAAGAGTATATAAGCTCAGGTAGTCCTTTGCTTTGGTGTGACACTACAAATTGTTTAAGTTGTTTAAGTTGGTGGAACGCACTAAAATCATTATCTCTAGCGAGTTGAAGGTTCAATTTTTTGGAATAATACCACAAGGAACTTCCTGTTTCCTTTTTTTCCTTTTTTTCTGTGTAGTATGATTTAATTTGACCAAAAACACATTATATTTAACACTGAAAAGGAGTTCAATTTACACCAGGTAAAATTTATTTTAATACTGTGTGAAAGTTAAATTTACACCATTTCAGTATTTGAATTTACACTGGACCAACGAACCATATTTAACACCATTTTGGTTTGTATCGATATAGACCATGTATGGTGTTAATTTGGTGTTAAAAAGGTCATGAAATGTACCCCAGAAAACTCTTTGCCATTATAATATCTGTCAAATCAAATGGACCAAAGAAAACATTTTTCGCCTTTCGTAAATCGCATTTCGCAACTGTATGAAACCGACTTAAATACGCAATTAAATCATATCTGCAGTTATAGTGGCGAAATCAATGCAATTGATGTCATTAGAAACGAATTTCTTCATTACGGTTAAATTAGGTTGCTAACATTACACATCGGATTGACATTTTTAACTAAACGTTCACAATTATTTCAGACGAGAGGGAATACGTATCATTCGGACTTAGCGGCGAAGATGACCGAAGCGTGATGATTGGTGGAGACGTTGTGGTAGCCTGGGTGGACAAAGAAACCCTCAAGGGTTACGCTGAGGATTACCATCTAGACGCCAAATCTCAGTGCTCAGGCCCTACGGGATCATGCCCTGACAACCGTCTGAGTGAAAACTCCAACAACATCAGACTCCTCAACGCCGCGATGGTCAATGGATACTCCATCGTCACCTACCAACGCCCCCTCAAAGCTTCGGATAAATACGACAGATCCATCTACACCAACACCAACCAATCGCAAGCCATCATATGGGCCGTCGGACCGTTAAACCAAAGGGACGAAGTCTCCTTCCACAGCAGTTACACCAAAGGAGATGCCTTCTTGAACTTCGGGCGTCCAGCCAAGTGGAACTGTCCCATGCCGGAAAGCGAACCGCCATCCATGAAAGCAGTCACTTTGAGAAGCAGGCAGCAAGTTGTCGAAGAGCCGCAAGAAGCTGAACCAGCTGAAGAAGTTGAAGAACCAGGTAAGAATCTATCATACTTCTAAAATCTTATAAGAAACATTCCTCAGGGGGCCAGTCACCAGGATGTAGGTACCATAGTACCATAATGTCATTTTTAACTTCTGACTCATTTTTCAGTTGTAACTCCTGCACCAGCCAGAAGCAGTGGAAGAAGGAGGGGTGGCAACCGTGTGCAGCAACGCGAGCAACAACGCGAACAACCGCAACAAGCCGATTCTGAAAGGAGCGCTTCCAGACAGAAGCAGCAAACTAGCAGGGGGTCTACCAGAGGAAGTCAAAGAGGTATGCAATTTAACATATGAAAGGTCTTTAATTTGTTAGAGGTCTTTTAGAGCACTATAAAATTTGCACAATTAATCAATGTACTGCCCTTAATTACACTGCTTTAATAAATAATAAACACTTTCTTTTATATGCACTTAAATCTTAACACATTAATATTCCTTCAGTGACTGCGAATAAACCAAGACGTTAAACGTTTGTGCCAATTTTATGAACATGAATATTTTTTCGCAACAACTATGAATGTATGTTTTTAGGTAAAGTCAGGGCTTCTGCGGAAGAATTCTCCAGCCGATAAGCAATAAACGAAGGAGTCCTAAAATAATTTTATAAATTTTGTACCATATTTTAACACTGTAGTCTTGCAAAATAAAAGTTTATTTCTACTTCTTTTACTTTCATATCTACTTTCTGGTGAAGTCTTATTATAGTTACACAAAAGGTACTCTGGGATTAATACTTTGGGAACAACTTTTAACATTTGCATACCGTTTATGACGTTTATGTTGATTTTAGGTAGCGTAAACACAGCCAAAGCCGTACCCACCCCAGCCCCAGTATCTAAGAGGAACCCATGGTACATCCCTCCAATTAAGTGCGATGAACCCGACGACCATGTTCTTTACGCACAAATGGGACCCACAGGAAGCAAGAGGGGATACCCAGCGATTACAGGGCACGTTGGATGGGGTATTTCATGGTACATAAATGGGCTTCTTATCCCCGAAATCAACGTAGTTAGAGGCGTACAATATACTTTCATTGCTGAGGGTGGAGATGATCCCGAAGTTCCAGCAAAATACCATCCCTTCTATATCACAGATGACTCCGTGGGAGGTTATGAACATAAATCACCGGAAGAGAAGAAGGTATGAAATCTTTACATCAATTATATTGATTATTATCATTAATAATATATTTTAAGAATGTTACAATATTCTCTGGAGCCGTTAAAGACAAAGATGGAAACTACGTTCCCACAGGAACTGGGCGTTTATGCCACTGGACTCCAGACTCTGACGTTGATGCTGATGACTTCGATTCCTTTGGAGAGTATCAGCGTTACTTGAAATTGAAATGCGACGTGGGTGAACCTGGGGTAATAACCTGGACTCCTGACAGAAACACACCCGATACTGTCTATTATCAAGTACGTGGAATGGTTATTTAGTTCGATGAAGGATTAATAATTTTTTTTAGTGCTTCACTCATCGGTACTTGGGCTGGAAAATTAACGTTTTAGATTCTTGCGATGAAGCCTCAGCAGCCAGTGAAGTAAAACCTGTAGTGGTCGAGGCACCTTTAAACTTGGAGGAAGAATACAAGGGGGATCTGGAAGATAGTCCCTCCATTAGGATAGAAACAAGGGTAAAACCAAATGCAATACAATTAACCGAAGAAAAAGAAGTACAACCAACTTTAAAACCATCATTTTCAGAACTGATAACCAAACCTATACATCAAGAACGACCTGTACAAATTTTCCTACCACAACAAGGCTTTCACGATCCATACAGATACAATCCAGGGAGGTACCAATACCCATTCCAGTTCGAAAATCCCTACGCTTACAATGACTTCAGACCAAGCCCTACCATGGACTACAACACTGCCAAAACTAGCACTACAAGTACTACAACAAGCACAACCACGACAACTACCACTACTACAACAGAAAAACCAAACACTAACACAAATACTAACATCAACTCTAAAATCAGTTCTGTTCCAGTACAGACAAAATTCAACGACGTTTTTCTCCTACCACCACCTTCAAAACGACACTACAACAACTACAGGCCATTACTGAGACCAAACTTTCAATCATTTCCTCTGAGAAACCCAAACCAAGCCATGAGACATGTCATCACCGTCCCATCCCATCACATGCTCCCGAAAAAACCCATCTACAAACCAGCAATCAAACCTTACATGAGACCGATGTTTATTAATCCCTTCATGCAATATCAACCCATGCAGCACATGAATAACATGCCGATAATCTCTTTGGTCCCGAAAATATCACAACCCCAATTACAAAAGACAGAATTTGTTGTAACTACAACGACAACGACAACTCAGAAACCTCAAAACGAAATAAAAAACGTGGAAATTTCACCGCAACAACCTTCCACCGAAAGAGATCCTGAAGTATCCTTTTCTTCTTCTTCACTGTATGTTTCTGAAATTAGGCAAATGCCACCTGCTCGTAATACGGGCTTCATACCATCCTCTGTGGTCATAGAAAAGGGGTTTAAGCCTATAATAAGCAAGGAGTTTAATAAGCGAGTGTCAGAGGATGAGCCTGAGTTGAACTACGAAGGGGAACTTGGGGTTATAAATATAAGAGGCGATAGTAGGATCAAGCCTATGCATAGCTCTACAGATAAATACTTGGTTAATAAAAGACAATTTTCCAAGAAAAAGGTGGTTAAAATAGTCTATAAACATCCCAGAAGTTTGAATGAAACCATCGGTGGTATAGCGAATGCTACCGACATGGAACCCATTGCAGAGGCTGCCGAACGTGTCTCGTATTACTTACCTCCAAAAGATGCAAACCCTGAAAAAAGCATTAAAACCCGAGTTCAATCGCCGTCTGAAATAGACATAGACATAGAAATACCTCGCGCTGCGTCTACAGATGTGGATTCTTCCCGCGTCGACTTGGCCCCTGACGTAGTCGTCACATACGACGGAAAAAGGATATCGGGAGCCAGTCTAACAGCCAAGGTGGACGATAGAGGCAACGTGATAGACTACAAACCGTCCAAAGCAGTGCAGTTACTCAAAATATACCCGCAAACTCTACCCTACAGCGGCGATTTACCGCCACTGTACCCAGAGTTCCTCAACAGCAAAGTCCCCCCTGTACAAGGAACTATAAATAGAGGTCTGGACGCTCCTTTGCCTTCCACCAAACTCACAAGAGTTACGAATCTCGAACCCCAGGAGTTGAGGAGGTCGAGGAGGTATGCCCATCACACTCCCGAACATTCTTTGGAACAGGAAATCCAGAGGAATGCAACGCAAAGTAAAAGCTCTTCCGGTGGTTTGCAGGCGAATTGGTTTAATAGTATGGTGGTTGTTGTGGTCGCTTACTGTCTATCGTATTTATAAAATTTCTGTTTTAATTTTTAGGTAATGTTAAGTTTTTTAATTTTATACATAAGAGTCGTTATTAGTTTGTAAATAAAGGAAATTAATTAATAACAAGGGTCTTTTCATATTCTTTTCGTCGTCATTGGAGTCTCATGCGGATGTCTGATAATTGAATTGATGGAATAGCAAAACGTCGCTTAGAATAATAAATAATAGACCCGTTCTGCAATTAGGACATGCGCATAAGACTCCAAGTATGATAGAAGCTCCACTTATATAGTACTCGAGTATTCGATTTATAATTAATAGTATTTTGGGCTTTATTAAATAAACTCCATAGTATTATACCAATCAATAATTTTAAAATCGGTACCTCAAGTGTTTTATAATTTTTATACTTAGTTACTCATATCTGGTTTGTTTACACAAATTACAATATTTATCTGTAACGTGACCTCTAGCGTTTCTAAGCATGAAATGTTTTAATCGTTTAATCGCCTTTTAACAAGACTTATTTACTGAATGATAATATTATTGACCTTAACTTAAAATTCAATTAAACAATTAAAAATTGTTTTTTTAAGTAGTGTGAGATTTTTTAACAGGTGGGTAGCATATGTGCGTTGATATAGGTTAGGTTTGTGTAATAACTACCAGTGGGTATATGAAGTAATCAATATTCTTGTATTAGTTATTAATAAACATAGTTTAAGATGATAGTACGGCGCTTACAATTGGCTATTTGTATAGTAAACTATTTTTACATTCAAAATAGTGTAGGGTAAAATAAGTTTTATATATTTACTGAACACTACATACTAAAAAAATATTTATGCTAATATTATAATAATTATTAAGCTTTAGCTTCTTTCTTAAGTAAACTTACATAACCTTAATATAAACCAGACAAGCGCGAATTTCAAATTATACATTTTTAGATACTCAAATCCTATAGGAACCATGGTGCTAGACCCAAAATCGCTTTTGGTTGAGAAGAAACACCTCCATACGCCACCCCTAAGTGAAATAGCAGATTGCAAGTATTCACTTACTTAGCTCTAACTGTATCTAATAAATAATATTTTTTCAGATTTAAATGAGGGATTAAAATCAAACTTTCAAGATGTCAAAGTTGACGTGGTAGATTGTCCTGACTTAACCCAACAACCCTTTACTCTAGCTGATAAAGGTTAACAATGAAAACATATGTTACTGAATTACTTGGGTATGTTGTAGGTCTAAATGGTGATCCAAAATTAGTTGAAGTTGGTGGTCCACCATTCTTGCTACCTCTAGTCCAAAAAGACAAAGTTTACGATGTCAAAGACATTGCTAAACTGGCCCATTCAGATCCTGCATTTGTTATAGGGGCTGGTGCAGGTCCTCACCCCTACATTGGAAAGAATTGTGAAGTAAGTAAATAATGATGATGCATATTTTTGTTTAATGTGTGTTTTAGGGTGTTTACAACCTAAAAATCACTAATGGCACCATTGAACAACACACCAGAATATCCAAGGTTGTTGAAGGCAGTGACAAACCTGTACAGGAAATTTTGCCAAACACTGAAAGCAGAGTTGCTTTGCTTGCAAACTTCTTTGTTTCTGAAGGAAAACCTGGAAAAGTATGTACTGTGATCCACTGTAGATTCAGTGGCTTTAAACCAAACCATAAACATATTATTTTGTCGGTAGGTTCTTAAAGTGTCCGCAAGAAAGCGTATAGGAGCGGATGACTTCATAGCTAGCATCAGAAAAACCCTAATTTCAGCGTACCCAGAGCAACTGGTGGGTTTAGGTGGTGCCTTCCTGCTTAAGGAAGGTAAAGCAAAACAGCACGTGATGCCTGATTTCTCCAAAACTCCGCTAAACAGCGATGATGACGTTAACAACTGGCTGAATTTCTACAACATGTCAGCTCCACTTGTAGCTGTTGGCACCTTAGTCAATGGAGACGGGGTAACACGTTCGTAATAATATTGGGGGTGTTATTTTTACTGGTGGGTTTTAGGGTTTGGATTTGAGGGTTCAACATTTCCACAGCTTTAGCCACCACGGGGAAGCTGGACACTACCATATTGATACCACGCCAGACTTGGTCGAATATTTGGGATATTTCAATGTTGGCGCGGAGATTTATCGCATCGACAAACCAAATATTACTCACGCTTTTGGAAGAGACTAATTTTACAAATAAAAAGTTTATTTAGCCTAAAATATATAGTGTATCTTTCTTCTTATATAATTTCCTCTTGTATACAATATATATGGGTCATTTTGTTTATATAGTTTTCAGAGAAAATAAAACAGTATTTTGTTATGAGAACATAGATAATATAATAAATATACTGTTCCAGACCGGGCCAGTCACTTTTTCAAACAGTTTCTACAATATCTGTGTTTTCTAAATTTGAATGCAAGGGAAGCGACGAGTATACCAGGGTACTAATTAAATACATAATTTATTGGAAAATATAAGATTTATTGCAACTTTGAGCATATTATACATTAAATATCTTAAAATCAAATAATACCACACATCAGTAGCGGCTGGTGGATTTTGGGTATCCCGATATCTCAATTATTAGATATGGGACCCACACCAAATTTATATGAGTTTATAATGACATTAAATAAACAAGTTCTGCGCAAGCAGAATTTAAATTAAAGTTTGCGAAAAAAAGATAACCGAAACATCGAACATGGAACTGACGACACGGTACTGATGAATGGGATACAAATTTGAGATTATAATTCGGAATTAAGTATTTTACTGATATTTTTTATTAGTGGATGATACTTATCAACAAATCACATATAGCCTTATATAAATTACAATGAAATATATATACGTAAGAAAACTACTCACCACAGTACTGAAATTTTGACTGGAACTATACGTGCATTCACCTCAACTTCGCCGCTTGCATTGTTTTCAAGATGACTGTCGTGCAAAGGGCGGGCTTTGTAGGTAATTTTTTTACCAACACTTGAGTTAAAACGAGGACGACGTTTAAACTTCAATATTTCGCAGGAATTTTGAATTTTAACATTGGACACAGAACTGACGGGTAAAAGTAAGTACAAAGACTATCAATTTTTTAAAAATTGCTATTATTCGAATCTATGATAAAATATGAAGAATACATTATTTAATGTTTTATAGTTTGTAGTGAAATTGAAAAATTTAAGATAAATTGAATATATTTTAAAATAAAATCACTCAAATATTTGATTCAGGAGTTGTGACACGCCAAGGTACTGATGTTTTGAATATTTGTTATGTTTTTCTACAAACGTGCTTTTGAAAAAATATATTAAAATTGGGTGGACAATTTTAAAAAACCTGGATCTTTTGTAATATACTAAAATATTTACAAAAAATATGAAAATACTACTACCTACTCTATTGACTGATATCATATGACATCAAGTTGTCCAACTGTTGTAGAATCACCCATAACTATTTTTAATATATAAGTATCAAAGATATTATCGATAGTCTTAAGTTGAGACTTAACCAACAATGACACAAATAAAGGTTATGTACCTAACCAAAGTCACATCCACAACTTAAACCAACCCATGGCGCAATATTTGGCGCCCACTATTAATAGGGTACCTATACGTATGGAACAACACAACAACAGGTGTTGTTCTATGGTTTTAACCTTACAAATTGAAAGTTACAATTGTTAACAATTCTGTGATAATAACAACGGTGATACCTACATAATTTTGCTATAATCTGTTATAATGGAAGAAATTTCAAAGAAAACCTATTGCACCATAAAAACCTATCACACCATAAAAACACCGAAGCGTTCGGGTTGCGAATCATAGGTTTCTCTTGCGAATGCACTTTTAACTCCCTACTCCAACACTACACCGCACTACACTTACACCAAACCGCAATCCCGAACTCACCTTATATATACACAGGAAATAAAGGGGAACCTAGTGTGCTGTGGAGAATGCCGTATTGTGATTTGTTCATTGCTTTCCATATAGATCATTTTCTATAGAAAGTACAATCGCAAATTTCAAGACACCACCAAGTACTTCTAAAGAAAATGGTTTCTACACGTGGTAAATGATTAACCAATGAGAGCACTGTTGCGGTGGAGAATGCTAGGTATTAAAAAGCGTGTTTTTATCCTATAAAATCCGAAAATCCTTGTGTATATTACAAATAAAGCTATAAAAAATAAACTATTATTTACCGAATATAAGTATCTGTGCATTGCTAAATAGTTGCAATCTTCATACTTTGCTACAGTGACTATTTAATATTTACGCAACAATGAGGTGTCTACAAATACTTTTGCTGTTGGTAGGTAAATATAAACAAACGTCATTATTACTCCTTTACATTAAATTTTCAGTCATATTCTTACATGGTGCATTGTTTTGTCTGTACTACAACTGGTAAATTCAGAGTAAACAGAAGTTGTGGCACTTACTATAACTGTCAAGAATCGGGAAAATATCCAGGAGTTTTGATCAAAACCAAGGTATCGTGCGGACTTAACAAGATTTTTTATACTACCAGCAAGACAAGTGGAAAATGTGACGCTGATGCTCTATGCGTTGATTTTCTCTGCCAAGGAAAATCCGTGGGGTCTATAATAAGAGATCCAAATGAGGACACCAGTGGAATACTGTGCCCGAAAAATTACTACATTTGTACCTATACTGGAATCGTTACCCCGAAATTTAACAAATGCAATGCGACATCTTGTTTTGATCCTACAAACCCGGGAAATCCCTGTGTAAAATATATGTAAAAATACTATATCTATATGCCTATATATTTGCAATATTTCCAATTTAAATTTAACATGATACATTAAAAAAATATATTGCGATTGTAATTAAAGAAAATAATTGTTGCCCTATAAATATTAGGTACTAAACCCCTTCAAAGATAAAAATTAATTTATATTTAATATAGTTTTATAATGTTGTTTATTTTGGTGTCAGTTAACTAATGCATAGGTTTACTAACGAAATTTAAAAAGAATACAGATTAAATCAGTCTACAAGTTTGATATATTTTTTTAAATAATTGTGTTGGTTAAATAAATAAATATATTTAAAATAATTATTAGCTTTATTAAAATACCTCTACCAATTATTAAAATTAAATGAATAGCATCCTTTTTTCTTTTTATTTGCAGGTTCTTCAGAATCAGGTTCAACTCTAAAAATAAAAAAAATATAAACAATAAAAAACCAACTAATATTAAAATTACTTTTTTGTGACAGTTGGGTTAATATATTTTCCAACACCAGTTCTAAAAACTTTAAGTTCTTTTTGTGAATTTATTTTTCTTGTTTTTGCTTCTTCCTCAAGCTTTTGCTTGTTAACTTCTTCTTCCCTTTGTTTTGCCAACTAAAAAAAATATTTGTATATTTAAAATACATAATGTGTATATATTATACATACAAGTTCATCTGCTTCCTCATAGGGGTTCACAAAAATCTGGGCCCTTATAAAAATAATGTCTTCTATAGGTTTATCTTTATTATCCACTTCAATTCGTTCCATTTCCGTTAGAGTCTCCATACCTCCAACCACTTTACCGAAAATTGTGTGTTTATTGTCCAGTTGTTTGCATGATCTGTATGTTATAAAACTACAAAAAACATTTCAGGCATTGGTACGAAAATTTAATTATTTGGAACCTTACAATTGAGAGCCATTAGTGTTTTTACCGGAATTGGCCATAGACAAAACACCCCTTCCCGTATGGGACAGATTTGGCCTGAATTCATCCTCAAACTTTTTACCCCAAATTGATTTACCCCCATTTCCAGTCCCAGTCGGATCACCCCCTTGTATCTAAAAAATCAGCGGGGTTTTTATTAATTTCGAAATTTTCTCAGGACCAAACAATTCATTAATATTAGAACCAATAAAATGCCAGTATTCCATAGTTACGTATTTTATCACAGCGAAAATAGCATCCCTAGCAACGATAAACAAGTGCATAGCAACCATATGGTTGCCATGGTAACGCATGGTAACTATAGCAACGTTTTTCACAACTTAAATTCTCATGACATTTACAATGTCTTATTTGAATAGTATAACTTTTTTATCTGAGGTTTTCTTGATTTTATTTGAACTTGAGTGTTTAGAATATTTAATTTCCTTTTATTTAAAGGTTAAGTTGATGTGTTTATGGGGAAAAACAAGCGAGTTATGCGGGAAAAACGATATATCAAAGACTACTAGATGGAATGTTTTTTTTTGTAACTTTCTTGTTTTTAGATGAATTTTTATGAAAAATATGTCATTTTGAAGGGTTTTTTATGCGCTATGTCATTTCTAATGTATTAGGTAAAAACAAATAATAATAATTTACCATAAAGTTCCTAATGGACCTATGAAACTTGGTTCCATTATAATAACCACTAAGACAATGCTTCATGAAATTCTCACACGTTTTTGGTACCACATCACAAAGCAGCTCCAAATTTAAGGGCCCAAAGTTGGTCAAAACTCGAACATAACCTTTTTTCTTGACTCTCTCATACCTAACCTCATCCTCATGCACTATAGCAGCCTCGTGCACCAAATTAACACCCATAGTGGTTGATGTAAAACTAGCAGCCACTCTGCCTGTGGAATAATGGGCTGCATTGAATTTATCTGCCTTCTCTGTGCTTTCCCTTGGGTTTATTTCGATGGTGGGGACTTTGTAATCCCTGTTCAACTCTTCCAAAGTGTATTTTGTCTCTGGATTCACTTTTCTTAGCCTCGCCTGGGGGTCGGATTTATCAGCAATTTCCTCCTCAGTTTCCACCCTCAAGTTTTTTTTGATGTGGTGAAACTTGGATATATTAAATTTCGATAAATCATTCGGGTCTTGCAGCACTATAATATCTTTCCTCTCGAATGGGGTATCCAAAATTAAATCCTTCCAGTTACGGTTTTTTATGTTCAACTGCTCTATAGCTTCAATAAGGTACACATTTCCTGTGGTTGCAATAGTAGCAACATGAGAGCTTTTCGTAAATGGTTTAAACAAAACTGGGCATTCAACTTCATCCTCACTGTTCTTACGAAAAGTGAGTTTTATGAAGGATTTTATATCGGCTGGCTTGCCAGTGACAGGGTTAACTTTAAATTTCTTTAAAAACGGCAGCAAAGGCTCCAAATCGAAAATGTTTCCCTCCAAATCGCAGTAAGGGATCTCGTATGGCTGCAACGATAAACAGCAGTGATCAAAAGGCAATCTTCTGAAGTTTTCTTCCTCCTTAGAAGTGTGCCCAGCCTTTTTACCACCATACAACGTACTCCATTCGGTGTACGTTAAGTACATTTTATCCTTTTGGTGCTGGCGCTTACCCATTTTCGTTTATTTTAGAAAAATCACGAAAATAACAAACGGTCTGTTACACTACACAAACTACACTATAGTACACTGGGGTTCATGCTTTCGGTTTTTTAACAGTTTGATTTTTATTACACTTAGTTTGTTGCAAGAACCAATTTTTAAGTATTTTTTACCATTACATTTATTTAAAGAGTTTAACATTAAATTTTAGCCTAGTTTAGTCAGGTAGGTCTTAGTGCCCACTTTTCACTTTCTGTTACACTGCGATTAGACCTAAAAAAGCTAGGTTAGGTTTGATTTATTATAGCTGTCACAACAAAAAACATGCAACTGTAAAAACCAAAATTACCAGATTACCAAAAACAAAAAATAAGACAACTTATTATAACAATGCAATTGGGAAATTAAACATTCTACATAATAAATTTGTAAATATAAAGCATATTTTGTAGTGAGCTTGCGTAAAGTGTGCGTTTTCTTTATTATAAAAAATAATTTTTTCGATTTTGGTGAGAATTTTTCGTCGTGTCAGTGTTGGCACTACTGCTTCGTTCTGTAGAAGTACGCCATGAGCCGAAATTTCTGAAAAGGGAGTGTGATTTGTTTTCAGTTTAAAGCAGTTTAAAAGTACGAGGTGAGTGGAAAGTTATATAATTAGGTTTAAAACACAATAAATGATCGTTAACTAATAGTTTCGAAGGTTTTTCGATAATAATTTCGCGAGAATCTTTTGAAAAAAATCGACCGTATTTAGCGGTGAAAACACAAGAGATTAGCGTATTGTCGTATAGATAAGACTCTTTGTATGTTATTATTATGTTGCGTAGATGAAATTGTGTTTTGGTTTTGGCGAAATTTGCGAAATTGGGGGTTTTGTATCGCTAGCAATCAAAATGGCCGCTAAGCTGTCAGGAATCAATTTTAATTTTGAGAAGGGTCACATTCCATTGTGCTTGAGACTTCAGAAGTAACTGTAAACGGCCTTAAAGCTGTGAATCAGTTGAAAACCACGTTTTTGTGCTGATTTACCGATACAATTTCGTTTATATCGAACAAAGAACAGTGGCAAAGTAAAGGTAATGAACATTTTTGCTAAGAACTGTGGAATTTGGGTTTTGCTGAATTTTAAGTGTAAATCTTTATTAAACCTGTTCTTAAACCATCGGGAACGTTTGTAACAAGTAAAAAACGGTAATTATATTAATAATATCAATTACACAATGTTTTAAGTGCTTATAATTTCCCAAACAGTTGTATTTTTTACTTTGGATAACATTTTATGTTCCATGAGAAAAAATCCTTACTTGTGGGCTTATTTTACAATTTTACTTATTTAAGTAACAATTTTAATAATAAAGGACATAAAATACGGTAATATAAAAATAAATTTACAATATTTGTGTCCTTTATCCTAAATATATTTTTAGTCCTTATTTTTTGTTTTAATATTTTGGGAAATTTTAGTAAAGAGTCAAAATTGTAGTTCTTATTTACTAAACATCATCCAATATATGTATCGAGGGTGTACATAATGTCTTAAACAATTTATTTATATGAAATAATGATTTTTTTAACATCTGACAACCATTGTTTAAAAAAGAAATACCTTCTTTTGGTTTCTAGAGTTTTAAGCTTGTCTTAGGTTTAAAATCCGGTAGAATCCTGTAGATTTAAATTTAAGACAGTTTGTCTAGGGTAAATTGACATTCTTAAAACATGTATATCTAGCTTAAGTATGCATTCTTAAGGTAGTTAAACCCAGCTTTAATTGACATTCTTAAGACAATTATATCTAGCTTAAGTTGACATTTAACTTAAATTGGCAGAGCTCTCAAAGTCCTAAAATTCAGCATTCTGTCCTAAATGTCCTATAAACTTGATATTGTCCTGAAATGTCCTAAAATTTGGCATTTTTTGTTTTGTTAATATTTATAATTGCCCCACCACCACATGTCACATGATATTGTCATGATACCAAAACCAGTTTGTGATCTGGGTTGCCTACTCTATGGTTTGGTGATCAAAATTAACTAATTGGATGATCAAATTGACTCCTATTAAAACAAAATTAACAATTTGAACCAGCTAATTTCAAAGGGAAAACTATTTATACCTTAGAATAAAAAGTAAATATTTTTTTATTTGTTTTTGATATCCAATGAATAATTTATTTTTATCTAATAAAACGTTTTCAAGTTATGGAAACAAAATTAACTTTCTATTATTGTCGTTATTAGAAAATTTATATAAATAAAAAAATCGCTATTTTGCTCATCACTACTGTTTTATAGTATTACACTCAGTATTACAAAATATGTAGGTAATAGTGGTTTTTATGGAAACAAAGCAAATAAGAGAGATGAGCTTGACATGGCTTTAGCCATGTATATAAAGGGTGTTATGTAATTAATGTAATATATTAAAATACCTTTTGATATAAGGTGTAACGGAAAAATATTTAAAAAAATATTTTCCCAAAGATAAAGAAAAATATGCATTGGAAGTATATTTTTGTGATACACCACTTGTGTTCTGTGAGTACATAGATACTGGCGTTGCCTGTTGTAAAACATTGTTACTAAAAATTTGTCTTGCAAAAAATAAATAAAAACGCAATAAATACAAAAGTTTTAGCTATTAGCTTAAGCAATGATAGAAAATTTAGTACCTATTTTAAAAAGTCAATAACCACAAAATTAATTTTTTCATTGGTTTTTTTCTTCCTGTTTACTCAGATGAAATTAGGACGACTTCACAGGTTAAACTTTAAACATTAAATTTGTGTAAATAAATACAAAAGCACTTGCACTAGTTAATATATATAAATGCACTAGATTCTGTCCTAAAAGTTGCAAGATTTTGTTTGAATTTACCTTCATTAAAAAAATGACATAATAATCAATTAATAAAAACGCCAAATTAACAAATTGCATTGTTGATTTTGTCATTTTTGTAATTAAGCTAAATTTAAACAAAATCTGGCAACTTTTTTGACAGATTCTGGAAACGCTGGTTGTTACCAACCATAATAATAATAATAATAGCTTTATTAATACTTTTGCCATACATCTATGGGTGTACAAGTCATTTGATAGAAAAATCAGGTACAAATATCGAATAAAAATCACATCAGGCGAATATATGAAACAAACTCAAAACATTATCAATACAAACAATAGAAAACAGTTTACAATGACTTATAGTCTAAATATTCTTTAACAGAGTAAAAAGAATTTTCCTGTAACAAAATTTTAACTTTTTGTCGAAATAGGTTAGAGTTTAATGTTTTTATTTTTTCTGGTAATTTTCTATATAGTTTTATTCCAGCATATGCTGGAGAACTTTCGGTTTTTTTTTTTGTTTTGTGTTTTTGTATAATCAGCTCATTTCGATTTCTGGTTAAATAATTGTGACTGTCAGATCCCACTTCATACCTATCAATATTTTGCTTAATATATAACAAGCACTTAAATATATACATACAGAGAAAAGTAAGAATTATTTTCTGCTGAAACGTCTTTTTACATGATTGAACATAATTAAGGCCAAAAATTAAACGAATGATTTTCTTTTGAGCAGTGAAAATTCGCCCGCTTTCTACGCAATCTCCCCATAATATTATATTATATGACAAATGACTATAGACTAAAGAATAATAAACATTTAACAATTGATCCTTGTTAAGTATATTTTTTAAATTTAGTATATCAAATAATAATAATAAATAAGATAATAAATTAAATTAGCAGATTAGCCTAAAGTTCCTAGTCGATCAGTGGCGTACTTTTTGGTAGATAAAGGTTATTATAAATTATTTTGTCAGGTGCTTCTTTTAATGTAACCTATGTGTAAAAGAAGTAATATTTATTTATATTTTTGTTAAAAATAATTATTTAAGTACTGTTTTCTCATTTTTTAAGTATAGTGTAAAGTTGTTTTTATTTAATTACAGAAATTTATTTGAATACTTTATTTCTCTTAAATTTCTCCAAAAATGTACACACAGATACTTTAAGCAGTGCATAAGATGTTTTTATGTCAGTGTAATAAAGGAAACTTAACTTTATGATTTAACATTTCGCTTTTAGAAAAATGTCTTCGGCGGGATCTAGCGGTTCGGGGCGCGGCAGGGGCGGCGCCGCCGTCTCCGGCGACCAGAAGGAGGCTAAAGAGAGCAAACCCAACCCGAAGATGTCGAAGGCGTTGGGCACGTCTGCGAAACGCATACAGAAGGAGCTGGCCGAGATCACTTTGGACCCGCCGCCCAACTGCAGCGCCGGCCCCAAGGGCGAGAACTTCTACGAGTGGGTGTCGACGATCCTCGGCCCGCCCGGCTCGGTCTACGAGGGCGGCGTTTTCTTCCTCGACATCCACTTCTCGCCAGAGTACCCCTTTAAGCCGCCCAAGGTCACCTTCAGGACGAGGATCTACCATTGCAACATCAACAGCCAGGGCGTGATCTGCTTGGACATTCTGAAGGACAACTGGTCGCCCGCGCTCACCATCTCCAAGGTCCTGCTCTCCATTTGTTCTCTGCTCACAGACTGCAATCCAGGTGAGCGGTTTTTTCTACTATTTTCACTCTTAAACGTAAAATATTGGTTGGGCAAGCATTTGTGGTAGATTTTTTATGTTTGAACCACAAAGTTTAAAAATAAACTCACCATAACCAAAAAAGTTGTGTACAGTTGGAGAAAATAGTAATGTGCCTCAAAATGCAAAATTAATGAAATTTGAATATATTATAATAATATTTATTATGCTCTTAAAGTATTTACAATGTTTTCAAATATAAACTTAAATAAAACATCTAAAATAACCAAAAACTATTTTAAAAATGTCACCCACAATTTTAAAATGAGCAAAAAACTCCTAAAAAGTTTTGGTTGTCTAAAATGATACAAACTCTATTATAATACATTTTATGAACAGTTTTTGATCATTTTAGACAGTTTTATGGAACAACTGTCTACAAATTTGAATATATTTTAAAATGCTCTAAAAGGATTTACAATTTTTGCACAAGTAAATATAAACTTACTGTTTTAATGACAAAAAACTACATTAAAAATTTCACCGACATTTTTAAAATGAGCAAAAAACTTCCAAAAAGTTTTGGTTATCTAAAATGATACAAACTCTATTATAATACATTTTATACAGTTTTTGATCATTTTAGACCATTTTATGGAACAACTGTCAACAAATTTGAATATATTATAAAATGCTCTAAAAGGATTTACAATTTTTGCACAAGTAAATATAAACTTAACTTAAACTGTTTTAATGACCAAAAACTACTTTAAAAATTTCACCCACAGTTTTAAAATGAGCAAAAATCTCCTAAAAAGTTTTGGTTATCTAAAATTATACACTCTATTATAATACATTTTAGACAGTTTTTGATCATTTTAGACAGTCTTATGGAAAACTGTCTACAAATTTGAATATATTATAAAATGCTCTAAAAGGATTTACAATTTTTGCACAAGTAAATATAAACTTACTGTTTTAATGACAAAAAACTACATTAAAAATTTCACCCACAGTTTTAAAATGAGCAAAAAACTCCTAAAAAGTTTTGGTTATCTAAAATTATACACTCTATTATAATACATTTTAGACAGTTTTTGATCATTTTAGACAGTCTTATGGAAAACTGTCTACAAATTTGAATATATTATAAAATGCTCTAAAATGATTTACAATTTTTGCACAAGTAAATATAAACTTAACTTAAACTGTTTTAATGACAAAAAACTACTTTAAAAATTTCACCCACATTTTTAAAATGAGCAAAAAACTCCTAAAAAGTTTTGGTGATCTAAAATGATACACTCTATTATAATACATTTTAGACAGTTTTTGGTCATTTTAAACAGTTTTATCATTAAGTAAAGAACCTTACTCAATGGTTTTATGAAACAACTGTCTACAAATTTGCTTTGAAAGGATTTAAAATTTTTGCACAAGTAAATATAAATTTAACTTAAACTGTTTTAAATTAAGCAAAAAACTCCTAAATAGTTTTGATTATCTAAAATTAACTCTATTATAATACATTTCAGACAGTTTCTGGTTATTTTAAATTGTTTTAATGACAAAAAACTACTTTAAAAATTTCACCCACATTTTTAAAATGAGCAAAAAACTCCTAAAAAGTTTTGGTGATCTAAAATGATACACTCTATTATAATACATTTTAGACAGTTTTTGGTCATTTTAAACAGTTTTATCATTGAGTAAAGAACCTTACTCAATGGTTTTATGAAACAACTGTCTACAAATTTGCTTTGAAAGGATTTAAAATTTTTGCACAAGTAAATATAAATTTAACTTAAACTGTTTTAAATTAAGCAAAAAACTCCTAAATAGTTTTGATTATCTAAAATTAACTCTATTATAATACATTTCAGACAGTTTCTGGTTATTTTAGACAGTTTTATGGAACAACTTTCTACAAATTTGAATACCTTATTTTACATAGTTATTTCTTTGTAGTGGTCTTAATTCGTTTTCACAACTCATTTTTAAATTTTAAATAACACTGCATATGCCACTGTTTTTTTTGTCCGATTTTTTTCTTGTTTCTTGTGTAAAAATTTACCGTGGTTTATTTTTACAAGGCAATGTAAACTATTTTTTTAAATTATTTTCCATGCGTTAACACTTCCAGTTAAACTGAAAGTGATATCAACTTTGGGTTTTCAAATGGAACCATATAAATATTATTGCATTTGAAAATGTTATACAGGGTGTCTGGTATTTATGTTGACTTATTTCTTAATTCTAGAATTTAACGTGGAATTGAAAGATGCAATAATATTAATATGGCAAGTAGGTAACAAGTTGCAAATTTGAAATTTTTGCAGCTGATCCGCTAGTGGGCAGCATAGCGACGCAATACCAACAGAACCGAGAAGAACACGATCGCATCGCCCGATTGTGGACGAAACGTTACGCGACGTGATCGCCCTGTTGCCGTTACGCCGACGCCGCAAATACGCCACCACTTCGCCACAAATGGCAACGTTGTACGGTATACTCATCAACTATAACCATTACGTCATCACCCGCTACCACTCTAACTGCTGCAGTTTAAATAATACTATATCGATTGTTTGTCTTGTCAAAAAAATAACAAAAAAAAAATGAACGTTCATAGTGCGAAGTAGACTTTTTATTAGAAATGGGGTAGTTAAATTTTTTCTGACCTATACTTTTTATGGTTTTATTCAAGGCGTTTTGTAATTTTAAACATTTCTGTGAAATCAGAATTTCAATTGAGTTTACCGTTTTCGAGATATTTACAAAAAATATAAATTTTTATGACGTCACAAACCTCGCCATGTGACCAACATTCTAAGATTTCTATTGGTTGAAAATTACCCTGTTGTCAAGTTGTCTTGTTAATGATTTGATTCGGTTATGTCAGAAAATACCCGAAGAGGTTATGTACAAATACTGTCACTGTCAGTTGAGTGAAAGATGGTCACCAAATTCATTAAGTACCTATCTTCCTTATTACGCGGTATCATATTACTGTTTGATATTTTAGAGTCCAAGATATATCTAAAAGAATATAAAGAACTAGGCATTATACTAATGAAGTGCATTTATGACAAAATATGATTATATGATTATAGGTACTTACTTTATTTGTTTAAAAGCTCCAATGTTCAATGTAATCAACCATTCCACAAGATTTCTCTGCTTTGGAGTCCATTATTAATAAATCACTTATCTAATATCAATTACAAATATCATAACAATAACATTGATTTTCAATAATCTAAATTAAAAAAAAACATAACCCGAAAAAAAGAAACGTCAAAAAATCAATTTTTCTTCTCAACTAAAATTATAGATCAAGTGGTTTTAAAACTAAAATATTATAACGTGGCGCCATCTATCGTAAGAATCTTAAACTAAACACACTGGCAACCATAGAAAAAGCTGGCAACGTTGTCAATAGCCTAGTGACGTAATTAGGAGATTTTTTTTTGTAAATATCTCGAAAACGGTAAACTCAATTGAAATTCCGATTTCACAGAAATGTTCAAAATTACAAAACGCCTTGAATAAAACCATAAAAAGTATAGGTCAGAAAAAATTTAACTACCCCATTGTTTTGTCTCAGTGGCCAAAAACTGTTTTAATTGTTTATTTATAACACGACTATTATTCGAGTTCCTTGTTGAGAAACAACGCGTTCTTTCATATCAAAAAAGCCAAGTTTTATTTGTTTTTTTTTTATATATTATAATCGATGGTTTCCATTATACAGGGCGAGTCAGAAACCCATCTCCACTCAGTACCTACATACATCAAAATTATTGAATTAAAAACCTTCCAATCAACATTGATTCACCCTGTATACTTTTCTCCTTGTAAGAGCGTGCAATTAACGTTTAAGATACTGTGTAGATGCTTGTGCGGAATTATTATTTAAATAAAAAAATCGTTTTCGAAATTCGCGACTTTTCTTTCCACGGAAAATAAAGTCGCAATTTCAAAACACCCCAGAGCACTCAAATTGTCGTCAAACAACCCAGAAACCCGCTTATTTGTATATATCCTACTTTTAAACGTCAAACGATTTATCATTTTATTCGAATTATTCCGACAATAATTTTAGTGCTCGTTTTCTGTGACTATATGCGCTAATTTTGGCACGTCACAAAATCGTACAACTCAGTTGTCGGATTTTGCGACGTTGCCGTTGGTTTTGTGATGTGTTTTTTCTAATTGAACCGAGGATGTTTTTTGTTGTATCAATAATAAAAAAGTCCTCCCCCTCCCCCAACTGCTTGTGTAAAGTATACTTTTTTTACTAAATTAAGAGAATATGGACTATATTCTTCTAGTACTGTTTAGTTTATGTAACAATAAATTTTAGTAAGTAATGTAATGAAATGCGTTTTATTTACCTGACTTTCTTAATAAAAAAATACATTTCAGCTACAAAAATTACAGAGGAACAAACCAAACCCAAAAGTAATTTCGTTTCTTGCTCCAAATATCCAATTATTAAATTAATTCCATAATATCCAAACACAAATCCTGTTATTAACGATAAAAAAACCTGGACTGCTCCCAAAATATACTGATTTATTTCTTTTAACTCTTCCGATAAAGTTTTTTCTCTAATATCTTCAATATTCATCATATTTTTATATTCCATATTCAACAAGTTTGCTCTTAGAATATTACATCTTTTCTCCAATTCTGAATTTCTTTTAATTTCAGGATTTTCAGGCAAATTTATAATGGAATTTTCAAGTAATTCATGCAAAAACACTCTTTCCTTGGAGATTTTTAGTTTTTCTTCGATTTTTATTAAATCTTCAACGTACAACAACGCTTTTGAACTTTCTTCAAAATTATTGACCTTAAGATAAGTTTTAAACCTTTCTGCGGGCTCAATTCTTACCAAGTTATCTTTTAAAGGCCCTTTAAGCGCCATTGTACCGTCAAAATACGAATAACCTCAAAAGTTTATTGATTTGCATTGCATCGTTTCAAGTGCACAGTGTAATCGCCATAGAAATATTTCTATGGTAATCGCCGTAGATCATCTGACTGCATCGCGGTCACATGATCCAGTCGCCCAGCGGGTTATTGGTGCGATTCTATTGGCCGCGCGCGCGACTTTCAACATGGCGGACTGTCGCAGCTCGACTTGTTTGACTTTTGAATCAGCTGTCATTCGAGCAGCAATATTCGTGGCGAAGAACTGAGCGGCCATCAAATTCTGTGATTTAACGCTAAAGCTAGAAAATATCCATGATGGATTGCACGTCTGTGATGAGGAACTACTCGCGGTACCTGCTGGTTATTTTCAACTTCTTTTTTGCGGTAAGTTTGGCCGACATTCGCGCATTCGATTCCTTTATGTTTTCGTGCTAAAAATAGTGTGTTTTTGACGTATTTGTTTACGAAAATCGCCTGTTTTTGTTGTGCAATATTTGTTTTTTGCCGATTGATTTTTTTTCGTAATCTTTTAATCTAATAACATTGTCGTAAATCTGATTGTAATGCGAGACAATTCATGGCTGATTTGTTGATTTTATTACAAAATGCCGGCTTTTGCACACAAAGGATTTATAAAGATGTTAATTAGGTAGCCCTTATTATGCAACAATTTGCAATTCAGTTACAGATACATACATTTGTAATTTAAAACCTTGTTTTTGTTGAAATTATGAAATTTGTTTTTGACATACCTACATTTATTAAACTTAACTATAAAAAACTACATGATTCATATGAAATGGAATTGTTTGTTGTTGTAGATAAGGAAAATTGATATAATTGTGTACATGTCACACTAAAGTAGTTTCAGGAAAAATATCTACAGCTCGTTTTTTTTATTACGGAATTTTATAATGTCAAAAATTTGGGGGTTTAGTTGGCAAATTCTAGCTACCCTAAATTCATCATTGAATAAAGCAATTGTCAATTAAAAGTTGTTAAAAAATGCAATTTGATGAAATATAGGTGACTTTACGGCCAAATAGAGACAAATTTGCATTTTCAGCGTAAAAATACACATTGATGTCTATTATAATTTTGACAGTTGGGTAAATGACAAATGTAAAAGTTATTAAAATAATAAGAGGCTTTAACAAGAGTACCAATTTTAAATATTAAAAATACCAAAGTTTAACATACAATACCAACATAATCAAATGTGTCAAATTCCGAATAAAAAAACGAACTTGTCAGTGAAAATGATTATTTTTTATTTTTGGTTGTTTCTGGGGTCTGGTAATAACATAACATAAGTGGTTCTGCACCAATGCAAGAATTTTAAGAAATCATTCATTTTGAATATTAGAGCTTCACGGAAGATAGCTTTTGACACCTTAATATTTTTTAAAAATACAATTGTACCTACATACATAAAATATTTATACAAAAAAACTATTTACTGAGATATTAGACTTCACGGTGGATAGGTTTGTTAAATAGCAAATTAATGAACTTAAACTTTTGAATTCTAAAACAGCAACACTCTCATCTGCATATAAATTCTAACTGACCTTCAGGAATCACATGCATCTATAATGTCGTAAACAGAGGTTTTGGCTTATTTAAAATGATTAAAGCAATTTTTGTAATTTCTTTTAATTTTTAATAATATTTTATATTTGATTTGATTGCTTTGGATGTGTTTAATTTACTTGGTAAACTGATATTTTTAGTATGCTTTTATTACCTCAGATATTTGAAAACAAATAGGTTAACCTAGAAAGAGTAACCGTCACGGAGGATAGGTTTTAGACTTCATAATGGACGTAACCATAAGATGACCGTAAAACGTAAACATAATATCACCATAATTTGTACGTAACGATGAGTTGTGTTTATAATGAACGTATGCCTTATGTATACATTAATAATGGCAGGATTGACAGATTTCGTCTAATTATTATGTCTTAAATAATAATTGTAATTATAAATATAAATTAAGTTAAAACTATCAGTGTTATGGTTCTTTAGATTGTTTGTTCTGTGGATACATTAGAATACACTTGAAAAAGATCTGTTTGCATGGCTACTACCCTGATTGCTACCAACAATGTTGTAGTGAAATCATGAAAATTACTAAAATTCACACATAAGAAACCCGTAAAGTTGTGATGATTTAAACTTTACGTATTTTTTACGGTCACCCGTAAGATCTTATGTTTTGTTAATATTCAACTTTACGTTTTACGTCCATTATGAATGAGCACTAATATCTACTTAATTATGAAGATCAAAGCAGACAGCAAGAAACCTGCCACCCACTACACTTTTTAGCTATAACAATTGTTTTAGCTCACTGGTATTTTGATTATTTCCATTGGTGCCAGTGTGAAAGCCTACTACAATGAATATGAAAGCTTCCTCGACGAGAAATATATGTACTCTTCGGACCTTCTCATTGTTGTTGGCGTTATTATTTTCATTATTGCCTTCTTCGGATGTTGTGGCGCCATGAAGGAGAATGTCTGTATGACAACAACAGTGAGACAAAATTATTTTAATGGAATATCGGTTTCTTAAATTTTTTCGTTTTAGTATTCCAGCTTGTTGATTGTGGTATTTATTTTGGAAATATTGGTCGGCATTGGTGGTATTGTTTTGAAAAGTAAGACCAGAGATGTTGTGGAAAATGCTCTGATAACCACAATGAAGGAATATGATAATCCCAAGTACAATGAGACCACTGCCCTATGGGATCAAGTTCAAAACCAGGTAGGTAATATAGTATATTATAAAAATATTATGTTATAATATTTTTATCACTTTCTTTGTTTGTATTTTGTGGCTCTAGAAAGTATAGTCGCATATTTTAAGTGATGACAATTTTTCATTTCTTAACTGTTACCAACCTGAACTTGGTAACTTATTTCAGTTCCAATGCTGTGGCGTAATGAACTACACCGACTGGATGACCAGTAACTCGACAGATCATAAATTGCCGATTTCTTGTTGTCCAATACCGACCGGCGCCACTGGTGTAATGACGTGCAACCAAGATAACGCGTACAAACTCGGTTGCCTGGATAAATTCACCGATTATATCGAAGGCCACGCCACCACAATAGAGGGCGTTGGAATCGGTCTTGCTGTATTACAGGTAAATAAATAACTCGGGGAGATCTTAATCTGAAATCATTTTTTTAGATTTTGGGAATTTTGCTCTCCTGCTACCTCTCAAAGCAAATCCGTGGCGACTACGAGACAGTCTAAACATTTAATAATCTCTAAGTAATAACCAAAGTTTTAACATCCTAATTATATTTATCAAAAATCCTCTTTAGTGTTTAAATGGTTTCGTCGGATTTATTATGTTAAAAAAATATTAATTAGGTTATAGGCAGTGTTAATTTGCTGGCGATCGGGGTATTTTTTATGTGGTTGTTTTTTATAGCATAATAAGTTTGATGAGCATTCTTGAAAATTAGGATTAGATGACGATTGTGTATTGATTAATTTTTTAATAAACTTTCGACCCTATACTGTGGTTTTATTGAAAAATAAAAAATTATTAGTGTTTGACTTCAATAGTCAATAAAATGATTTTCTTTTTACGTTCATCGCATTGTTCCAAACAGGAAATAAAAATTCGCTGATAAAAACGTTTAATTAGTTTCCGGAAATGCAGTGTTTTTGAAAATATGTGTATCTGAAAACGCTTATTTCGAAATTATTCACCAGAAAAATTTAGTTGACCGATTTTTTCTCACACGTTTCAATATAAATAAATCAAAAAGTATACAGTACTCGTTTTGAAGAATATAGAATAAATCATATAAGAATGTCGGAAGATAAGTTTGAAAAATTGCAATTTTAAAAATACATTTTTCATCGCAGTTTTATGCATTTTTTGTAAATACATAAAGTATATTCTTGTATACTTTTTCATAAGTAAAATGACATCCGTTGAGATTTTTCGAGATTTCTACCTACCGTGATAATAACATTAATCTGTTGGAAAGAAAATGACAAATGAACAAAAATGATTTTTATCCGAAATCGGCAGTAAAGATTTGATACGAGTATTGTATGCCACCCATTATACATTTTAAGATGTGTCTACTGCTCCTCAGCAGCAACTAAATAATATTTTAAAAAAGCATCGTTGCTGAGGTCGGTTGGACCCTTTCATAAAATGTTGTTTAATAAAAATAATAAGTTAATTTTATTAATTAGATTAAAAAATCGCCGCGGCGGGCAAATATATAATAACCGTCGCAACAAACAGTATACGTAGACACTTCCTACATTCAAATGACATTTGATTTAATCATCAATATTAATTATTAGTATTATTAAATGTGATTTCGGATAAAATTTAATATGCACCTCGGCATTAAAGTCATTTTTTATCACTCACGTGGTTATTTTCCTCGGCAAATAATTTCCACATTCGTGATAAAAAATAAGCCTGATACATAAATAACTATTATCAAAAAATGTTGTCAAAAAAATTTCAGAAACATCAAAATTGCAAAATAACCATAGTCAATAAAAATCGCATATTCTGGGGGTTTAAAATCTGAGAAAATTCTAGATTATAGACCCATCTTTAAAAGGAGCTGTAAGAATACTAAGTTATAAAAAGACACTTAAAAAATTGATGAAAACTGTTTTATATTAAAAATAACAATTTATTTTAACTTAGGTTATAGGCTTAACGTTATCAGACGACGAAGAAAGTTTGGCTCTATTATATTTGGCGACTGTCCAAGCTCTATCGGTAAAAAGTTTTAATACAAACCAACCTTATTTTATTCAGCTATTTTAGTATGGAACAAGACTAATCCTGGAGACCTTAGTTAAGTCAGGTTACAAAGAAATAAAGTCAACCTTAATATGTGGCGGTTTAAGCAAGAACTCACTTTTTACACAAGCCCAAGCCGATGTTTGTAATCTGCCCGTTGTTTGCCCCGATGAAGTCAATGGGAGGTAAGGGAAAGGTGGTGTTTCCCGATAAAAATGTTGTTGAATATCACAATAAAAAGTATATATACTTTATAAAGTGTATCTTAAGATGTACGAAGATCAGTTGGTGTATAGGAATATAATGAAATAAACTTTGTTTTTTAGTTTCATTTAATAACAACCTTTTTTTTTATTACATTAACAAATAACCATCAACATTTTCTAAAAATGTAGAAATAATTTTATTTAAACTGAATATTAACTTTTAATTTAAAATTTTAAATTAACAGTTAATATTCAGTTTAAATAAAATTAAACTTAAGTTTTATTTCAGTTCAAACGGGTTTCTTAATTTTAAAACACATTTAAACTACATAAAATTTTTATGGAAATATACTAAAATATGCTTTTAAAGAGATCAAAAATGCATAATAATTTATTATGTATTTGTATACCAACAACCTTACAAAATACCTTTGATTATGGCTTTTAAATTAACATAATTATTCTACAATAACTGTAAACTCACCTTAATACATTTAAGATTGTTTTAAATTTTATTATACTGTCATAAAATACGCCAAATAGGGCAGTTTTTAAATTTATCTCACTGTGCGAATTTGTCCCAATAATTTTTAAATTTATCCCACTATGCGAATTTGTTCTCACATTTTTAAGTTTGTCGCACTGTGCAAATCTTTCTTTAATTGTTTAAATTTATCCCACTGTGCGAACTTTTCCTACAATTTTTTTAAATTTAAGCCAATGTGCGAATTCGTCCTCTCATTTCTTAAATTTGTCCCCTGTTTCCACTGTGCGAATTCGTCCTTCCATTTTTTAAATTTGTCCCACTGCGAATTTGTCCTTTCATTTTTTAAATTTATCCCACTGTGCGAATTCGTCCTTCCAAATTTAAAATTTATCCCACTGTGAGAATTTGTCCTCCAATTTTTTAAATTTGTCGCACTGTGCGAATTCGTCATTCCATTTTTAAAATTTTTCCTCCCAATTTTTAAATTTGGACTTTCATTTTTTAAATTTATCCCACTGTGCGAATTTGATCCACCATTTTCCAAATTTATCCACCCGTGCGAATTCGTCCTTTCATTTTTAAAATTTATCTTACTGTGCGAATTTGTCCTCTCATTTTTTAAATTTGTCCCCTGTTTCCACTGTGCGAATTCATCCTTCCAAATATGAAATTTATCCGACTGTGGGAATTTGTCCTTCCATTAATAACATTTTCCTACCATTTATTAAATTTAACCCAATTTGCGAATTTGTCCTCCCATTTTTTAAATTTGTACTTTCATTTTTTAAATTTATCCCATTGTGCGAATTTCTCCTCTCATTTTATAAATGTACACAACTGTGCGAATTTGAACCACCATTTTTTAAATTTGTCCCATTGTGCGAATTCGTCCTTTTATTTTTTAAGTTTGTCCGTCCCACTTTGCAAATTTTTCCCACCATTTTTTAATTTATCCATCTGTGCGAATTTTTTCCACCATTTTCCAAATTTATCCCACCGTGCGAATTCGTCCTTTCATTTTTAAAATTTATCTCACTGTGCGAATTTGTTCTTCCATTTAAAAAAAAATTATCCCACTGTGCGAATTGGTCCCACCATTTTTAAAATTTGCCCCAATGTTCGAATTTGTCCTCCCATTTTCCAAATTTATCCCAATTTGCGATTTTTTAAAATTTATTCCCCTGTGCTCATAAAATCCTTAAAAATAGATATTGGTAGTTAATTAAATTTCAGGAGTTTTAAACATACCTAATTTAGAATAATTGAAATTTTTATCATTTTTTAATTTATGTGCGATTTTGTCCTCCCATTTTTTAAATTTGTCCCACTGTGCGAATATGTTCCAAAATTTTTTAAATTCGTCCCACAGTGCGAATTTATCCTTTTATTTTTAAATTTATCCCAATGTGCGAATTTGTCCCTTCGTTTTTTAAATTTGTCCCACTGTGCGTTTTATAGGTGGCAACCAGGTTGGAACATGTTCGTTACTACCTACAAAATATTGTTGGCAACGCCATCTATTTCAGTTTGACTGAACTAAAAATGTAAAAATAAAAACCTCAAAAAGTTTTCTATGTACAAAAATCCTAACCAAAAATTTTGCAGTTTTAGTTCAGGCATACAAAGATAGATGGCGCTAATAACAACAGTTTGTAGGTAGGCAATCCATTAACGAACATCGTCTAACTGGGTTGCCTACCTACAAGTCCTTAATGGCAGCGCCATCTATCCTAGAGTGGCTGAACTAAAACTTTAAAATTTTTGGTGGCGATTTGGGTTTGGAACAAAACTTTTTTAGTACAGTCATACTTTAATAGATGGCGCTGCACACAATATTTTATACAAAACGCACAGTGGGACAAATTTTAAAAAATGAGAGGACAAATTTGCATAGTGGGACAAATTTAAAAATTAAGAGGAAAATTGTATATGTACAGGGTGTTTCACATTCGTTAATTCCGTAAGAATAGACAATAGTTAATTAAATTTCTGGACCATTTTTTAAATTTATCCCATTGTCCTTGCATTTTTAATTTTTTCTCAATTCGCGAATTTGTCCTTCATTTTTTAAATTTATTGTGATATTGTAAAAAATTTTAAAAATTGTTATATTTATTCCAATGTGCAAATTTCTCCTTCCATTTTTTTAAAAATTTCCAAAATTGTCCCTCTGTGCGAATTTGTCCTTTCATTTTTTAAATTTATCCCAATGTGCAAATTTTTCCTATCATTTTTTTAATTTATCCCACTGTGCGAATTTGTCCTCACAATTTTTAAATTTGTCCCACTGTGCGTTTTGTATAAAATATTGTGTGCAGCGCCATCTATTTCAGTATGACTGTACTAAAAAAGTTTTGTTCCAAACCCAAATCGCTACCAAAAATTTTGCAGTTTTAGTTCAGCCATTCTGGGATAGATGGCGCTGCTATTAAAAACTTTGTAGGTAGGCAACCCAATTAGACCAACTTGTTAATGGATTGCCTACCTACAAACTGTTGTTAGCAGCGCCATCTATCTCTGTATGGCTGAACTAAAGCTGCAAAATTTTTGGTATGGGTTTTTTACATAGAAAACTTTTTGAGGTTTTTAATTTTTACTTTTTTAGTTCAGTCACACTGAAATAGATGGCGTTATTTTGTAGGTAGGCAATCAAGTAACGAACATGTTTCAACTTGGTTGCCTACCTATAAAACGCACAGTGGGACAAATTTAAAAAAATTGAGGGACAAATTCGCACTGTGGGACAAATTCGCACAGAGGGACAAATTTAAAAAACGGAGGGACAAATTCGCACATTGGGAAAAATTTAAAAATTGAAGGATAAATTTGCACGAATTTAAAAAATGGTGAAACATATTCGCACAGTGGGACAAATTTAAAACATGCACATAAATTTAAAAAATGGTAAAAATTTCAATTATTCTAAATTAGGTATGGTAATAACTTGTTTAAAACTCCAGAAATTTAATTACTACCAATATCTATTTTTAAGGATTTTATGAGCACAGGGGAATAAATTTAAAAAAATCGCACATTGGGATAAATTTAGAAAATGGGTGGGCAAATTCGCACATTGGGGCTAATTTAAAAAATGGTCGGACAAATTCGCAGAGTGGGATAAATTTTATAAATGGAAGAAAAATTCGCACAGTGGGATAAATTTAAAAAATGAAAGGACAAATTCGCACAGTAAGATAAATTTTAAAAATGAAAGGACGAATTCGCACTGTGGGATAAATTTGGAAAATGGTGGGAAAAATTCGCACAGTGGTGTACATTTAAAAATTGAGAGGAGAAATTCGCACAGTGGGATAAATTTACAAAATGAAAGTACAAATTTAAAAAATTGGAGGACAAATTCGCGCCTTGGTAGGAAAAATTGTATGGAAGGACGAACTCGCACAGTGCGACAAATTTAAAAAATGGAAGGACAAATTCTCAGTGGGATAAATTTTAAATTTGGAAGGACTAATTCGCACTGTGGGATAAATTTTAAAAAATGAAAGGACAAATTCGCACATTGGCTTTAATTTAAAAAATTGTAGGAAAAATTCGCACAGTGGGATAAATTTAAACAATAAAAGAAAGATTCGCACAGTTCAACAAACTTAAAAAATGTGAGAACAAATTCGCACAGTGGGATAAATTTAAAAAATGGTAGGAAAAATGTGCAAAGTGGGACAAACTTAAAAATAAAAGGACGAATTCGCACAGTGGGACAAATTTAAAAAAGGTTGGATCAAACTCGCTGTGGGGTACATTTAAAAAATTAGAGGAGAAATTTGCACAGTGGGAAAAATTTAAAAAATGAAAGTACAAATTTAAAAAATGGGAGGACAAATTCGCACATTGGGTTAAATTTAAAAAATGTCAGGAAAAATTTAAAAAATGGAAGGACGAATTCGCACAGTGCCACAAATTTAAAAAATGGGAGGACAAATTCTTACAGTAGGATAAATTTTAAATTTGGAAGGACGAATTTGCACAGTGGGATAAATTTAAAAAATGAAAGGACAAATTCGCACAGTGGGACAAATTTAAAAAATGGAAGGACAAATTACAAATTTACAAAAATTGTAGGAAAAATTCGCACAGTGGGATAAATTTAAACAATAAAAGAAAGATTCGCACAGTTCAACAAACTTAAAAAATGTGAGAACAAATTCGCACAGTGGGATAAATTTAAAAAATGGTAGGAAAAATGTGCAAAGTGGGACAAACTTAAAAATAAAAGGACGAATTCGCACAGTGGGACAAATTTAAAAAAGGTTGGATCAAACTCGCTGTGGGGTACATTTAAAAAATTAGAGGAGAAATTTGCACAGTGGGAAAAATTTAAAAAATGAAAGTACAAATTTAAAAAATGGGAGGACAAATTCGCACATTGGGTTAAATTTAAAAAATGTCAGGAAAAATTTAAAAAATGGAAGGACGAATTCGCACAGTGCCACAAATTTAAAAAATGGGAGGACAAATTCTTACAGTAGGATAAATTTTAAATTTGGAAGGACGAATTTGCACAGTGGGATAAATTTAAAAAATAAAAGGACAAATTCGCACAGTGGGACAAATTTAAAAAATGGAAGGACAAATTACAAATTTACAAAAATTGTAGGAAAAATTCGCACAGTGGGATAAATTTAAACAATAAAAGAAAGATTCGCACAGTTCAACAAACTTAAAAAATGTGAGAACAAATTCGCACAGTGGGATAAATTTAAAAAATGGTAGGAAAAATGTGCAAAGTGGGACAAACTTAAAAATAAAAGGACGAATTCGCACAGTGGGACAAATTTAAAAAAGGTTGGATCAAACTCGCTGTGGGGTACATTTAAAAAATTAGAGGAGAAATTTGCACAGTGGGAAAAATTTAAAAAATGAAAGTACAAATTTAAAAAATGGGAGGACAAATTCGCACATTGGGTTAAATTTAAAAAATGTCAGGAAAAATTTAAAAAATGGAAGGACGAATTCGCACAGTGCCACAAATTTAAAAAATGGGAGGACAAATTCTTACAGTAGGATAAATTTTAAATTTGGAAGGACGAATTTGCACAGTGGGATAAATTTAAAAAATGAAAGGACAAATTCGCACAGTGGGACAAATTTAAAAAATGGAAGGACAAATTACAAATTTACAAAAATTGTAGGAAAAATTCGCACAGTGGGATAAATTTAAACAATAAAAGAAAGATTCGCACAGTTCAACAAACTTAAAAAATGTGAGAACAAATTCGCACAGTGGGATAAATTTAAAAAATGGTAGGAAAAATGTGCAAAGTGGGACAAACTTAAAAATAAAAGGACGAATTCGCACAGTGGGACAAATTTAAAAAAGGTTGGATCAAACTCGCTGTGGGGTACATTTAAAAAATTAGAGGAGAAATTTGCACAGTGGGAAAAATTTAAAAAATGAAAGTACAAATTTAAAAAATGGGAGGACAAATTCGCACATTGGGTTAAATTTAAAAAATGTCAGGAAAAATTTAAAAAATGGAAGGACGAATTCGCACAGTGCCACAAATTTAAAAAATGGGAGGACAAATTCTTACAGTAGGATAAATTTTAAATTTGGAAGGACGAATTTGCACAGTGGGATAAATTTAAAAAATGAAAGGACAAATTCGCACAGTGGGACAAATTTAAAAAATGGAAGGACAAATTACCACAGTGGAGACAGGGGACAAATTTAAAAAATGAGAGGACAAATTTGCACATTGGGTTAAATGTAAAAAATGGTAAAAAAAAATCGCACAGTGGGATAAATTTAAACAATAAAAGAACGATTTGCACAGTGCTACAAAGTTAAAAAATGTGAGAACAAATTCGCACAGTGGGATAAATTTAAAAATTATTGGGACAAATTCGCACAGTATGACAGTATAATAAAATTTAAAACAATCTTAAATTTATTAAGGTGAGTTTACAGTTATTGTAGCATAATTATGTTAAGTTAAAAGCCATAATCAAAGGAATTTTGTAAGGTTGTTGGTATACAAATACATAATAAATTATTATGCATATTTGATCTCTTTAAAAGCATATTTTATTATATTTCCATAAAAATTTTATGTAGTTTAAATGTATTTTAAAATGGCTAGCAAATTAAGAAACCCGTTTGAACTGAAATAAAACTTTTAAAGTAACAGTAAATATATTCATTCAGTTTAAATATAATTATTTTTACATTTTTAGAAAAAGTTGATGGTTATTTGGGTCACATGTTTAGCACATTTTTTAAGCAAAAATTGTAGTAAAAGAAAAGTGATTAAATGAAACTAAAAAACTAATTTTATTTCATCATATTCCTAAACACCAACTGATCTTAGTACATCTTAAGATACACTTTACACTTTTTATTGTGATATTCAACAACATTTTTATCAGGAAACACCACCTTTCCCTTACCTTCCATTGACTGAATTGCTTTATTCACGGAATCAAAGTGATTTGCACCTAAAATAGCATTTTTTCACATTCGTGGTCCATTAGAAGTTTCTGGGGAACGGAAAAAGATATCGATTTGAAATATTAAATGTGTTTAAAATTCAACGCAACTTTTGGTTATAAAGGGTCTCATAAAACTTGGTAACCGAAATTTCCTGAAAAAATAAAAAATAAAAACAAAAAAACTAAATTTAAACTTTGAAAGACCTTTTTTCGTGCTTTTCTTTTAGATTAATCTCACTGGATGCCTCAGTTGATGTGGTTTTGCGCTTTTCTGTGGCCGTGGTAGTGACAGGATTAATTGTTGTGGTAGTACTGGGTTTATCAGGCTTAATTACAAATATTTCCGCTGGTTTTTCATGGTTGTTTCCCAACAGCTCACCTACATAATGTATATAGATGTAGATTATAGAAAAATTGACTTTCTGCTTTCCGAGCAAAAAACTATTAAAGTTGCTAAGACCACACGGGATGTTATCGTTTATTATGGCAAAACTGTGTTGTGAATGTTGACAAAAATTTATATGATAATTCTACAGGCATACGAGAAAAAAAATCGTCGATTTCTTATTTTTTGATGCGTTAAGTTAATTAAATACATGTCTTTAATTCTAACGTGACATTGAAAAATTAATATTTTTTTTGTATGCAGTTTTACAATAAGAAACGATAATATAGACTGTCAACCAAAATTATCAATCTGTCATTTTGGTCTAGAATATCCGGCAACACTTGATTCCGCATCTAGGGATCTATTTAGCAACTACCATAACTTTTTTTAAAGTAAATTATTTAAAAAAACACAACTGAATTGTTATAATAATTATTGCTTTATTTTTGGTTCCAAAACCTTTTTTTAATAATTTTTTCTTTGTAGTAGACTACATTTGTTTCACAGAACTATATTCGTTTTCACAACTCATTTTAAGACTTCAAATTACATCGCATAAAGAAATGTCACTGCAATTTTCGCACCTTCCCGAATTGTTACGTTGATTGCAACAATAATAAAAAGACAAATATAAATATTAATATCTTTATTGTATGGTATCATAACATCAATATATAATAAGAGTAGATCTAAATAGTTGTTTCATTTTCACAAAACACTACACATCAAATACATAGAAAATACCTTTAAAATTTCGATAAAATCACAACATATTTTAACTATATTAAAATCTAAAAAATTGTAAATATTTCAGTTCGAAATTATTGAGTCTTCTCAATGTAAATAAATGCAATCAATAGGAATATCAAAAATTATTTCTATAACATATTCATTGACTCATTGTTTAAATTTGGCTGTACAGGAGGTAAAAACGACAACTGTAATAAATTTGGTCTTGGTTGTTAATACTGCGTAAAAAAGGTGTAACGTGAAAAAAATTTGTACTTAATTGTATACAGTTGTAAGTATTCACCATTAATACATTAATTACAAACTTTGGTTTGTAAATATTTGGTTTGGTTTGCTCCTACAAACTATCATTTTGAACACCAATAACAAAAGCTCCAACATTAAATGCAACTCAGTCAAAAGTGAGAATGCGTCGATCAGACTTGTGTGCAAAAAGTAAAACTTAACAATAAAGTATTGGTCAAAGTAGTCTAAAATAAATATAATTGTAAAAAACTTAAAAATAAGTGGACAGATGATTAAAATTTGAGTAACTGCTCGCAAAATTCTGCCTAGACAGTTTCGTATTCGCGGCGAATGGATCTCGCCAAGCAGCAAGCGAAAATTACGCCTATAAACTGAAAAAAAGTTATAAAAAAATGAAAAAAACATTGTTACCACAATGGGGTAGTTAAATTTTTTCTTGCCCATACTTTTTATGGTTTTATTCGAGGCGTTTTGTAATATTAAACATTTCTGTTAAATCAGAATTTCAATTGAGTTTACCGTTTTCGAGATATTTACAAAAAATATAAATTTTTATGACGTCACAAACCTCGCCATGTGACCAACATTCTAAGATTTCTATTGGTTGAAAATTACCCTGTTGTCAAGTTGTCTTGTTAATGATTTCATTCGGTTATGTCAGAAAATACCCAAAGAGGTTATGTACAAATACTGTCACTGTCAGTTGAGTGAAAGATGGTCACCAAATTCATTAAGTACCTATCTTCCGTATTACGAGGTATCATATTACTGTTTGATATTTTAGAGTCCAAGATATATCTAAAAGAATATAAAGAACTAGGCATTATACTAATGAAATGCATTTACGACAAAATATGATTATAATTATAGGTACTTACTTTATTTGTTTAAAAGCTCCAATGTTCAATGTAACCAACCATTCCACAATATTCCTCTGCTTTGGAGTCCGTAATAAATCACTTATCTAATATCAATTACAAATAACATAACAATAACATTGATTTTCAAAAATCTAAATTTAAAAAAAACATAACCCGAAAAAAAGAAACGTCAAAAAATCAATTCTTCTTCTTCTTCTCAACTAAAATTATAGATCAAGTGGTTTTAAAACTAAAATATTATAACGTGGCGCCATCTATCGTAAGAATCTTAAACTAAACACACTGGCAACCATAGAAAAAGCTGGCAACGTTGTCAATAGCCTAGTGACGTAATTAGGAGATTTTTTTTGTAAATATCTCGAAGACGGTAAACTCAATTGAAATTCCGATTTCACAGAAATGTTTAAAATTACAAAACGCCTTGAATAAAACCATAAAAAGTATAGGTCAGAAAAAATTTAACTACCCCATTTTTCCATTCCTGCAAGAAATCAACATACCTGTGAGAGTGCGATTCCAATGCCGACTGCGCCAATGTATGCCCCGTACTGCTGCATCATCTCCTTTAACTTTACCATGCAGGAATCCTGAATAACATTAGGAGAACCGAGTTTGCAGGAACCGTCGTCTGGGGTGTCTGGGCAACAGGTGTGCGGTAAAGTTTTATTGCCATTGTTGATTTTCACCCAATCTTCCGGCCCCGTCATGCCGCAGCAAACGGCCTAAGAGTTAAAAATGATTTCAGTACGCTGTTTTAACATTTACTAAATCATTTTTTGATTTAAAATTTTATTGGTTTCAAATTTTTAGACTAAAAATAATTTATAATAACCTTTATCCTACCAAAAAGTACGCCACTGATCGACTAGGAACTTTAGGCTAATCTGGTTGCCTAATTTAATTTATTATGTTATGGTTGGTAACAACCAGCGTTTCCAGATTCTGTCAAAAAGTTGTCAAATTTTGTTTAAATTCAAAAATGACAAAATCAAAAATGCAAATTCTTAACAAAAAATGCATATTTTTTCTTTATCTTTGGGAAAATAGGTAATTAGTATTTTAATATATTACATTAATTACAGAACACCCTGTATTATTTCCAAGAATATTTTAAATCTTAATAAATATTTTATAAAATTATTTAGATCCAATTGGTAAAGTTAAATTTTTTAATATTTAAAAATAGTGTCAAGGCATTTAAAAAAAAACATTTTTTATCAAAATAGTTTAAAAAATATTAAGAATAAAAATAGTATATTATGTATGTATCAAGTTTGATAAACGCCATTTTATACAAGAGGTGCATACTATACTTTTTCTACGACAAATACTTATTATTATCTTAAAATGATTTAAATCAAATATTTTTATAGAGCGCCATCTATGAAACAATAGGGGAATCTGTGTGTCACAGTCAAATGTAATTTTTTTCTATTTTATAAGCACAGATTATAAAGTATATAAATCGAAATTTATTTCTTGAAAATGGACAGTTTTTTACAGTGAAAGTAAAGAAAATGTTTTAAGAGCACTTTACAAAGAGTCCGTGCCCGAATTTAAGTTATAGTTTACTGCCGGCGAAATTAAAACGTCAGTACAATGTTCATATAAACTTTTCAAATATTGGCGTTGAGAAACTATTTAATACTTTTGTATTTTTATATTGAGATAATAAAATAATTTTCACATTTAGTATTATTTTACAAGGCACTTTTTTTTAACGATTGTATGACATTTGACAACTATCAACTAACTTAAAACTAACTTTAATCCGTGACTAAAAAAATGTTGCTAACTTCAGCCCGTGACTAAAACGCCGTAAAGCCACAACTTGTCAATGTGTATTTAAAAGGTCATGTTTTGAAGGTGGGAGTAGAAAAAATATTTTAAATGTAAAATTCAAATGTAAGTGTAAAATATTGGTTTTTAAAAATTTTAGTTTAATATTTTATTCTACAAAATTATTGGTTTAAATTTGTAAATTCTCACATTACATTTAAATGTTAGTTTTAAATTTTGAAGTAGTAATTTTTGGATTAAAAATTTATCAACCATCATTTATATGATTCTTGAGAAATTTAAACCAAATAACTTTTATTATTAACAAAATTAAATTGTAAAATAAATATTTGAATATTGTAGACAAATAGAAGATAGCAATGTTTTGCTATTTTTCTTATTAAAGTTTTAATGGTTTTTTTCATAATCTTTAAAAAACCATACACTTATAAAAAGGTATTTTTGGACCTTCAATATAAATAACAACTAATAAGAATGACATTAATTAGCCCAGAGGCTTAGGAATTAAAAATGTAAAAATAGATCACACAGAAAACTAGGAATAGAACACATAATTCTTATAAATATAATATAGGAATTGTAAATATTTTTATTTATATATCTTTAACTCTAAAAGCCAAACAAACTGCTGCATCTTATCACAAAGAAAATATTTACCTATTAAAGTTGAGACCTTTTAAATTAAATAACATTCTTTATGAATCATTCAAGTAATTCATTAAAAACTGCCTACACAAAATTTAAAGCAAGTGCTTAAAAAAGCCTCTGAAATAATTTTTTTATTTACTGCTATAAATAAATAATTGAGCAATAATAATTTAGCATACCATTAGTGGTAATAATTGCATGGAAACAGTTATTTATTATTTATATAAATCAGATTTCATGTCTATATGTTTTTAGTTAAATTATATGAATAAATGGTAAAATAATTAACTATTTCAAGGTTTTATATAAAATTTTACGTTTTAATGATAAAAATAATGCATAATAGTTAAAAAAACAAGTTTAGCAACTTCATAAAATATGTTATGTATTGTACCCTTAAATTAAATAATTTTAAAATAAGTTTTAGACCACAATCTCCAAAAATAAGTTAAAATTTGTTTACCAAAACATTAATAAAAGTACTCACCTCATGCTGAGCAATATCCCAGGAATTCCTTATCTTCATATCCGTGTTGTATTGATACATTGTGGAATTCAACTTATTTTCCAGCATAACTTCCACATCGTTCCTACGAATGTACCCCACAATGCCAGCTGCCAACTCCAGGGTTACAATAACAAGCAAAAATATCGAAAACTAAAACCCAAACGTTACTTTCGATAAGCTACAATAATTGTGGCCATATGCTTACGGTAATTATCATGCAGTGGTTTTCCTTGACGGCTCCGCAGCATCCAAAGAACGCAATCACGAAAATTATAATCCCCACAATGATTAGAACAATTGGTGCCGATTGGTAGCTGGGGTACACAAAGTTCGAATAATGCGCGTAGAATAGCAAAACTGTGCCTCCGACAACCAAAAGAGTTATACCAGATATCTAAAAATCCCTTGTTAATACTTGTACGAACACATTGTGTAAAAATACTGACCACAAACAGCAAATTAAACAGGAAAATTAAGTATTTCACACATGTCATACCACCAGACACCATTTTGCTAAAAAAGGGCACTATGAATAAAAATTCACTTGATATAAAGATATTTCAATGAAATTTAGTGATATTGCGTTTATTTGATGTAAATACCTTGTTTAATCACACCTTTCCTTTGTTGCTACACGCTCAAGAGAAAATTTGAGACTAACAACGATTTTTTAAGAATCACAACAAAATGCACGGGCATGCGCACTAAGAATTCACCGGGATTTATAAACAAAGAAATTGAAGATGTCAATATTTAGTTTGGGTTTATGCATGGAAAATAACGCTGTTAAATTTGATTGAGGATTTCCCAGTAAACAAAAAGTTGCTTAATCAAAGTGACAAGTTTTCATTTTATGGAAAGTTTTTGTAAACTGGGTTGCCTAGTTTTGTTCCCCGGTTAATTTTTTAAATTTGTGGGTTGGCTGCACTGTGCTACTCTGTGGTTGGCTGCTTTCTAGAACTCGGTCTACTTGATTTATGTTACGAGGGTAAGTCAATAAATACAACTGGATATTTTACAAATTAGTTTATTTTTCAAGTACCTTTTACCAAATGATTATTGATGTATAAACAAGAATCACATATTTCATATTTACATATAAATTTAAGCGTTATTTTTACAATTGCAGTTACATTTGAAGAAAAAAGCATAAAATTACAGTGACTTCAAAATCAAAATGGCATTTTAGAAATAGCGGAACTTGATTCGTCATTTATGTGGAAGTTTTTATTTTTTGAAAAATATCTGTTTTGTTCATGTTTGATTTGTACACTAAAAAATAATGTGATTTTTTAGCAAAATGGCAATTTACATAAAAATATACAAAGCATTTCAAATAAATTCGAAAAAGGTTTAGACAGAGTGGTGTTTTTTGACTTTAATTTCCATAGAAATTGGAGCAATATTTTCCATGAAAAGTAAAGTGAATTTCAAAAAACACTCCCCAGGCTGTGTACATATGGTATGGACAAAAATCCTGAGACAAATACACATATTTACAAAAAATAGTCCTACACTCTAATAAATAAATACGGTTTTAAAAATCTCATATTTTAAACACAAAATAAATAGGTAAATAAACAAAATTGTTAAGTGTATGTATATTAGGGTGATCCAAAAAAATTGAATATTTTTTTATACTTTTAACACTGAAAAATTTGCACCAAATTTGAGCTCTTAATATTAATTGGTTAACAGTTTTCCATGTTTTCTTTAGTCCCTTATAAAAAAGACCATATATTCATTTTTAATCAAATCTTAATAATTAAACACATTAAACCTTTTTTGTAGAGCGTTAAATTTTCTACAAAAATATGTCAAACTCATTTGACAATAATTATTTTTCAATGAGTTATAAAATTATTAAAAAAAATTTTTTTTTATAAATTCTTTAAACTTTAATATTGAATATCTTTTAAATGGTTGGAGTAATCGCTTAAACACAGTCCTTTTTGTAGAGAATTAAATTTCCTACAAAAATATGTATACAAATTTGATTAAACAATTGATTAATAATGAAAAATTAATAACCAATTTTTTAATGTCGGAAGTAAAAAAATATTCGATTTTTTTGTATCACCCTAGTGTATACTATTAACATTTTTTAGGTTTACAAAAATTATATTAATTGGGTTCATCATATCATATATATTAATTGTTTAGGCACTGATATCATAAAAAAGCAGTGATTTTTTCTATAGGCTAGAAAAATATGAGGATAAAATATTTTTCTCGTTTTAGAGATCTACTACCGCTTTTATGCAAATAATTTACTAATAACAAAAAATATATGTATTTTTCACGTAAAATTTTAAAACACTTTAAAATTATCCCCAAATTTGTTCAGTTTTGTCACACTGTGCGACACAAATTGACCTGATGTTCTCAACACCCTGTATTTCTTTTTTAGATCTAAAATAATTCAAAATTTAACGATTCTAAATAATATAATCGATTATAAAATTCGATTTTCGCACATTGGGACAAAACTCAACAAACGGGCACATTTAAAAAATAAATTAAGAATAAATTTAATGTTCAGTTAAAAAGTTATGACTATCTCGTTTACATACTGAATGTTTAAAATCACTCACTCGCGCGCGAATTTAAAAAAAATTGAGTTAAAACTACGTGCGTCAAAGATCTTTAAGCAGAGCCGATTTGGCATTTTTTAATTTGTCTAGCCGCTTTAGTAAATGCGTGTTGGATGTTTCTAGCTCCTCGGCCCTTGTCATCGCCTCTCTTGCCTGGAAAAAAATCGGAAAAAATCGAACAAATTATTTTGGGATTTTTTTTTCAAGAAAAACGGAAAAAGCAATCCAACACAAGCAGAGATGACAGAATAGACAGAATAAATGGTTGTAAAGGGGTATGTATAAATTTAATGCTGTAAAAATGCAATCTTGAACAAAGAAAACATATTTTTTAACTTAGCTGCTACATACAGAGTATTATGTAATTAATGTAATAAATTAAAATACTGAATACCTAAAGAAAAAATATGCATTAGAAGTTTTTTATATTTTTTGTGATACACCACTGGTAGCACTAAAAATTTTTCTTGTCTACGACAAATATATTATCTTAAAATGTTTTAAATCAAAAATTTGTATAGAGCGCCATCTATGAAACAATAGGGGAATCTGTGTGTCACCGTCAAATGTCACATTTTTATATTTTATAAACACAGATTATAAAGGTTATAAATCGAAATGTATTTCTTGAAAATTGACAGTTTTTCACAGTGAAAGTAAAGAAAATGTTTTATGAGCACTTTACAGTGGAGTCCGTGCCCGAATTTAAGTTATAGTTTACTGCCGGCGAAATTAAAAGGTCAGTACAATGTTCATATAAACTTTTCAAATATTGGCGTTGAGAAACTATTTAATATTTTTGTATTTTTGTATTGAGATAATAAAATAATTTTCATATTTAGTATTATTTTACAAGAAAGGCACTTTATTTTAACGATTGTATGACATTTGACAACTGTCAACTAACTTAAAACTAACTTCAGCCCGTGACTAAGGCGCCATAAAGCCACAACTTGTCAATGTGTATTTAAAAGGTCACTTAGTGTCAGGGAAACATGTACGTTAAAGGGCGTTTTAAAGGTGGGAGTAGAAAAAGATATTTACAATTTGAGCACATAACCTAAAAGTCATAAAAGTTGCAAGATTTTGTTTGAATTTACAATTACATTACAAAAATGACATAATAAACTATTAATAAAAACGCCAAATTAACAAATTGTATTGTTGATTTTGTCATTTTTGTAATTTGTCTAAATTTAAACAAAATTTGGCAACTTTTTTGACAGAGAATTTGGAAACGCTGTTCTTACCAACCATAACATAATAAATTAAATTAGGCAACCAGATTAGCCTTAAAGTTCCCAGTCGATCAGTGGCGTACTTTTTGGTGGGATAAAGGTTATTATAAATTATTTTTGGTCTTTTGAATTTAGAAAAAAAAAGTTTCAGGTGCTTCTTTATGGACCCTAAGGAACAACCCATTTTAATATATTACATTAATTACATAACCCTGTATAATATTTTTATAGATTAAGTCCAAGACCACAAAATATTATTTACACTTTTTAGTTTGCTCTTTTATAGAAGGTGTCCCTAAAATGCCTTTACAAAATGACTCCACTTATTCCTGATTTTTTTATTACCTTTGATTTTTTTTATTACCATATTTAAATCTTGTTTTTTTTGTATTGAGATAATAAAATAATGTTCACAATTAGTATTATTTTTCAAGAAAGGCATTTTATTTTAACGATTACAATATTACATTTAGTTAAATCTCATTATTTTGGTGTCATTTTGTACAAGCAATTCAAAGCAACCCTATTAGGTAAAACGTTTTTTAGTATATTGTTATGATCAAGGCATGGAAAAAATTACTTGGCTAATCATTGAGCTCCCAAGGAGGTCCTGCGGTTCATTATTCGTTTTTGTTGCCTCAACAGGGCCTCGTTTGTGGCCTCTTTTAAGTGAAGGAGCTCATTCTTATTTTTAACCTACAGGTTTACTCGTTTTAGATGTCGTACTACTTACTGTTCGGCCACAAGCACACACGAAAAAGAGCAAGCGACATGTACGGAGAAAAAACGGACGAAACAAAAAGTAAAAAAAAAATAAATAATAAGCTGGTTAGTATTTACCGAGTTAAAAGCTTTCAGAAAATTCAGATAACTCTTCTTCGCTAGGAGAATCGGTATCAGAATCACTACGAGAATCAGTATAAGAATCCTGCAATGGGCAAATAAAAAAAAATAACTAAAAGCTACTACTACACTACACTACAATAAATTAAAACTAAGGGATATCTTTATAAGGCATTTTTGGAAAAATTACCGTAATTTGTTTGTTTTTGAAGATTTAGTAAAAATGTAAAATGCAATTAAAAGGGCTTTATTTGGACAATACACCCTCAAATTTTTTGAAAAATTGGTGATAAATTACATGAAAAACAATTTAGGTGTATTTTTTTGGAAAAATCTCCGTAATTTTATTGTTTTTAAAGATTTGGTAAAATTGTAAAATGCAATTGAAAGGGCGTTGTTTTGACAATATACCATCAAAATTTTGTAAAAATTTGTGATAAATTACAAAAGTTACATGACAAACAATTTAGATGTCATTTTTTTGGATAAATCTCCGTAATTTGTTTGTTTGTTAAAGATTTAGTAAAACTGTAAAATGCAATAAAAAGGGCGTTATTTTGAAAATATACCCTAAAAATTTTGTAAAAATTGGTGATAAATTACATGAAAAACAATTTAGATGATTTTTTTTTGGAAAAATCTCCGTAATTTGATTGTTTTTGAAGATTTAGTAAAACTGTAAAATGCAATTAAAAGGGCGTTATTTTGACAACAAACCCTCAAAATGTTGTAAAAATTGGTGATAAATTACATGAAAAACAATTTAGGTGTATTTTTTTTAAACCTCCGTAATTTGATTGGTTTCGAAGATTTAGTAAAACTGTAAAATGCAATTTAAATGGCGTTATTTTGACAATATATCATCAACATTTTGTAAATATTTGTGATAAATTACAAAAGTTACATGACCAACAATTTAAATGTCATTTTTTTGTTGAAAAATCTCCGTAATATGTTTGTTTTTAAAGATTTAGTAAAACTGTAAAATGAAATTAAAAGGGCTTTATTTTGACAATCCACCCTTAAAATGTTGTAAAAATTGGTGATAAATTACATGAAAAACAATTTAGATGATTTTTTTTGTAAAAATCTCCGTAATTTGATTGTTTTTGAAAATTTAGTAAAACTGTAAAATGCAATTAAAAGGGCGTTATTTTGACAATAAACCATCAAAAATTTGTAAAAATTTGTGATAAATTACAAAAGTTACATGACAAACAATTTAGGTGTCATTCTTTTTTAATCTCCGTAATTTGATTGTTTGTAAAGATTTAGTAAAACTGTAAAATGCAATTAAAAGGGCGTAATTTTGAAAATAGTTTAGTTTTAACTAAGGGATAAGTTTTTTTAGTGTTTTATAAACCACTTTTATGGTTTTAGGTAAAAATGAGAAGATATATACAGATTAGAGTGGTGGAACAAATAATTTTTTTTTAGTGAAGTTTCATCAATTATTTCATAAATATTACAGTTTGCATATGAATTCATTTTTAAAAATGTCATTTTTTGGTGGTCTTTAAATACCCTAAAAACCTTCTTAAAAAAAATCCCTAATGAAGGATGAAATGATAAGTTCCATGATAGAAAATAAGGTTTATTAGAAAAATAAATGGATAAAACGGTGTTAGACTACATAGTGCTAACTCTAAGTGCTACAAAAGCATGCAAAATATAGCTAACTAAAGTTCGCTTTTTTTCAACAAAATCGGACAAATTTTTGTTTGGTTATGATGAAAAATGAAGGTTTCTATTTTGAATCTTCCAGATATTAAAAAAAAATTCCCAGAAAGTTAATTTTATTTTTAATGTCCAATATTTTTTCCCAAATTTTTCAGAGTACCTCATGATATTAACCCCAAAAATGTTCCTGTAAATTTGACGCGTCTGGAATATTAAAAATGAAAACCGTTCAGAAGAATACATGCAACGATTTTTCAGCGTTTGTCGTTTGAATGATTTGTCGAAAACAAACTTTACGGCGAATAAAAGGAAGCTCGGTTACTGATTAGCAGCGTATATGATCATTTTTTCTCTAAGCAAAGTAGTGTTACAGACCTCTCTTTGGAGCTTGCGCTTTTCCGACTTGAGCGCCTCTTCCGACTGCTCGGAAACCTCCGCCGCGGTTTTGTACCGGATCACTTGGCTCTCGAGCCGCGCCACCGTCGCCTGCAACGTTGCCACGTCCTGCTCGGCTTTCTGCGCGCGGAACTTCCAGTCGGCCAGCTGCTTACTGGCTTCTCCTTCAACAAATAAGACGGTTACACAAAATTAATGGCCGCATGCGCAACTGTTTAGTCGTTGACTACATTTTTAGACATGTGTGTCTGGAATAATTGTACCATCGATTTTTTCATTAAAATATAATAATTATGGGTAAAATATTAATTAATTAAATAAATAAGTTACCAAAATTATTTTAATAGAAAACAATGAACATTTAAATCTGCACCAAAGTTCACAAAAAACTATAAAGCATTTTTTTGGTGATCAATTACATAAAAAACAATTAAAAATCTCAGTAATTTCTTTGTTTTTAAAGATTTTGTAAAACTGCAAAATTCAATTAAAAAACGTTATTTTTACAATATGCCAAAATTTTGTAAAAAATTGTGATAAATTACATAAGTTACATAAAAAACAATTTAAGTGTAATTTTTTTGAAAAAATATTTGCTATTTTATTGTTTTTAAAGATTTAATAAAACTGCAAAATGCAATTAAAAGGGGTTAATTTGACAATGTACCATCAAAATTTTGTAGAAATTTGTGATAAATTACATAATTTACATGAAAAACAATTTAGGTGTAATTTTTTTGAAAAAATCTCCGTAATTTAATTGTTTTTAAAGATTTAATAAAAGTGCAAAATGAAATTAAAAGAGCGTTAAAATGTTGTAAAAATTGGTGATAAAATACATAAAAAACAATTGGGGTGGAATTTTTTTTGGAAAAAACTCCGTAATTTCAAAATGCAATTAAAAGGGCGTTATTTTGACAATATACCATCAAAATTTTGTAAAAATTGGTGATTAAATACATAAAAAACAATTGGGTGTAATTTTTTTTGGAAAAATCTCCGTAATTCTGTTGTTTTTAAAGATTTAGTAAAACTGTAAAATGCAATTAAAAAAGTGATATTTTGACCATAAACCCTCAAAATTTTGTACAAATTGGTGATAAAATGCATGAAAAACAATTGGGTGTAATTTTTTTGGAAAAATCTCCGAAATTTTATTGTAAAAATTGTATTGTAAAAATTTGTGATAAATTACATGTTACAGTCGTACGCAAATAAAAAGCGTACACGTATTAAAATACTTCAGTACTTCATTTGTAATTATACGAGTTTTTTCAAATTTAGATAACTGAGGAGGCATTATTCAATTAGCTGTCTAACTGACGGGCTGGTTTACATCTACGGCAATTTATTTTTTATAACCTAACTCGCCATATTTGACAAGTGCATTCGACTGTACATGATAAACGGTTTAGGTGTCATTTTTGTTTGGAAAAATCTCCGTAATTTGTTTGTTTTTAAACTATAAAATGCAATTAAAAAAGCATTATTTTGACAATCCACCCTCAAAATGTTGTAAAAATTGGTGATAAATTACATGAAAATCAATGGGGTGTAACTTTTTTGGAAAAATCTCCTTAATTTCATTGTTTTTAAAGATTTAGTAAAACTATAAAATGCAATTAAAAGAGCGTTATTTTGACAATCGACCATCAAAATTTTGTAAAAATTTGTGATAAATTACATAAGTTATATGACAAACAATAGGTGAATATATTTTTGGAAAAATCTCCGTGATTTCTTTGTTTTTAAAGATTTAGTGAAACTGTGAAATGAAATTAAAAGGATGTTATTTTGACAATACACCATCAAAATTTTGTAAAAATTGGTGATAAATTACAAAAGTTACATGACAAACAATTTAAGTGTACATATTTTTGGAAAAATCTTCGTAATTTGTTTGTTTTTAAAGATTTAGTAAAACTGTAAAATGCAATTGATTTTGACAATTAACCTCAAAATTTTGCAAAAATTCTTGATAAATTACTTCGTTTGCCAAACGAAAGACTTTCGTCTTAGATTTGAACAAAACCTTCAAAAACTATTGGCATCGCAATAGAAACGACGATTCCTAAAACCATAGAATTTGTTGTACTCACTTTGAAGATCGTCAGCATCGTAGTCCGACAACGGGCCGTTGAGGGAGCCACTGGCACTGGATTTTCTCCGTTTGTTCCTCTCCTCCTCTAACTCTAACTTTAAGTGACTAATTTGATCTTGCATCTCTCCCTTCTCTCTCGCAAACTTCTGTAACCGCACGTCTGAAGAAAAAAAGAGAAAAGTCGCATTGGATATTTGCAACTCGCTAGAGTGAACTTTCGCTTACCCAGGCTGCCGTCTCCGGCTTCGCTCAGCAGCTGGGCGTTCTCGGCGGTGACCAGGAGGCGCCTGGGCGGGACAGGCGTCTTTCCTTGCGCCTCGTCGTCCGAATCGAGCTCTTCCGGCTCCTCGCTGACTATCACGAGACCCTTTTCCGCTATCAGTCGGTCGCGGTCCTCGAGTTCCGCGCGAGTAATCGCCACGTCCTCTTTCAGCTTCGCGCACAACCTTTTCAGCTGCTCGTGCTCGCGGCACTTGTCGCGGTGCTCGCGCCGCAGCTGCGCGTGCTCTTCCTCCAACTCTTCCAGCCTAAATTAACGAGGGTTTGGTAAAAATGAAACGTTCACTAAAAATCTATCTATGATAAATTTGATTTGATTTGGAAAAATCTCCGTAACTTGTTTGTTTTTAAAGATTTAGTAAAACTGTAAAATGCAATTAAAAGGGCGTTATATTGACAATACACCCTCAAAATTTTGTAAAAATTGGTGATAAATTACAAAAGTTACAAGACAAACAATTTAGGTGTAAGTTTTTTTTGAAAAATCTCCCTGATTTGTTTGTTTTTAAAGATTTAGTAAAACTGTAAAAAGCAATTAAAAGGGCGTTATTTTGCCAATACACCCTCAAAATTTTGTAAAAATTGGTGATAAATTACATAAGTTACAAGACAAACAATTTAGGTGTAAGTTTTTTTTGAAAAATCTCCCTGATTTGTTTGTTTTTAAAGATTTAGTAAAACTGTAAAAAGCAATTAAAAGAGCGTTATTTTGACAATACACCCTCAAAATTTTGTAAAAATTGGTGATAAATTACAGAAGTTACAAGTCAAACAATTTAGGTGTAAGTTTTTTTTGAAAAATCTCCGTGATTTGTTTGTTTTTAAAGATATAGTAAAAGTGTAAAATGCAATTAAAAGGTGGTTATTTTGACAATATACCATCAAAATTTTGTAAAAGTACGTGATAGATTACAAAAGTTACATGACAAACAGTTATTTTTTTTTTAAATATAAGTAATTTGATTGCTTGTAAAGATTAAGTAAAACTGTATAATGCAATTAAAACATATTTATTTTGACAACACACTCTTAAAATGTTTTAAAAATTGGTGATAAATTACATGAAAAAGAATTTGGGTGAAATTGTTTTGGAAAAATCTCCGTAATTTTATTGTTTTTAAAGATTTGGTAAAACTGTAAAATGCAATTAAAAGAGCGTTATTTTGACAATATACCCTCAAAAGTTTGTAGAAATTGGTGATAAATTCATGAGTTACATGACCAACAATTTAAGTGTAATTTTTTTGGAAAAATATCTTTAATTTGTTTGTTTTTAAAGATTTTGTAAAACTGTTAAATGCAATTAAAAGAACGTTATTTTGACAATACACCATCAATTTTTTTTTAAAATGTGTGATAAATTACATAAAAAACAATTTGGGTGTCATTTTTTTTTAAATCTCCGTAATTAGTTCGTTTTAAAAGATTTTGTAAAACTTTAAAATTCAATTAAAAGAGATTTATTTTACAAAGTACCCTGTTTTGTTTTACTTTGTCTGTTAAACGACTTTGGTCTTAGATTTGAAAAAAAATTCAAAAAACTATTAGCATTGTAATAAAAACAACGATTCCCAAAATCATAGATTATAGAAAAAAATCTCCATCTCTAGAAAGTCTTACTGACATTTTTTGGTAATTGTTCGAACTATTTATAAAAATATATTTAAAAAATTTAAAATCCTGTTCTTTTTTAGTTTAAAAGTTATAGTTGTTTAACTCTAAACCTGAACAGAAATGAGCAAAAAATGGTCTTAAAAATTTCAAACTAAGCTAGATATAACTGGCTTCAGAATGTTAACTCAAGCTTGATATAGTTCTAAAAAATGATAAATTTTATTCTTAAATTCGTTATGTAGTTTAACTTAACACTTACCTATCTTTTAATAATTCTAATTGATATGTTTGAGCAGATTTGTCGTTATCAAGTTGAGCATTCGCTATCATGGCCTTCCGGAATTTGTCCTCCACCTCTTTCAGTTCATGCTGGAAATTCAGTTGGGTTAAAATCAGGTTGGTTTGCATTTTTTGTATGTTGTATTTTTTTTATAAGTATGCCTCGTGCAGCGAGGTAACTAGGTTTATTATTGTTGGCGAGCTTCGACGCGAACTTAACAATTGCATAATGCAAAATAAAAATAAAACCAATGACATAGTAAGGTAGGTAAGTTTTTGGGCATTTTTTTGTTTTCACGCTAAAATATAATAACTTGTATTGGACATTTTTTCTTAATTTCTTAGAAACATGTAAATGCAATTAAAAAAGCGTTATTTTGACAATAATAATAATAATAATCTTTATTTCAAAATTCAAAACATACAAAATATTGGAAATATCGTTAGGAAAAAAATAGAGATCTAATACGTTAAAAACTCATTTAGATCATATGGCTTAATTTCAACCAAATAACTAAAAAAACATTTGATTTAAAACTACTAAAATTTTGAATGGACTTAAGACATATTGGTAACTTATTATAAAACATAATACAATAATAGAAACAACTTTTTTATATACAGGGTGAGTTTTAAGTTAACGCGTTCCTTTTAACAGCGTGTAGAAATCAGCTAGACAAATAAATATTTTAAGTAACTTTTTATCAAAACTTCAAAGTTTAATTAAATTTTGAGCCGGTCCTGGCTATTATTAACAAAACACATAAACATAAAAATAAAATAAACAATGCAAAATGTCATCTATGACAACAAACACCATAGATAACAAAGCCTTTAAAACTACTAAAATTTTGAATGGACTTAAGACATATTTGACAAACACAACCATTTAAACCAAAATGACACATTTAGCAATGCCTACAGAAATAGTTTAAAAATAGCGGATAAATCATGTCAACGAAACGATTGGCGTACAATCGCGATTTTGACGACACTCTCCATAAATTAGTAACATTTACACTAATTCATTACTGCTATAATTATAAACCATTTTTAACTATAATTGAGGCACAAAAAAAATTAAGTAAATAATGACATTTTTCATTGTTTATTTTGTTATTTTTATTTTTATGGTTATGTATTTTGTAATAAATAGCCAGGACCGGCTCAAAATTTAATTAAACTTTGAAGGGCTACAACTCTCTTATTTTGGAGTTTTGTAAAAAAAGTTACTTAAAATATTTATTTGTCTATCTGATTAAAAGGAACGCGTCAACTTAAAACTCACCCTGTATATACCTAGTTAACCTGTGTCTGGGACATAAAATATACCATCAATAATTTGTAAAAATTTGTAATAAATTACAAACGTTAGTGTCTTTTTTTGGAAAAATCTCCGTAATTTGTTTGTTTTTAAAGATTTTGTAAAACTGTTAAATGCAATTAAAAGAACCTATTTTGACAATATACCCTCAAAATTTGTAAAAAAATTGGTGATAAATTAAAAGAAAAACGATATAAGTGTCTTATTTTGGAAAAATCTCCGTAATTTTTTTGTTTTTAAAGATTTTGTAAAACTGTAAAATGAAATTAAAAGAGCTTTATTTTGACAATATACCCTTAAAAATTTGTAAAAATTGGTGATAAATTACATGAGTTACATGACCAACAATTTAGGTGTAATTTTTTGGAAAAATATCTGTAATTTGTTTGTTTTTAAAGATTTTGTAAAACTGTTAAATGCAATTAAAAGAACCCTATTTTGACAATATACCCTCAAAATTTGTAAAAAAAATTGTGATAAATTAAAAGAAAAACGATATAAGTGTCTTATTTTGGAAAAATCTCCGTAATTTCTTTGTTTTTGAAGATTAAGTAAAACTGTAAAATGTAATTAAAAGAGCTTTATTTTGACAATATACCCTTAAAAGTTTGTAAAAATTGGTGATAAATTACATGAGTTACATGACCAACAATTTTTTTTTGAGAAATGTGCGTAATTTGTTTGTTTTTGAAGATTTAGTAAAACTGTAAAATGCAATAAAAAGAGCTATATTTTGACAATACGCCCTTAAAATGTCGTCAAAATTGGTGATAAATTACATGAGTTACATGACAAACAATTTGGGTGATTTTTTTTTGATTATTTTTAAAGAAATAGCAAAACTGTAAGATGCAATTAAAAGAGGCTTAAAAGTGGCACTTACCCTGATCTCCCTTAGGGTGCTGGTGCCGCCGCCGTCTTCCAGCGAATCTTCGCTGCTCCTGCGGCTGGACAGGTAGCGGCTGGCGGCCGCCGCAGCCGCCGGCGACGGCGCCGTCCGCGGCAGGCGGGCCAGCGGCGGCTGATCGGCCAGCATGTCGAACTGCCGGTCGGCATTCTCCTCCTGCTCGCGCTGTTGCCGCTCCAGCTCGCGCATCCGGATGTCGCGCGCCTCCGCGCGAGCCTGCCGCTTGGCGAATAGGCGAGCCTCGGCCTACAATTGCAAAGATATCCGAATTATTTCCCTTCCTTGAAAAATTACGAAAATAAATCTCGCAACCCTGCATTATATTTTTTGCACTATTGCTCAGTACTGTACTACTACTTCAAAGTACAATTGTCCCAGAATGTATCTTTACGGCTTACGTCAACCAATCGGTGCTTAAAATGGGCTTATCAAGGTTGACGTAAGACGTAAGCCGTAAAAATACATTCTGGGACGATTGCATACAATATTATCTATATTTTTACTCATACGATTTTTTTTCAATACCTACGTTGGATTTTTTATGAATTTATTATTTTTTTACTATGTCAAATATCAAACAAGATATTTTTAAACCAACAAATAATACATCAAAAACCAAGCCTTGTTCAATTAATTCTTCCAAACCTCATTTTATTTAAAAACGATTTTATCACTTTTGATACCATTGAAATATTAAAATACAAAAAGTCTAGTTTCTTTATTTTTGCAGAACACAAATCAATATCCGTAATTTGTGTTTTTAAAGATTTGGTATTTTGAAAATCCACCCTTAGATGTCATTTTTTTTAATCTCCGTAATTTGTTTGTTTTTAAAGATTTAGTAAAAACTGTAAAATGCTATTAAAAGGGCGTTATTTTGACAATATACCTTCAAAATTTTGTAAAAATTGGTGATAAAATTACATGAAAAACCTCGTGAAAAACAATTTAGGTAATTTTTTTTGGGAAAATCTCCGTAATTTGATTGTTTTTTAAAGATTAATAAAATTGCAAAATGCAATTAAAATGGCGTTATTTTGACAATATATTAACAAAATTTTGTAAAAATTGGTGATAAATTACAAAAGTTACATGACCAACAATTTAGATGTCATTTTTTTTAAATCTCCGTAACTTGTTTGTTTTTAAAGATTTAGTAAAAACTGTAAAATGCAATTAAAAGGGCGTTATTTTGATAATATACCCTAAAATATTGTAAAAATTGGTGATAAAATTAAATAAAAAAAAACAATTCAGGTGATTTTTTTTTGGAAAAATGTCCGTAATTTGATTGTTTTTAAAGATTTAGTAAAACTGCAAAATGCAATTAAAATAGCGTTATTTTGATAAAATATCATCAAAATTTTGTAAAAATTTCTGATAAATTACAAAAGTTACACGATCAACAATTTAGATGTCATTTTTTTTTTAAATCTCCGTAATTCGTTTGTTTTTAAAGATTTAGTAAAACTGTAAAATGCAATTAAAAGGGCGTTATTTTGACAATATACCCTCAAAATGTTGTAAAAATTGGTGATAAAATTACATAAAAAACAATTTAGGTGATTTTTTTTTGGAAAAAGCTCCGTAATTTAATTGGTTTTGAAGATTTAATAAAACTGTAAAATGCAATGAAAAAAGTTTCATTTTGACAATATTCCCTTAAAAGTTCGTAAAAATTGTTGATAAATATATATATATAGGTATAATTTTTGTTGATAAATATTCGTAATTTATTTCTTTTTAAAGATTTGGCAACACTGTATTCTTGACGCCAATATTTTAAAAGATTATATGAACGTTTGTACTGACCTTTTGATTTCGATTGTTAGTCTATTTTCAAGGGATAAATTTTGATTTACACAGAAAAATTTGAGATTTTAACGCCAAGTTAGAAATTCTAACGGGAATTCCAATAAATACAACTGTCACTTTTTGTACCTTTAACATTTACAGTGTAAGAATTTTTAATACTTTGCATTTATAGTAATAAAAAATCAAAAGATAAAATATTTTCTTAACATAATCATTTTTGGAAGTTACTTTAATATTGTAAGTATCAATAATTTAAATAATAACGGGCAATATTAATGGGAAAATTACGTCAAAAATATATATTGGAAGTAAGTATATTGGAATGGTTACTTTATTTTCGTATAGATGTCGCTTTATACAAATATTTAATTTAAATCATTTTTTAGATAATATTAAGTATTTTTCGTAATAATATAATATTATTTATAAAATAATAACAAAATTTTAAGGCATTAGTACTAAAAATAACTTTCTTTAAAATATAATATTAACAATACAATCAAATTTATTATTGGCTCCATTTTAATCACTGATAAATACAAATTTATATTCGTCGCCAAATCCGTATCTTATCTTTAAAAACAACATTTTACTCTTTATAGACTTTCCCCGTAATAAAAAAACCTTACAATTTCATTGGTATCCTGCAAAACCTTGGAAATCAAGTCGCTTTGGCCGGTAGTTTTTCGGTCACCACTGTCACTAGATTCACCACGCGTCGCGCCGTCAATCAAAAACACGTTGTTGTTCAATTCGCCGTCTCTTTCCGGTCTAGGCACTTCTTCCGCATTTTCTTCGATATTTTCGGACATTTTGGCGTTTCCCTATTTCATGTCACGCAACGCGAGCCAAACTGTTTGTTATCGACTGATAACAGAGTCTCCCACGGATACTATCCGTAGATTCGGTCACGTGGCCAGAAATTATTTGCCGACATAAGTTTTATTATTGTAGGTAAGTAAGTTTCACCTGCATTAGTAGTGCAATCAGCATTTTACGCTTCGACGTTCAAACGTTACGAAAAAAATGTCAAGCACACCTTTAATTTTACTTTTTAGTTTTTCGGCAGACCGTCGTAAACTGTAGCAAGGTCAGTGATATTTGACGGTTTTTTAATCTGTATGTAAATGTTTTTTGTCAATAAACAATATACAAATGCAAATGGAAGTTATTTAAAGATTTACCTTTATTAAATAGTAACTAGTTAAATAAATAGCATTTTAATAAACCAAAATCTAAGTAAAATAATGTTTTTTTTTGGATTTGAATGATTAGAGGTGGGAGAACCATAATGTGCAGCTTAATATTAGAAATTCTATATAAAATCGTAGTGTAATTATATGATTGACATTGTCACTGTCAGTGTTTTAGTTTTTAGGTTAGTTTTAACTTGAGACATTCTTTTTTTAGGGAAAATTGGTGGCCCCAATACAGATTAACAATCGTTTTAAACGTTGTGTTTATTGCAGAGGCGCTTGTAAGCCTAAAAGTGCTAAGAACAACCGTTTTACTCCTCTTTTGGTAAAAATAAACCTTACTCCATCAGGGCTGTCATTAAACTGTCAAATTTCAATTTCAAGGTTAATTGCTTACAAGTGCCTCTGTAAGAAACACAACGTTTAAAACGATTTTTAATCATATATTATATCACGAGAACTATGAATTTAATCGGTTAAACTAGGCTCAGTAGTTTTTTGTTTGGTTTTTGTTGGAAAATGTTGAATGCAAAATAATTTAATAAAATCACGAGACCGCGTAGCGGTCGAGGGGTTTTATTTTTAATTATTTTGCATGAAACTATTTTCCAAAAAGAAAAATTAAATAAAAAACTTACTGAGCATAGTTTGACAGATTAAGTTTATAGGTAGGTTGAGTGATATACGTCTAGATTATTTGTCGAATTAAAGGAAACTATTTGACAATTCATAAAATCTGACGTATTTCGTGACCTTGGAGTGACAAGGTTCTAAGTGCAGTTGCGCCGTTAAGCAAAAATGACTTATCTAGAATATTAATTATTGCAGGTAAGGCATTTTTGCTTAACGGGGCAGCTGCACTTAGAACCTTGTCATTCCAAGGTCACGATTTGTCAAAATTTATAAATATTTTTTTAAAGAAAATTCCATTAATTTAAGGTATGTAATAAGTAATAATTGATATGTTGTAAACTAGATAACTTATTTTTTATTGTTTTTTAAAAAATGTTTGTTAAAACTTGTAAATAACACAACGTTTATAGCCATGGAATTTCTACAAAAGTTTGTGTTGTCCCACCTCTAATCATTCTGCTAGAGCCCGCCTGTGATTGGCTACTTTATTTTTTTAATAACTTATTATTGGTGCGCCTGATCAGTAAACGGAAAAGACTATTCGACTTAGAATCCCATCCTCTATCCACCCCTTTTCTGCTGTCCTTGACTTTTGAGACACCCTGTATACTAAAAGGTACATTAACCAAGAAACTAAATTTCACTATATAACGTTAATTTAAGGTTATTTAAAACCTTCAAGAAATAAGTTAATGATAATTAATAAAATTATGTAGAATTATAACACAAATGTAGAAAATTATATAATTTTTTTTTATCTAACCACAGATACGTGTTTATAGATTTAAAAATGGAATGCATGAATTAATTTCCTCATATTAAGTTAATGTTCTCAACATTTTAACAGATTGTGTACAAAACTGACGTCATCAAATGATATCATACCTTAAAATGTTTACGAAATGCAAAAACCATTTGTTGCAAATTGACTCATCAAATGTGCTTAATAAAAAAAAAAGTATAAAATCTCAACCATTCATTTATTAATTTAGGAGAATTCCGTAAAATTAAAACTGCCTTATTTAATTAATTTCATTATTTATTGGACTCTTCAAACTGTTGTTTTCGCCCGTAAAATTTAAATACGAATAACGTTTAAAAATAACTGAAAAGTTTAGCTAGGTGCGTTGACACACTTAAAATCTTTACACATTTTCTTTAATTGTTCGTGTAAGATTTTTCGTTTATTTTAACTTAACATTTTTAAGTGTACATTATTAAAGAACGGTTTAAAAGACTTGTAGAAGGTTTTGAAACATTTTAGAGAGTGCTAAGAAAGTTTTTCTAATAACGGTTGTCATGGAAATAATTGAAATAAGGTGTATTTTTTGACAGTTCTTTAAACATCAAAACCTTATTATTATTATCAACATTAAGTGAAATTTAGTTCCGGGAGGGGTAAAACAAATCTTGGCGTTGCCACGTGACCTCGCTGCGATGCAGTGATGCCAGATTGGGCGCTTTATCGCAAATTTGGCGATTTTAAGAAATAATTTGCGACTTGTTTTATTTTGCATATTTGTCTTTTTTTAAATTACTATCGTTGTAATTCAAATTAATTTTATTTCAGTTAGAAAATCTTTGTTATTAGCTTACGTTAAGAACAATAACAAACATATTTTACTGCCATAAAAATACTTTTTTAACAATTACTATTGTTTTGCAATGGTAACAAAATTTTTGTTATTTCCCTTAAAAAGGGGGAGAAAGGGCCAGCGCTCTCCTTGGTGAACATAACTTTATAATCCACAGTCTGTGTTATAATCTTATTGATTTCACTTGTGCGAGTGAAGTGTGGTAAAATCTAGCATGATAAAAATATCAAAAAGATCACCAAGAAAATTAAAATTTCTATAAACGAAGCAGACTTGTTGTTTAAAAAATGAGTTCATATTTTGTTTATTTTATACATCATATAATATGAGTTAATTTTTTTGTTATAATAAATAATTTGTTATAATGCCTTGCAATTATTTAAAAAAAAAACTACCCAACACCCAACAGTAGGTTGAAAATGTGACCATTGTTACAATGAAAACAGTTTATTAAATTAACAATTAATTTGTTGTTAAATTTACATACATTTTATTAATATTATACAAATTCTTTTATTTTAAACGAAAAGGGATTTGTAAAATTTACAAAATTTCTATGAATAATACCATTAGGGTTTCATTAATACTACAAAACGTTTTTGTAAACGGTATAGAACTGTTTTTTTGGACAAATAATAATAACTATATTTATCAATGCGTTTCTGCATCTGGAAGAGGGTTGTTTTTATAAACAACGTAAATTTACTTGTTGGTGATTCTTTGAATTGAAACTTGAAAATTACCTTCAGATTGCACCTACCTATATATACAGGTATTAACGGAAATTCCATAGTTACAAGAAAACATGGTACAATAATTATAATTAAAAATATACAATATTAAACATATATTTTCACAAAATGTGGATTTTTCGCTCTTGCCATATGTCAACAAAATGTAAGATAATCTATTTTTAGTTCTGAAGATAGGTCAGTTGGATACTATTTTTAAAAAATACAAAACGCATTATGAATTTAAAAACAATGAGAGCAAATTTTATCATGAGTATTAACAGTTGTAAGACAACATAAAAACATACAAAGTACACAATGACACACGATACCTAACACCCACTCCAAGACACAAGACAAGAAATTAATCACCAACTACATTATTAATTAATTAACAAAACAAATACGTTGTAAATCCAAAAAACTCACGTTTTTCTTGGAGCAAGAAACGGAAGTAACGATGAGCGATTTGGCGCAATCTTCCAGACAGTCCGTTATACAGGGCGTTCTGGAGAATTGAGCCATCCAGGGCCAATTCACAACTTTCTCCATTTTTTGCACGACCATAACGTTAACGATAAAAATGCAATCACGAGACTACTGTTTATAATGCCTGCGATAAGATAAGGCGCATGTTGTTTTTCAACGCGTTTTTTCGGCGTTAAAAGCGAATTTTATTTGGTGCGGCATGCGGCTGCCGCGTCACAAGTCTCGAAGATGACTGGATTCATAAATACGCATTTGACTAGGGCCTTATGCTTAACAGAGTTCATCGCCCAAAAATTCCAACGTGCTGAGATAGATAGGTAGATGATAATTAAACGATAAACTTCGTTCTCTACCGGATTTTGTGGAATTTGTTAACTTTTTGTCAATAAATTAAAATCGATAATAATTATTGAAAATGCTGAAATTAGATAAATTTATCCTGGATTTTCCATACTACAGTTTCAAGATCTAAATGGATATAAAATGGTACGTTACACGAAATGTTACAAGAATTATTACAAGTGAATATTACAAGAAAATAATATTGTACCTAGTAGTAGTTTATTTTAAACTTAAAATTATTTTATCTACTCCGCCCTTTATCGTACATGTTTCCATGACACTAAGTGACCTTTTAAATACACATGGACAAGTTGTGGCTTTATGGCGCTTTAGTCACGGGCTGAAGTTAGCAACAGGTTTTTTGTCACGGGCTGAAGTTAGTTTTAAGTTAGTTGACAGTTGTCAAATGTCGTACAATCGTTAAAATAAATTGCCTTTCTTGTAAAATAATACTAAATGTGAAAATTATTTCATTATCTCAATTCAAATATACAAAAGTATTAAATAGTTTCTCAACGCCAATATTTGAAAAGTTTATAGGAACATTGTACTGACGTTTTAATTTCGCCGGCAGTAAACTGTAACTTAAATTCGGGCACGGACTCCACTGTAAAGTGCTCATAAAACATTTTCTTTACTTTCACTGTGAAATACTGTCAATTTTCAAGAAATACATTTCGATTTATAACCTTTATAATTGTGTTTATAAAATATAAAAATTTGACATTTGACGGTGACACACAGATTCCCCTATTGTTTCATAGATGGCGCTCTGTACAAATTTTTGATTTAAATCATTTTAAGATAATAATAAGTATTTGTCGTAGAAAAACTATAGTATGCACCTCGTTTATAAACTTTTCTATACACTCTTTAATTTAGATTAAATATTACAGTATATTTTTTATGGCAATCTCAAAAAACATTTTTAGTTTCTCCACTAGCGTAAAACTTAATTTTTATTGGGAGTCTTTATTCCAACAACCCCAGCATTTTTTTATTTGTTTTACCAAATTAAAGGTATTTTAGTATTATCAAGAAACATTACGATAAAAATAATTCTTAGAATACCTATGTAGATAACATCCCTAGATTTAAAATTATCTTTAAAACAATGCTATAGCATTTATTAATAGACGTACTTACGATTCTTTGTTCTACATCTGCAAGTAAGTTATTTTTTTTTAACAAAATTATACTAATTAAAAATGTTCCCAGGTAATAATTTTATAAATAAAATCTATAATTGGTAAATTATTATACATTTTACTTTGTAGGTAAATACTACTTAATTAACCTGGGAATATTTTTTTATTTTAATTTTTCGTAGTCGACATTAAACAAATTAAAGTATAGATGACGCATATTAATTGTAATACATGTCGTAAAAATTTGTTCTCCACACTTTTGTTTGTCTATGGTCGACGCTCCGAAGTGACGTCACGACGTCTGGACGTCGACGCGTACATAGGAAGTGCTGTCTGTATTTCTTCCCGAATTTTCGTCGATAAAATTAAACGCATCGCTTAAAAGAAAACGAATCATTTTTTTTTTTACAAGAAATTAAAAAAAAAAGTTCGTAAACAATTTTAATACAAATACTAAAAACACTCTGTATATTAAACGCAAAAACCAATGATTTACATTGCTTATGTCCTTAATATGTGTCGAGAATATGTATAAATAATTTACGTGTGTGCCATGTACTGAGCACGTTCAACTTTATTTAAATGTCAAAGATATTGGTCTAAATTCCATCTGAAACATGCTTATTTTTCGAAATTTATTTAAAAGGTACATATATTTTATTGTAACAGATAATAGGTTTGCCTATAAATAGATCAAGAAAGGGGACACTTTTCTAAAACAAACTTGTGTATGTATAGATTAAATTGTAAGGGGATCACCTCTTTCCAAAAATAAATATTTTAATTTGTATTTGTAATAATAAAATTGCAATAATTTTACAAAATAATGTTTTTACATTTTGCATTTTATATTATTTATTACGATGTTTTGCCAAATAACATGTAATGTTCTATAGGAGGAAAACTATATTTAAAATTGTATTGAGAAGTTTTATTGGAGGAAGTAAGTATTACCTACACTTCCTCCACTTCCTGTTTATATTAATTAAGCTAAACGTCAATCTGTAAGATTTAGGAAGATATTTTTGTATATGAGTTTTTTTATAGCTGGAGTACCTAGGTACCTATAAAAAATACAAATTTTTTAATGAGTATTTTTCGATATTTTTGAATTATAAAGTTTTAAAATTGAATTTTATTATATTATTTTAACTTCTAAGGCTTTTTTTATATAAGGGTATTAAAAACAATTTTCTAATGACCTAAATAATAAAAATAAAGTTTTATTTGCAGACAAAATCTTGTAGACAACAAATAATAATAATAAAATTGTTTTTTAAATTGTTTTTATAACAACAATTTTGAGAACATCAAGCCAAGTTTTTTCTACTTAAATACCCAAGAACTCGTCAAAAAATGTTTTTGTATTTGTAAGGTTTTATACAATTTATTGACAAGCTTATTAAACTGTGCCATGTTGCCATATCGATGCACTAATAAACATATACTTATAAACAAACATATTTTTCTGAATTTAAAAAATTTTAGGTTTTTTTCAGTAAAAATTTCGGAATTCCCAATGCGGTTTTCCAAATAGTGACTCATTTATCTTGTCGAGCCTATATTTAAATCGCGCGACAACTTGGCAACCGGGCCAAGACATACGTCGCATACCGCGATTTTCTTTTACTTTTTACTTTTCCCAACGCCGATCCAGAACCTCGTTTCTTTAGACGTTATTTTTGTCATTGTGCAAAATTAAAAAAATTATAAATTTAAAAAAAAAATATTATGAATTTATATAGAAAATTAACCAATCAGAGCAATAAAATTAACCCCCCATATCTACCAACCCTCTACATTATAGTTTTTTGTTCATACTATTGGTATTTATTAATACCCGACAAAAACTACTGCTTACCTCTTTAGCAATTTGGTCTAAGGCCTGATCTTCAGCCGAAGACTTAGCGGCCAATCGTCTGCGCCCTCCTACGCCGTCCATTGGCAACTCCACCAAAGGGGGGAACCCCCCCGACAACACAGAACGACACCGACTGACCTGAGAACAACACAAAAACACATATAACACGCCACAACAAAAAGTTCCACAAACACATCAAAAATTGCACAGTAATCAACAATTTTGCCTTTAAAATACCCTAAACACTGTGTAATACAAAGTTAGAATTATCATTTTTTCTTTATTTGATTAGGATGGCAATGTTTGTTTTAAATAAATACAGTCAACAAAAAATTCCAACTTAGGAATCACCGTTGATTCATATAGCTGATGTTCATGACTGTACAATTTCGGTTAATAAGATTAATTTAAAGATTAGGTAGTAAACATAAATGTATGATTAAGATTATTTTAATTACAAGACATTAATACATTAAACATAAAGTGCAACAATTAGCACATCTTAGCCATATTATGTAATTATAATAACAAGCTAAGATGTTATTTTCTTAAATAAAACTTCCAATATCAACATAATTTGTTTATTATTATGTGGTTCTAATAAACATGAAATATAAAATTAACATAACTTGTTCAAGAATACTTAAATTGATTTAGAATAAATAGTAAAAATGCACCAGCTCTATTTTTAGAAAACATCGCAAAAAATTCTGATACAGATTCTTTCAATAAAAATAGATTCTATTTCTACATGTTCCAGTTGGAAAAAATAAAAACACAGGAAGGAGACTTTATCCCATTTTATAATGGGATTGTTTTTTAATGCTAAAAATTAGTGGGTATTGATCATGAAATCCAGAAAAGTTCATTAAATGCTTGTTAAACTTAATCTAACTTAAAATGAAGTTTTATCTGACATTCTTAAGACAGTTATATCTAGCTTTAGTTAACATTCTATCTGGTTTAAGTTGTCATTCTTAATACAGTTAAATCTACCTTAAGTTGCTTATGGCAGCTATACCTAGCTTAACTTGTCATTTTAAACAGTAATATCTTGCTTAAATTGAGATTCATAAGACAGTTGTACCTAGCAGCTAGGTCCTTTAGAGTTATTTTAATATAAATAAACGTAACCCTTTTTAAATTCGTTTCTAAAAATTTTAATGGACACCTTAATATTGTTAATTTATTTTCGGCGATAGATTTGGTTTAACTACAGGATGAAATATCGAAAATTCGTAAAAGTAAACAAATTGTGAGGTAGAATGGACAGGCAGGTGGGTGTGTTATAAAATTGAATAATTGGCTCGGTGCCCGAAAACCAAAACCACCTAATTACTTACTTTTCCACAGGGTTTTTCATCTAACGCCCTCCGCTTTTCCGAACATTATCCAGCCCTAAATCAATTTTCAATCAACCTCTTTGCAACAAGGGCTAAACCAAAACCACTCAAACGCACTTGAACTTGATAAAAACACACCACTGGTAAATTTGTTTGGTGAAACTAACGCTTACTTTAATTTATCACAGACTAATTTTTTTCAAAAATAGCGATTAGATGCAAAAATCCACACATGTGTAATTCCGTGACGACATTTCTTTTTCGGTTCGCAATCACTGTAGCCAACCGACCGTTTTTGCAAAAATACCCTAAAATGGATGCACACCTGTCAAACTAAAAACGCACAAAATATAGACAGCAATCATAAACGAAACCACCATAAATACCACAAAACCAAGAATTTACTACTACAGCTCAACATTTTTTATCAGCAAAATAAACATTATTCAATATATTTCTCAAAAACTCTTCAGGAAACCCTTTAAATGCAACAAAATTCTACATTTTAAACGTTTTTAGTTCTTGTGAAGGTGTTGCCAACCGAAAGAAACCAAACAATGTTATTTAAAATTGTTTTTATTGGAAAAATTTAATCCTATCTTATCTTTAGTAAATATTTCAGACTTTAGTTGGTGAATAATATTTTTAAACATATAAAAAACATTTATTAGCAAAGCATATTTGTTTGTCATCTTAACCTAACCTTATTTCTTTGTTTTTTAACATTTTTTACGTATTTTTTCAGCAGTATTTAAGTTGAAAGTTAACGAAAATGTCTGCAAAGGTAAGTAAATATTAAAAAAAATACCCAGTAGTTATTAAAATTGTAATTTTCAGGTGGATAAAATAGTGAAAGTTTATAAATCGTTGGCTCAAAATCCATCTCTGTTGGGGGCTTATTTATGCTCAAATGGCGTTGTTAACTCGGTGTGGTCCCAAAGAAATATAGAAAAAGGAAAAACGACGAAATTCACGAAAACTTTTGTGTTGGATAAAAATTTAAAAAAAATTGCTGAAACTCAACCTTTGGATATCACTGATGAGTAAGATTAGAAAAATGTTGGGGTTGTAGGTGTTTTACAGGGTTTTTTAGGGTGTTATCGAGGGTATCAAAGTCCGAAAAATTCAGGGCCGTGCTAAGAGAAAACGACAGCAAGCAATTTTTGGAAATTTGGCATAGCGAGAATTTAATTCGCTGTGTAGACTTAAACGCGTTGGATGTGCATGGGAATGTGTATGCTGATGGTAAAACCAAGGTGTCTACTTGAAAAGGTGGTCTTGATAATTTTTTTTAGTTGAATTTGGCTCGTTTGAGTGGTCACCAGACGAGAGGAAGGTTATGTATGTTGCTGAGAAAAAAGTACCAAAAAGTGATCCCTTCTATAAGAGGAAAGGTAATAATGAGGAGGGGAGTGGGGATTCCCCCAAACCAAGGGTGAGTAGACATTTTTTATTTTTTATCCCTCAAATAATATTTAGTCCATCAATCAACTTGAAATGTATAAAATCATTAATTAATGAAGATTTTATTTCACACAGAAATTTTGATTTTAATAATTCTTTCTAAAATGAATAAAAGTTCATAAACCTTCATTTTAAAATTTGATTCATTTTCATTATCAAAAATATTCAGAATTTCATTTTTTTGTATACTTACCTACCTATATAAGCAACTGTCAAAATAATTTTTTTTAGGCATTTTTTGTTTTTTATCCCTCAAATAATATTTTTTTAAATCCATCAATCAACTTGAAATGTATAAAATCATTAAAATGTAGATTTTATTTTCTACAGAAATTTGATTTTAATAATTCTTTCTAAAATGAATAAAAGTTCATAAACCTTCATTTTAAAATTTGATTAATTTTCATTATCAAAAATATTCAGAAATTCATTTCATTTCATTTAAAGGTATTAACAAATGTCAAAATCATTTTTTGCATTTACTTATGTCTTATACAGGTTGTCCCAAAAATTGCGTTATTTTAAGCATAAAAATATAACAATTAAATTATTTTTTTTTGTTGAGTTTTAAAACTGAATTTTATTTTTGTTATTTATTTTTATAAAAGGATGGAAAACTATTGGCGTTGGTGCGCCATTATTGAGACACCCTGTATATGGTTTTTAAAATTATTGTATTTTTTATAAATCTAAATGCATATTTTCTACTGGTCATTTTTTCACAGGTGCTTATAGAGGTTAATTTAAAAACTAACTTTTTTTATTATACAGGGTGAGGAATTTGTTTTTGTGCAAGACTGGGGGGAACAATTGGTGGGAAAAAAAAAGTCAGTCATTGCTCAATATGATGTGGAAACCGATTCCGTGGAAATATTATCTGGAATTCCGGATAATAAATGTGTGGCCCAACCAAAATATAACCCTGATGGGTCGGGGGTTGTAGGGGTGGCTTACGAGACCGAACCTAGAAAATTGGGGCTTATTTATTGTAGCAACAGGGCCAGCAGTGTTTTTAGTTTGGATTTTAAGGGAAATTATGGTATAAAGTCCTTAAAACTAAATTAAAGCTAAATTCGGTATTTTTTAGTCGAAGTTGATTTAGTCAAAGACGATTTAGCCAAAGCTGTAAAATCGCCAATATTCACTCCCGACGGGAAACATATTATTTGGCTGCAAAGGGAGTCAGGGGGGCCTCATGCCACCTGCATGTCTTTGGTGAAAACTGAAGTCCCGCTAGCGCAAAAGTCCGACGTTAAAACTGTGCTGGAAGCCGTTAATGAGTCGGTTGACATCGGAAATGGTACCAAATTTTATGGGCTTTACAATAACGGTTTTCCTAGAAGATGCTGGTTGAGTAATAATCAGTTAATATTGAGCACAAATCAAAAGTACACCATTAATACCTACATAATTAACATAGGTAATTTTGCCAGTTTCAAAAATTGATTCTTTACAAATTTAAACCAAAACTTTTTATTTTTAACATTTTTAACACAAACTTTATAACTTTTAATTTAAAAAGTGTAAACGTAGCTTTAGAAGACGTACAAAGCGCGAAGTCTGCAGCTAAAGCAGCGTTTACACTTTGTGAATTAAAAATTATCGACTTACATTAAATGTAACGTGAATATGTCTGTGTTAAAAATGTATCAATTTAAATTTGTTAAAAATAAAAGTTATTGGTTAAAATTTCTCAAGTGTCATTTAAATGATAGTCGAAAAATTTTTAATCAAAAAATTACCGCTTTAAAATTTAAAACTAACATTAAAAGGTAATGTGAGAATTTTGGTACTAAAAATTTATCGACATTTAAATGACTCTTTACAAATTTAAACCAATATTTTAAACTTTTACTTTTTATATTTAAAATATTTTTTGATTCTCAATTGTTTGAATTAAAAAAAACTTTTTAAACTATTTGGTAAAAAATGTTTTATATGTGTTTTTATTTTAAATGTCAACGCTATTTTTAAATACTAAAAAAATTAACTTTACCAATTTAATATAAATAAATTTTTTAAAATATTTATTTTTAAGATTTAATAATTCTGCCAAATAAATTATACTCTATTAAAAAATTATAAATTTTTGCAAAAATTAATAGGAAAGTGAACTGTTAGCAAATTTTGTCTGTCAATACATGATACAGTTCATTTTTTTTTATCTGGAGTCGTGTTTTTTTTGTTAGGTTGGTGGCTTATGCCAGTTTGACTTAGTATTTTTAGTATTTACTTCTGCCAAAGAATTTAGACACTGTCAAATTGACAATAATATTTATTATTGATAATTTACTTGTCAATTATAAATAAAAAGATAATTATGCCAAAAATAATAGCAACGAATTCGAATGTAAAAGCCCTTTTGAGGGCAAAACTTCATTTTGATGAAATTATGCCAAATGCCACAATGGAAGAAAAAGTACACCACCTTATGGACATTTTTGGAGTAAAAAGTAACGAATTTGGTTTTATAAATATTACATCACACATTATTCACCATTTCTTTTATATAAATTCTTTTCAACGCGAAGATTGTTATCCGCTGGGAATACTTTCTCTTCTGGGCCGTAAAGCAACCTATATTTAACTACTTTTTTATATGATTTTACTCATCCAAGCACCACCAAACCCAAATTAATTGCATTTTTAACTACAAATTTCGACAACTCAACTTGACAACTGCACAATGTAACCTACAATAATTTATACATAACCACACTTAGATTTATAACTAGCTTAGTTTGTTTTAATCAATGCGACCAACTTGACAACTGTATTTACCAACCAAAACCCTAAATTTGCAACGTTGCCGCAGTCCAGATAAAAAAATGAAAATATTTTAAATAAAAAAATTATTTAATAAATGTTAAAACGGCGTGCCATAGTGTTTGGATTTTTTTAATTTTTTTTTTAGATAATGGAAAAGTTACTGAAATCCCGTTTAAAGATGGCAGTCAGCTAATTTTGGACGCTTTCGATGGCAAAATTTTAGTGGCCAGAAAAAATTGCCGCCAACTGGACTACTTAGCAATTGGAGAGAAAAATTCCGACTCGACTTTTGCTTTTGAAAATATCACCCAATCAAAACTATTGCCAAATTTCGAAAACATCATCTACAATTACATGGATTTCGAGGTTTTAAACGAATATTCAGGTAATACAAAATTGAAATTGAAAAAAATAACAAAAATCGTTTGTTTTTTTTTAGCACCTTTTAATGCGATTTATATTGGCCCCAAATCGGCCCCCGAAAGGTCCGTACCGTTAATAGTGTGGCCCCACGGTGGGCCGCACAGTGCCTTCGCAAACTATTTGATGATGGAAGCCGCCCTATTTTTGCAATTCAGTAAGCACCACACGTTTTTTTTAGAAACAACCACAATCCACACAACAAGGTTTAATCTATCTCGAGATCGTTTCGCGCATGCAAAGTTAGGCAACCCACTGCGCAGACTCCAACGGCGGCCATTTTTAAAATGTCAATTTTAAGGTTAATTTACCATAACCTATAAATTTTTCATCCCCATGGCACAAGTAGAAAAATATGCATTTGGATTTATAAAAAATACAAACCATATACTAATTGTACTCAATCCTTTTATGTAAATAAATATTATCATTAAAATAACAAAAATAAAATTCAATTTTAAAACTGGACAAAAAAAATATTGAAAATTAAATATTGTTATGCTTAAAATAACGCTATTTTTGGGACACACTGTAGAAGACATAAGTAAATGCAAAAAATGATTTTGACATTTGCTTATATTTCTGAATTTCTGAATATTTTTGATAATGAAAATTAATCAAATTTTAAAATGAAGGTTTATGAACTTTTATTCATTTTAGAAAGAATTATTAAAATCAAAATTTCTGTGGAAAATAAAATCTTCATTAATTAATGATTTTATACATTTCAAGTTGATTGATGGATTTCAAAAAATATTATTTGGGGGATAAAAAACAAAAAATGTCTACTCACCCTTGGTTTGGGGGAATCCCCGCTCCCCTCCTCATTATTAGCTTACCTCTTATAGAAGGGATCACTTTTTGGTACTTTTTTCTCAGCAACATACATAACCTTCCTCTCGTCTGGTGACCACTCAAACGCGCCAAATTCAACTAAAAAAAATTATCAAGACCACCTTTTCAAGTAGACACCTTGGTTTTACCGTCAGCAAACACATTCCCGTGCAAATCCAATGCGTTTAAGTCTACACAGCGAATTAAATTCTCGCTATGCCAAATTTCCAAAAATTGCTCGCTTTCGTTTTCTCTTAGCACGGCCCTGAATTTTTCGGACTTTGATACCCTCGATAAAACCCTAAAAACCCCGTAAAACACCTACAAACCCAAAATTTTTCTAACCTTACTCATCCAAAGGTTGAGTTTCAGCAATTTTTATCCAACACAAAAGTTTTCGTGAATTTCGTTGTTTTTCGTTTTTCTATATTTCTTTTAATAATTATTAATTATTTTTTTAAATATTTACCTTTGCAGACATTTTCGTTAACTTTCAACCTAAATACTGCTTTGTGGGTTATGGCAAATTAACCTTTAAATTGACATTTGACAGTTCGATTTACAAAAGAGGAGTAAAATGGTTGTCCTTGGCACTTTCAGACCTCATTTGAGGCTTACAAGTGCCTCTGTAAGAAACAACGTCTAAAACGATTATTAATCTGTATAAACAGCACAAACCCAAAGCACAAGAATTGTGAACAACATAAAAATGGCCGACGTTAGAGTCTGTGCAGTTGGTTGCCTAACTAACTAACCTAAATTTGACATTTCGAGTACGGTAAAACCAAGAGACTTATTTTTCAGATTATGCGATTCTTTTGGTCAACTACCGCGGTTCGTTGGGCTTCGGCAAAAAGTGGGTGGACTTTTTGCCGGGCAAAGTGGGCGAGGCAGACGTGGCCGACTGCGTCCAAGCGGTCGATGAAGTTCTGCTAAAACGCAGCTATCTGGATCCGGACGCTTTGTGCTTGGTCGGGGGTTCCCACGGCGGATTTCTGGTGACGCACCTGAGCGGTCAGTACCCTGACAAGTTCAAGTGCGTCGTCGCCAGAAATCCGGTCACCGATATCGCCAGCATGAGCGTCATTTCCGACATACCCGATTGGTAAGTACAAAAAGTTTGTACTTTTTAGAAAAAAATACCAAACAATTTTTCGACGTCAAATTCTGTGACATTTTTTAGTTTTTTGAGAGAAACCATCAATTTTTCAAACAAATTCTTTGAATATTGCTTTGCTTTCTATTTTTGTTTAATTGAAATTTTTTTTTTTAACTTTTCCCAATCGTTAATTTATTTTCTTATAAAAACTAAAAACTTTTTTTTCTAAATTTCAGAGACTAAGAATAATTAGTTTATTAACAGATTTTAACTTTTTATTTTTTAAACCTCATTGAAAAACTGCTGAACCACTTTTATAAAAAAAAATAAGGTAGAAATAAGGTCCTATTATTTATTCTAGGTGTTATGTTGAGGCTGGTATGGAATACACACAGAAAGGCGAAATAAACAGAGATATCCTAGTTAACATGCGTGAAAAGTCGCCCATAGTTCACGCTCATAAAGTAAAAGCCCCAACTTTACTACAAATTGGTTCAAAAGATTTAAGGGTTCCGTCGCAACAAGGAACCGATTATTATCACAGGCTTAAGGCAAATGGGGTTAAAGCAAAGTTAGTTTTTTTTTAATAGTTTCCAGGGTTTTTAAATGGTTGTTTTTCAGGATTAATTTGTATGATGATAACCATCCATTGGGGACTGTTCCAAACGAAATGGACAATATTATTAATAGCTTGTTGTGGATTGAAGAAAGTATTGGCAGAACTGAATAATTTTAGAATATTATAATATATTTTATAAGTAATAAAAAAAATATTTTTTTATTAATTAAAAATATACATTACTATTATTATTGTTTGATTTTTACTTACCTTTGGTTTCCTGTGGTATGGTTGTGGTCCCTGAACTTACCTTGGGTTTTTATGTAGAATATTATGGTTAAAATAAAAGTCAGTTTTGTTATTTTTTAAATAAATTTAGTCAGAACATAAAAATACACTTTCAGGCGTAAATATCGTCCTGCACCTTCTTCCATGCGGCAAGTGGTCCATGGTCTGGCCTGTACTGTACATTGCAACCGTCTGGAGCTAATCTGCCTTCGCCTTTCAACGTTTCGTACTGATCGCGCTCGTATTTGGTGAAACCCCATTTTTTGGAGATGTAGATCTTTTGCCTGCCGGGGTACTTGAACTTGGCACGACGGAGAGCCTCTATAACTTGGGCCTTGAAACGGTCGGTGGAGCGCACGCTCATGATTGGCTGTCCGATGCGGACACGGGCCACGGTACCTTGAGGTTTGCCGAACGCACCTCTCATTCCAGTTTGGAGCCTAAAAGGTGCCAAGCCATGAATAAATAACGCTATCCGGCTTTTTTTAAGAAAAAAAAGGTATTTTTATAGGCTATGTTACAGTGCAGTGTATTTTCGCGAATAATTAGTGTTTTTGTTTTTCCTAGGTTTGCTCGTTTTTGGAAGTATCGGACCCAGTAGCACTATAAGTGCGGTTACTGCTACCAATATTTTAAAAACAAAGACACAATAAAGAATGTAATCTAAATAAATAAAATTAAATAAATTTGATGTGGCTTATCACGGTTATGGTACCCTTTACTCTGTACTCTGCATCTGTAGCCTGTCAGTTTTAAGCAAAGTTTATTGAATTTAACTTACAAATATTTTAGTGTAAGATTATTTTTTCCTTAAAACTGTATTATATTTATTTGTTACAAATTTATAATTAAAATTAAATTTAAATACGACATCTCTATGGCACGACGTTTTAACATTTTAAAATAATTTTTTTAATTTAAAATTTTATTTATTTAATAATTTTCCAACTAAAAATTTTAGGTTTTCATTTATAAATTTAAAATATTTTCAACTATCATGTATTAAAAGACAAAATTTACTAACAGTTCACTTCTGTTTTAAACAATATTATTTCCAATCAATTTTTGCAAAAATTTCTACCCATCAATTTTTAAATAAAATAATTTATTTGGACAAGATTTTGTGATCTTAAATAAATATTTAATTATTTAATTTTTAACACAAACATTCACATAATATTTAAAATTGTTATAAAATGTTTTGGTTTAAATTTTTGTAGTCATTTAAACCGAGAATTTTGTAGAATAAAATATTTGTACTAAACTTTTTAAAAATCAATATTTTGACTATTATCAAAAAATATTTTAAATATAAAATACAACTGTTAACTTTAAGCATAACAAAATTAACGCATAACAAGTAAAAAAAAATCAAATTCTCAAATGCCTTAACAATTCTTTATAAAATTTTGGATTAAAATACTTTAACTTATATCTCAGTTAGGTGTTCAAGGGTTTTTCGAGATAATATCCTTTTAGTTAATTATAAAAAATGCTAGAAAAAAAAGCTTGTTGTTTTAAAGTAAATAAAAAATATGCTATGAAAGACCGTATTTTTGTTAATATACCCTAAAAATGTTGTACAAATCAAAAGTCGTCAAAAATGACCACTTTTCAGCAAAATAATCAACCATTTGTAAGAAATTGTGTTAACTTTTTTTTGCAATAAAGTTCATTTATTATTATTATTAATCAGAAAGTGGTCATTTTTACCGACTAAGAAGCGCTGTATCTTCGTTACTGTTAGTTTGATTTGTACAAAATTTTCAGGCTATACTAACAAAAATGCGGTCTTTAACAGCATATTTTTTATTTACTTTAAAAAAATTCCATAAGTTATTTTTCGAACGTTTTTTTATTATTAAATACAAGAAAGGGCTTTAAAAATATTTTCTTGAAAAACCCTCTAATAAGTAAACTGAGATAAGTATTTTTGTACAAAATTTCAAAGATTGGTAAAGGTGTTTTAGAGTTGGAATTTTTTTACTTATTATGCGTTAAATTTGAGGCGCAGTGTAGCTTGATATATCAATTGAAGACATTTTTTCAAAAACGACACATGTCCAAAATCTGAATTTTTAAGGATAAACAAAAAACTTTAAAAAATGTGTGATATGCTACTAGATGGCGAATTTAGCTCAATTTGAGCATTTTGTGACATGTGTGGTTTTTGAAAGAAAGTCTTCTATTGTTTTGAGTTTAAACAAATTTAACTTTCTGTTAAAGTGCTAAACTTTAATCTTCAAACTATTATGTAATAAATGCTAAAATGGCTTCTAGGTTGAAAATTCTTATAATCAACCATAATTGGTAATAAAAAAAGTTGCATAATTACAAGTTTATTAGAATGGAATTTAAAAATTAGGAAAAAATCAGTAGCTCAAAAATAATCTGAAAAACTGAAAACCCGTCAAAAACAAAAAATCGTTAATCCTGAGATATTTGAAAATAAGTGGAAAAATAAAAAAATTCCAACAAATTACATGTTATGGCAGCTGTTAAAAGAACAAAAGATAGTGATGGAAATTGGATGGTGGAATATAAACTCTATTTATAATTTAGTAAAACTTTAGTTCAAATTATCAGTATTATTATAATACTGCCAGGCGCTCAGCTACTTAATTAAATTTTAAAAAATGGTAATAAAAACAAAAAAAATCATTTTTTTTTAATGAAAATCATAGATTTTTGATTTTTTTAAAAACATCATGATTTTTTCCAACCCTGACAAAGACTATTGTCAAATTAATTAATTAAGGACAAATGATAATTTTTATTGTTTTTATCAATCAAAATGAGAAAAACAATTTATTATTATTTATTTCAATGTTGCACTTCCACTTTTTTTTTTAGTGCCAACACTACTAAATAAACTGTTGTGATATTTTTCTATGAAAAGTAAAAATACGTTTTTTAAAACTGTTTTACTGACCTATCAGCTCCGGCACAGGACAACATCTTGTTGATGCGAATAACGTGGAAAGGATGGAGTCTCATACGGATGTGGAATTGATCTTTGCCGCAGTTTTTGACCAGGTATTTGTTGCAGCAAATACGTCCGGCTTCAAGAGCTTCGGAACTGAGCTGTTCCAACTCGTCAGACACTAAATGGACGCATAGCGGGAAATCCTCCACCGGGGCCCTCTTTTTGCCCAAATCGAAGATACGGATCTTGCTGTCGGGTACACCGCGACAGAAACGCGACTTCGGGTATGGTTTGTTTTTACAATAACGATAACTGAAAGTTGGAAAACAAGGTTAGGTCATAACCCTAAAAAATGTTGACATTTGTCAAGTTACTCAAAAAATGCACTTTACAGCTTAAATCAACACAACTATGAAAGATACGATAACGATAACTGAAAGTTGGAAAACAAGGTTAGGTCCTAACCCTAAAAAATGTTGACATTTGTCAAGTAACTAAAAAAATGCATTTTACAGCTTAAATCAACACAACCATTAAAGAAAATTTAAAATAACTTAAAGCAGAACAATAAATATGAAGATTAAAGTAACTTGAATAGGTTAAAAACACAACTTACCATCTTGCTGGGCGCCTACCCATTTTGGCCTAAAATAAAACAAACAACGATTATTTCACCAAAATAACTTCAAGAACCCTTAGTAATCACTATAATTAAACTGTTTTCGTAAAAATATCTCGAAATATTCAAAGGATGGATAAAATATTTGAAGAAACAAACCTTGTGATCACAACACGGCCAGCAAAAGATTAAGAAAGGACAGGAATACCACAACAAGAAAGTGACGTTGTCGGAATACTTTTCTGGTGACAAACCGAAAGTAACTAGGATTTTGCGGGGGATTTGAAGGGTTCTGGGAAAAGTGAGTAAAAACCTTGGATGATTCGTTTATTTTTACTGATATGACTTGCATTTTTTGAAGAATAAAACTCGAGTTATTTATCTATATTTATATTAATTAAATTTACGATTTTTACAGTTTATAATGATATGAAAATATGTAAAATAAAAATGTGCTTTTAAATAGGTAAACAAATTATTGCGAATAAAATAGGTTTATGTGAGAAATTTTGTACAATTAAATAAACACCTATGATAAAATTCAACACACCATACAACCAACATTTATTGAATTATATAAAAATCCACTTTTTTAGTGAATATCACAAATGAGTATTAAAAAGTCCATAGAACAAATGGCCTACACTGTATTATATACCTAAGACCTAAAAAATTATGTTTTCTTACAAAAAAGCGTTTTTAGATAGTTTCAAATAAGTTTAAGTAAAATTTTATACTTTAAATAACAGCAATAACATTTGATAAATTAACGCACCACTTATACATTTTCAGTCGTTTTACAGCGTTGCAAGATTGTGCAACATGTCGCCACGCGAGTATTTAGAAAGTTTGACAACCTCACAGACTTCAGAAAAGACTCTAGTCGGAAAAAAGAGGGGTTGTTTGACAGCCAGTGTTGCCGTCCTATTAGTGTTTTAAAGTGTCGAAAAAAAAAAAGGAAAAAAACTTTTTTTTTTGGGAAAATTGATTATTTTCCGGAAAATATACACATTTGAAAAAAAGTAGAAATTAACAACTTAACATTATTTTAATTTAAAAAAATTTAAAAAACACATTGCATTTTTAACTACGAAATAAAAATTTGGAAATTTTCAGAAAATTGACTTGCATTTTTGAATAAAATTGAAAAAATTAAAGTCAATTTTTCCGGATATTTTAAAACATTTTTCCAAAAATTTCTGTAGATTCCGATCAAATTCAGTAGAGTTAAATGTATGTATTTTTTTATAAAATATTAACCAAAAAAAAATTTAGTCCCACTTCTGATTTTGTCTACCGGTAGATTTATCGAGATTTCGGTAGGGTAGGCAACACTGCTGACAGCCGACAAAAACCGATTTGAACGGGAAACAAAAGACGACGTCGATGTGATCATTCCGTTTTACAACCACACCCCCTCCACCGCTCATATGTGCACCGGCTTGTCGTTGGCGCTTCCGACGACGGCCAGAAGGTGGCGCTGGCTCGAGCCGCTCGCGTGCGACATCGGCGAACCGTCCGCCGACCTGGCAACGTCGCAAACGCCGTTCGGAGCGCTCGCGGAGGTGGGCGAGCACGCCGGGCCGTTAGAGGTGGGCGCGTGCTGCTCCTCGGGCGTGTAGTAGTCGGATTCGTCGTCGGCGGCAGCGGCGGCGCTGTTGCCGTTGTTACCCCTGCGCTCTTCTGCAGACAGACATGATAAGGCGGTTTTCAAAATTGTTTGTCTTTTTGTTCCAAGGGCGGGGAGCACCGACTTATGAAGTAATTCTCGCATGCAAATAATTTTACTAAGTAGAAAAAACGATAAAATGAACGAAGAAAAATATCTGCCGTTTTATTTTTTATTCAGATATTATTTTTATGTGTTAACACTATTCTTTATCAATTTAAGGCAATATTACTTAATTTAAGTAAATATTTTGTTAAATTAACCTTCAAAATTTACTTTGAAGTAAAACTTTTAATAAGTTTTATTTATGGTATTTTTACCTATTTTAATATCCCTTAAGTTTCAAAACTTTAAAGTTTTATGAGGGACGTAATTTTTACGAAAGAAAATTACTTATAAGTGTATTTCACCTAAAAGAAAATTTAACAGTAATTTTAACGTCAGAATTTTTACTTAATGGTAAATGTTACTCATAAATCATAATTTTACGGTATTAAGACACTTTATAACCGTAAATAATTCCTATTCGCCTTAAAGTGAAAAATAAAACTTTAAGGGAAAATTTTTTTTCAGGTCGCCATAATGAGTTTTTTAAGATGGCATCCATTACTTATCTAAACATGTTTTTATAAATATTTTTCTAAAATATAATAAGGAAAGTTTTAGTAGGTTTTAAGTTTTGTTGAATTTTTACCCAAGCAATAATTTTTCTTAAAACCGTAAAATATTTAGACGGCATATAATTTTTAAGATGTATCGTGCCTATTTTTATCAATAAAATAATGTGCGTTTGAGTTTTAATGCAAAATATTATTAGTTTTGGCAATTTAAGTTATATTTTTTAGTTTTACTCTAGGGTGGCCTTTATTACTTTGTAAGTACCATTTTGTGAAATAAAAGAACAAAGAAATTACGAATGTCAATGTTTTAGAAAGAGAGAGTAATTATAACGTTATTTTTACGTAAATTTGTGGTATTTATATTGTTTTTATTACGTTATTCTCTTAGTAGATCAAAAAGGTTATTATGTAGGTAAAATAACGAAATAAACCATTCCCCAAATTTTGTAATTTTTCGTTTCTATACCGTTATAAAACCGTTTTGATTAACCGTAAAAAATATTTTAAAGTTGTTTTTGTAGTAAATTTGTAGTTATTTTAATTTTCCTAATGTATTTTTTATTTAAATCACCCCTATTACTTTTTTTAGTGAATTTAAAATATCGGTTCCTTATATTTTTATTTTTTTGCTTATTTGCTTAATTAAAAATATTTGCTTCTTATATTTGTATTTATATTTATAATTAAATATCACAGCAGATATTTTAAAAAATAGATCTAATTTGTATGCCAAACTGATATTTTTAAAATATTTAATTTAAAATATCTGTTTCTTATATATATTTTTAATTCGATTTAATTTTTTATTGTGCCGCCATCTAGCGACAGAATTAGTTTGGAATACCAGGGGTGTCCAGACTTTCAATCTTGATTAAAAATAGGCCATTCAATTATAAATATCTGCTTATTTAAAAGAATAGAAATTAAAAAAGGATTAAAAATCTCCTATGATATTTTATATTTAGTAATTAAAAAATGTGTTTAACTAAAAAATAAGAAACAGATATTTTTATCTAATTGAAAATAACACATAAGATTATTTTCTAAATAAAAAAATGAAACGGAAGGTTTGATTAAAACTTACTATAACTTAATTTTAAAAAGTTTGGAAATTTTAAAAATGAAAATTATTATTTTTTATAAATGTTTGAAAAATAATGTTTGCATTTTCTTTTTAACTTTTTAAAAAATTTCACTCACCTTATCGATTTTTTTGGGCGTGTCGTGTTCGTTAGCTGTGCGCGCGCAACTTCCGTTGCACGCGAAAAATTTTACTCTCAAACTTCAAAAACATAAAAAAACACAATCTACTTCTAAAAATTCGAACCAAAAACCATAAGGAATGCTATTTACAAGCGCAAAAAAAAACAACCAACTTCGTTACGTACTGTACTTTTTTTTCGTGTTCGAACGATCGCTTTCTAGTTCCGCATCGATCGCGTCTGCCATGTTAAGAGCGAGGTTGTTGTCGCGTATCGTGATCTTCGGTTTTTGCAACAATGGAGACATTTTTTCAGCTTCGCTGTCCTCGTCTAGCGGCTAGAAAAGAATTTTACCAAAATGTATACGCAGATTTATTGCGACGTCCTTTTAACTACTGCTAGCAACAGGGGGGAGTGATTAACCAATCAGAGCACTGCATGCCAATGCCGTGCTCTGATTGGTTAATCATAGAACCACTTTTTCTTGAAATTGCTATATCCTGTTACTATAAGAAAAGACGTCTCTAAATATGTGGTGGAATTTACTAACCTCTTCTTTTTCTGTTTTCTCGTTAACCAGTTTTAGAGAGTCGCGTTTTTTAAGGCTGCTTTTTCTTTTTATTGGTTCAGCTTCCTCTACCAAAAGGGGACACTTGTTGGATTCCCTAATAGAGTTATAATAATTACCAAATAAATTCAATTCAATTGTTGTATGTTTTTATGTAATTAAAATCAATGCAAAAAATATAAGAAACAAGGCCTAACTAAATGTAAAATTTAAATTATAAGTTAGAATATTTACTAACAATAAAAATATTGAAATTAAATTACTTTGAAATATACAGAATAAATAAAAAATTACCAAAACTCTGTAAACCCTTACAAAACCTATATTTTAAATATTAAAAGAGAGTTAATTTTTTTGTTTTAATTATTTATTTACATTCTTTAACGTGTATTCCTAAATTTAATTCTGGCAATATAAAATATGCTTTAACCTTCTGATATAAAAAAGGCAATGTGAAAAATATAAAATAATAAAAAATTATTAAATTAATTAATTTTAAATGTTCTGTTTTGTCCCAATTTTTTTTTCTATCCAACAAAGAAGTTTCTGAGATTTTTTAAAAAAATTTTTACCCAACTAAAAAAATACGAATATTTTTTTCTTTAATGTAGGTACAAAACAATTTTTCGATGTCAAATTCTATAAACAATTTCAGGTTTTTGAGAAGTTTTTTTAAGTTGACATTTTGGTTATAGTCATAAAAAACTTTTTTTTTTAATTGAAAATTATTTTTTTCCCAATCGTTTATTTTTAGCTTAACTTGGTTTTTATGATAAAATCAGTTTTTAGGAAATGGTTCTATGATATTTTACACTTAATTTATAATCTAACCTAATAAATAATGAGTAAACAATATGTTAATTATTTTTCTACTCTTACTTCCAAGTGATCTTTTAAATACACATATAACAATGGTTAAGTAAAATGATAATAAATTGATTTTATTATAAAAATAAAAATTTACAAAAAAAAAATATTTTTTTGGTTGGGTACAAAAATATAAACAAAATCCCAGCCAAATTGAAATATGGAATAAAAATAAATGGACAGCCTATAAAATTTATAAATTTCTTAAAAAAACAATTTAGTTAAAAATAATAACAAAGAAGAGATAAAAATATTAAAGTATTACTTTACATAAATAATGTTATATGTTTTATGATATTTTAAGTTTGTATTGTCAAAAATGTACCTATTTGTAAGCTACTAAAAAAAATTACGTTATAAAATATGAACACTAAAATAAGCTATGAACTTAAAAAAAACATAATAATTATATAATTAATTATTAATGTCGTTTTTGTAAAAAAAAAACAATTCCCCTATTGAAGAAGCAAAAAGGTACAGGGTGATCCCCTATAATGTCGCCCCCCTTTAACTTTTTTATTTTAAGTGTCCCAAAAAATTTAAAAGTGTGGTTATGTAGGAACTAAAAAATACTTTTTTTCTACGTATAAAGAAAATTGGAAAATTGATCAGTATACAGGGAAAAACAAAAAGTTTATTTTTTTTCAATGGATCACCCTATATTTGAATTTATTTTTCGATTCCTTGTAAAATTCTGAGCATAATTTATATACCAACCATATACCTAAATTCAACCGTTTCTGAAATTTTATTATTCGAAATGTCATCATTAAATGTTTTTTTTAAACTGTTAAAAATCAAGAAGCCTCAGTATACCAATATTTTTATTGAAAATAAATTACTATAGTGACATTATGTCAATAAGTGTTGTTAAATAAGTAAAAATGGCAGACAGAGAAAGACAAACTATTTCAACTTATTATCTTAAAAATAATTTAAATATTTCAGAAACGGTTGAATTTAGGTATATGGTATGATATATGAAATATGCTTAGAATTTTACAAGGAATCGAAAAATAAATTCATATATAGGGTGATCCATTGAGAAAAAATAAACTTTTTGTTTTTCCCTGTATACTGATCAATTTTCCAATTTTCTTTATACGTAGAAAAAAAGTATTTTTTAGTACCTACATAACCACACTTTTAAATTTTTTGGGACACTTAAAATAAAAAAGTTAAAGGGGGGCGACATTATAGGGGATCACCCTGTACATGTAATTTTTTTAAAAAATTGACTAAATTGTACGTTTTTTTAATTTTTTGTTCTTTAATATACAAAAAACATTTTTAGGGTTTTTTATATAAAAAAACAACCCATATGGAATAAAAATAAATGGACAGTCTATAAAATTCTAATTTAGTTAAAAATAAAAACAAAGAAAAGATAAAAAATATTAAAATTATATTATATATTTTATGATTTTTTAAGTTTTTATTGTTATAAAATGTACCTATTTTTAAGCTTCTAAAATAAAATTTTACATTTTAAAATATTTTTGAACACTAAAACAAGCTATGAACTTTTTTATAAAACATTTTTGCTACGTGGAAAAAAAATTATTAAGGTCTAGTTTTTTAAAAAACGATTCATATGTATATTGTTGAAATATATATTTTGAAGGAAGATTATTTACCTGTTATTCTCGTCGTCCCTCGTAGCGGTCATCATGACGTTGACCGCGTAGTCGGGACTGGCCGGCTCCGACGTCGACAGCCTGCTCTTGGACGGCGTACCGCGGTCGCACTGCCTGTTGAGGATCTGCGCCGCCTGCACGGCGTTCTCGTTGTCCGGCGTCTCGACGAGGTCGGGCATCGCGGACGGCGGCGCCCGCGGCGCGCAAGGCCCGTTCAGCGCCTCTATCAGCGACACGGCCTCGTAGCCCGGCGGGATGTTGTCGCAGCTGCCCTGAGAACAGAGCCCGGCGTGAGGTAAAATGCAAAACCCCTTTCACTGCCATAAAAACTCACTAGAAACCTTAAAACCCAACATTTCTTTCTCTGAAAAAGTTATAGAATATACGTACTAATTTTTAAAAATCAAGTATGCCTTTGACCCTAGTGGCAAATTGGGAAAAGCCTTGTCCAAGCATGGGTCAAGATACTTGGAACAGATTGTTGATCAAGAATTGGTCCAGATTCTTGATCAAGATCATTGGGCCAGACTGTGGCCAGAATTTGTCAAGAATTTGACCAGAAGTCTGAGGCCATCTGTTACTAAACTTAGGGACTATTCTATAGAGTAGAGGTTCTCATTTTACAGTAGTTTCAGACAATTCACAATTGTCGTCTTTTCAGTTTCTCGCGTAAGTCTATCTCAAGACTCTGGGCCAAGAATCTGGTCAAAGACTGGCCCAAGTCTGGAGCCAGTCTGGATAAAGAATCTTGGTCAAGTGTCTTGATCAAGAATTGTCAAATTGTGTATAAAGTGCTTCTCCAAGTATCTTGCTGGAGAATCTTGTCCCATTCCATTGCTACTAGGGGAAATATAAAAAAAAATATTTTTTGTGTAGGGAAAATGCCTTTCATATAGGATAATCGACAAAATATTATTATTATTAAAAAAAGTTGTTCAGAATTAACATTTTAGGTCTATATGCCAAATTTCAAAATTCTTGGCCAAGTTCGCCATTTTTAATAATTATAAAAAGCTTTTATTTCTATTTTTTAATTAAAAATTATTTTTTTTTAATCGTTTATTTATTTTTTTAGCTTAACTTTGTTTTTATGACAAAATCAGTTTTTAGAAAATAGTTGATATTTTACACTTAATTTATGTAATAATGCAATATGTAAATTATTTTTCTACTCTCACCTTCAAGTGATCTTTTAAATACACATACATATAACAATGGTTAAGTAAATGATAATAAATTGATTTTATTATAAAAATAAAAATTTACAAAAAAAAAATATAAAAAAAATTTGGTTAAAAATAATAACAAAGGAAAGATAAAAAATATTAAAATATTAATTTACATAAATTATGTTATATTTTTTATGATATTTTAAGTTTTTATTGTCAAAAATGTACCTATTTGTAAGCGTCTAAAATAAATATTTTACATTATAAAATATTAACACTAAAATAAGCTATGAACTTTTTTGAAAAAGAAAACTATATAATATTAATTATATTAATTATTATGTCGTTTTTGTAAAAAAAAAACAATTCCCAATTGAAGGGGTAAGAAGCAAAAGGGTACAACTGAAAAAGTTACGAATTTTTCAAAAATATGGTATTGTTTTTACTATTTTTTGTATAGGTAAAGTGCATTTCATATGAGATAATCGACAAAATATTATTAAGAAATTTTGTTTAGAATCATATTTTAGGTCCATATACCAAATTTCGAAATTCTTGGCCCATATGGGCAATAATATTATTGTTTTTACTATTTTTTGTGTTTTTACTATTTTTTGTGTAGGTAAAGTGCCTTTCATATGGGATATACGACAAAATATTATTAAAAAAAGTTGTTTAGAATTAACATTTTAGGTCCATATACCAAATTTCGAAATTCTTGGCCAAGTATTGTTTTTACTATTTATTATAAAGAAAATTTGTTTAGAATCATATTTTAGGTCCATATACCAAATTTCAAAATTCTTGGTCAAGTATTGTTTTTACTATTTTTTGTGTAAGTAAAGTGCCTTTCATTTGGTATAATCGACAAAATATTATTAAAAAAAAATTTTTAGAATTAAAATTTTAAGTATATTATACCAAATTTAAAAATTCTTGGCCAAGTATTGTTTTTAATATTTTTTGTGTTTTTACTATTTTTTGTGCAGGTAAAGTGCCTTTCGTATGGGATATACGACAAAATATTATATAGAAAAGTTTTTAGAATCATATTTTAGATCCATATACCAAATTTAAAATTTATTGGCCAAATTGGATTATTTTATACTACCTAGATTTTTAGGAAATCAAAGTGGCCAAGAAATTTGTAATTTGGTGTATGGACCTAAATTATGATTCTAAACAACTTTTTTTTATAATATTTTTTCGTATATCCCATGTGAAACGCACACACACAAAAAATAGTAAAAAAATATAAAAATCAAAGTTGGCCAATAATTTTAAAAATTTGGTATAAACTACTTTTTTATAATATTTTGTCGTATATTCCATATGAATTTCACTTTACTCACAAAAAAATAGTTTTTTTAAATATTTCCAAGTCACCTGATTTTTCTAAATTGAAATTATGTTGAAAATTAATCTTTTATCAAGCAGGGCTGAACCCCCGAAAATGAAAATTGAATTAATTTTTTTTTTTGATTTTACAAAAATCGTTTTACCTATCTGGGGACACACTGTATACACTTGTATATGAAACTTACTAAAAACCTTACAAATCAAATTGTTTCCGAATTTAAACAAGGATATATTATGGTTTTAACTGAAAAATATATATATATAATAAAACCGCGCCCCATTCCCCTTTTAAATACTATAAAAAAACCTACTGAAAACCTTAAAACCTGACATTCATTCATTAATTTAATTTAATAAAATGAAATTTAACAATTTTCACTTACATCTGGTGGACTTATGGGCGGTAAATTTCCGTTGGCGCTCTTCTGGAGGGCTCTTATCTGCAAGAGCGCCCTGAAGGGGGCCCTGCAAATCGGACAGTTGTTCGCTTGGTATCTGAGAGAGTCAGCGCACGAGTTGCACAAGCATAGATGGCGACACGGTAGAATTAAGGTGTCGCGTACGTCGCACATGCAGATCACGCATTCCGAACCGTTGTCTTCAGTGTCGTCGTCTCCACCAGCCTAAGAATAAACATGAATAAATTCTGCATAGTTTTAAGACGGATTTTTAGGTAGTTCTAAACTTTTAAAAACAGTTTAAGATACTTTTGAACTGTTTTTCAAGCTATTTTAAAGTTTTGTAAGTATAAAAAATGTCCACCTGCCAAGTGAAAATCTGTAAAAACAATGGCCAAACGAAAAAAAACTGTAAATCCCACGATACAACAATCGTTGTATCGTGTGTAAATCCAATAAATTTCCTTGGTATGAGCTATGAAAAAATTGATGTTAAGGATAGTAAGTAGATTTATTTTAAAAACAATTAAATAATAAAAGTGCTTTGGGTTTGTGCTGTTTAATAATTGTTTTAAACGTTGTGTTTCTTACAGAGGCACTTGTAAGCCTCAAATAAGTGCCAAGGACAACCATTTTACTTCTCTTTTATAAAAAATATACCTTAGTCCATCAGGGCTGTCAAATGTCAATTTGAAGATTAATTTGACATTTGACAGTTTGATGACAGTCCTGATAGAATAGGGTGTATTTTTTACAAGAAAAGGAGTAAAATGGTTGTTTTTAGCACTTTAAGGCCTCTTTTAAGGCTTACTAGTGCCTTTGTAAGAAACACAACGTTTAAAACGATTATTAATCTGTATAAACAAAGCACAAATATTGTAAACAACAAAATGGCCGCCGTTAAACTCTGTGCAGTGATTTTTAGTATTTTTAGTACAAGATAGAAGAGACCTTGTTGTGTGGATTGTGGATTAATCTAAATAAAGCCTTTACGTTTTAACTTAAGTCTTAAAGATTACTGTTTTCTATAAGTTTAAACAGTTTTGAAGCAAAATAACAATTAAATCAAAAAACTGTTGGGACTAATCTAAATAGGTAGTTTAAACAAAAAATATTTATTAATTCTACAATATATCAAAAAAATCCTACCTTATCATTATTTTTATTTTCAATTCCATAAATTTCCTGCAACAAGTAGCACAAACCGTCGACATACAACTTCTGTTTTAAAGCTTTCAACAAATAAGTCCCATCTGTAATTTTCTCCACTGTTCCCACTGTAGTATGAGATTGTCTGATTTCTAAAACAAAACTTAAAAATATACAAAAATTAAAAAAATATACAAATACCCTCTGAATTTTCCTCAGCCACACAATGAATAGCAATGGGGATAACCTCCTTATCAACATCATACAACAACTCATCGTTGTAGTATTTGGCAGGGTTAAAAATATGGCTGGGTTGCGAAAATTGCTGATTGGCGCCGCGTTTGAAATGGAAAGTCTCCGAGGTTAGAGTCGGCTCCCGAGACACATACATAACCCCATTTGGAGTCATTTCTTCCGTACAAAAATAATAAATCGTAATAGCACACCTAACATCACAATCGAATGTGAACTCTATGTTGAATAACGTGTTTGTGCCTAATTCTACGTCCACGTTCTCAGATTTATCGATGTTTGGTTTGTTAAAATCATTGTATAAGCGTACAAATCGAAGTGATTCTTTCCTTATGTTTATTAGGCTTTTAAGTGTTTTTGTTGGTTCATTTGGTTGTGGGGGTGGATATGGAAACTATAACACATTTATATTAGTAAAAATTGTCGAAAAAACAAACACAATGTTACTTACAGGTGTTGGTCTACTTCCCAAAAAATTCAAATCCGAATTCTCACCAAACAAATAACTTTCAGGTTGCGGGGTATCGAAACGTTCCCCGCCCATAATAAAGTGACTCCCAAAATAATTCCCTTAAAAAACACACTTTAACATCAGAAAATAACGGAATATTAACCTTAATTGTTTACCATTTCTTGGAGGGTATCTGTACGCGTGTGTGGAAGCTATATCCACCTCTTCAACACCCGCATTTTGTCTGCTTGTGAAAGCCCCCATTTTGCCGCCTGAAAATGCACAAAATTGGCGAAATTTGTTAAAAAATAACAATTTTTACTTCAATATTTGACGTCTGTCAGAAACAACGCGAAGTTAGATGCAAAACAAACCTTACCATAGACATTAGCGGAACCATAGATTTTGCAGGAATCTACTAAAGACGTTTAAAAAATAGACAAAAATTAATTATTTTAATGTTATCGATCAAATGTTATTATTATAATAGCGTAAGAGGGAATGCATTCAATTAATTTAGATGTTAATATTAAAAAATAATGAATTAATAAATATTTTAGTACTACCTACTATTAATTTTTCTAATGGTTTTAATTCATATATTTATAATGGTATTAATTCATTAATTTATATTTCTTATATGTATTAATTAAAGGTAGTGATGAAGCTACACATACCCAAAATTTTGGATATATCCTGCCGTATTTTCGGCATTATACAGTATGAGTTGGACATTGGACATAAAAAATTGGGCACCTTTTTGGCACTATTGGCACCCTTGCCAATGCTGTGTATATTTTTGTACAGCATTTATAAATCTTTGAATGGTAACGAGGCGTTGCAATATTCTTACGTTTTGGTTTTATTTTCAAACTGGGCCAATTATTTGGTAAAACATGTTTGGTATTTTATACAGAGAAATTATATTAAGCAACTTATAAGGGATTTGGATTTGTTTGAAGAGAAACATAGTGAAGTACTGGGGGGTATACAAACGAATAAAACAAAATTAATCTTTTTTTATTTGTTGTTGTATGTTTATATTTCATTAGCGAGTATAAAGCTAGTAAAAAGAGGTGGAAATGATTATTTCACTTTTATTTTACCGGGAGCTTCTAACGTTTTGGAACTTCTATTCCACGCTGTTTTACTCGGCAACATAGCACCTAGATTCAAAATAATTAACAAAAAATTCAAAACATACCCCGTCATCATAGAAATGGGACAAAAAGTTTACCCTAGAAAAACCAACAACTTAGATCAAGTAGACAGCATGGAAAAGCTCTCAATTGTCCACTGTGAGTTGTCAAAAATTGTTATGTCAGCCAACGAAATACTCACCTTACCGTTCCTGCTGACTTTTTCATCGTACTTGGCCATGCTTATAGATAGAACTTACCATATCGTAAACATTTGTTTAAGAAATGATCTTTGCGAGTATGATGTTTTGGTTAACTTCTTACAGTGGAGTTTTTTAGTCGTTTTAAATCTTGTTATGATGATCAAAATATGGAATAGTATTGCTGTACAGGTATGACTTACAATTAGATTAAAAAGTATGGAGGGAGCTCTATATATAGAGCAATAATAAAATAAAATAGTTTGATAATTTTACATATGCGCCATCTGGTGGACTTCTATAGCCTAGCGTGATTTTAAGAATTTTCGACAATACATTTAAAGCACAGATAATACATAATTTTTAAATAAATAGGTAGTTTTTTCACAAAAGAGCAGTCTTACTCGACAAATTTCATTCAATTGCACAGCTAAATCGCGCACGTTATTTGTGTTTTACGTTGAAAGGAAAAAATTAAAAAACTTTTAGTACTCGATTTCGATTGATAATAGGAATAATATTATTCCTTATATTATTGATTAAGATTAATATTATTCCTTATATTATTAATTAAGAAACTCAACGCTTAAATGCATTTAAGCGTTGAGCATGCTTATATAGTTACGTTAGTGTGTGTATTTTATTAAAACCATTTTTATATTTACGAATTCATGGCAACATAATATTATATATAATACATAATATAATGGTATTTTACCGTTGAGTGGAAACTTTCTTAATCAACGCTTTTAATAATGCTAAATGCTGTTTAAATTTAGACGACCTATTTGTTTGACGGTTTTTACTGAATGGAAATGTTTACACTTTTCACGTTAATCTCTACTAAAATGTGTATTTATTGTATCTAATAGGTACAATTTATATTTTCAGAGACTGTATGCAATTTAAATATTATAATAATTATTATAATTATAATTTAAATATTATAATAATTATTTCTTCATTCAGATTAACACTGTTTATGGAGCAACTCTTTGGTCCAAGGTTTATTTAGGTTTATGTATTTTGTAGGCAAATAAGACTTCTGCGCATGTTCACGAAATATGGAATACTTACTCAAAAAATAAATTGGTTGATGCTCATGTTACTCACCTTACTTTAATTTCTACAAGATTACTAAACACAAAATTGAGTATAACGGCTTTTGGATTTTTCAAAATTGACTGGGCTTTACTTCACTTGGTAGATTTTTTTTGTGAAAAAAACAATAATTTGAAATATTTTTGTAGGTAGCTGCAACCTTGACAACCTACTTGATCATTTTAATGCAACTGGGACAAACATAAAAACCTGATTTTATTTAAAACTTTATTACTGATAAACAAAATATTAGACTAGATTTCACACTAAAGTTAAAACAAACAAAACAACAAAAATGACTAGACTAAAATAGATAAAGCAAACCTATCTGGGAATCCTATCCCTTAAATAACACAATACTGAATCGGTTCCTTGCTCCAAAATGGCGTAACGGGGCTGTCTGAACGAATTACCCCGTAATTCAAGACTTCTGACTTGCGTCAAGTTGCCTAGTTCCGGGGGCACCTGCGCGACGTTGTTATTAGACAAATCCAACGTTGCCAAGCGCGTCAATTTTTTCAGGCCTTCCACATCGATGTGCGATAGCGAGTTGTCATTGGCCAACAGGATTTCAAGGCCTGCCATCGCGTAAACGCACGTTGGTATGGAAACAAACCTAAACAAAGTACCGATAGATGGCGTCGTATGTTGTTTGAGTTACAGCGCATGCGCAAAGTGTTACCTATTGTTGGAAATGACCAATTCTCTTAAAGAAGTCAGGTTTTTCATGGAATCAGGCAAGTTAGTGATGTAATTGTTCGATAAATTGCAATATTTTAGTTTTGTAAACTCGTTGAACCATTCTGGGATGGTTTTTAAATGATTTTGCGACAAATTTAGTTCCAATATGTTGTTTGCAATTGATTTTAAACTAAAATAATATAATAAATAAAATTTCAATGTTGGTTTAATATTTTTTAACAAACCCCATAGGGACTTCCGTAAAAATATTTTTGCAAATATCAACAATGTCAACATTGGCTTCTTTAGCTTCAGAAAAGCATTTATCCGGTATATAGGAAATCTTTTTCATCGCCAAATTTAACATTTTACCGTTTTTCATGGTATATCTACAAAAAAAAAAATTTTACTCCCCACTAAAATGGGGTAGTTAAATTTTTTCTGACCTATACTTTTTATGGTTTTATTCAAGGCGTTTTGTAATTTTAAACATTTATGTGAAATCGAAATTTCAATTGAGTTTACTGTTTTCGAGATATTTACAAAAAAAAAATCTCCTAATTACGTCACTAGGCTATTGACAACGTTGCCAGCTTTTTCTATGGTTGCCAGTGTGTTTAGTTTAAGATTCTTATGATAGATGGCGCCACGTTATAATATTTTAGTTTTAAAACCACTTGATCTATAATTTTAGTTGAGAAGAAGAAGAAGAATTGATTTTTTGACGTTTCTTTTTTTCGTTTTTTTTTTTTAAATTTAGATTATTGAAAATCAATGTTATTGTTATGTTATTTGTAATTGATATCAGATAAGTGATTTATTAATAACAGACTCCAAAGCAGAGGAATCTTGTGGAATGGTTGGTTACATTGAACATTGGAGCTTTTAAACAAATAAAGTAAGTACCTATAATTATAATCATATTTTGTCGTAAATGCATTTCATTAGTATAATGCCTAGTTCTTTATATTCTTTTAGATATATCTTTGACTTTATTTTGCCACTTTTTTCTTTGAAATATATTAAACTGCTTTAGACAGTTATTAGGTACCTATTTATTAAATTTTATTAGGTTTCACACGGTGTTTCAATGTGTAAACCTATCAATAAAACTTTTAATTTCAAAATTTTCTTTAACCTCCTCTTCTTCTTCTTTCACTCAACTGACAGTGACAGTATTTGTACATAACCTCTTCGGGTATTTTCTGACATAACCAAATGAAATCATTAACAAGACAACTTGACAACAGGGTAATTTTCAACCAATAGAAATCTTAGAATGTTGGTCACATGGCGAGGTTTGTGACGTCATTAAAATATATATTTTTTGTAAATATCTCGAAAACGGTAAACTCAATTGAAATTCTGATTTCACAGAAATGTTTAATATTACAAAACGCCTTGAATAAAACCATAAAAAGTATAGGACAGAAAAAAATTAACTACCCCATTACACTGCGAAATTTCGCAACCTGTCAGGAAACTTATCTTCCTCCAAAGTAACCTTTGGAGAAATCTCGTTCTCCTTACCCTCCCGCCCCATTTCCCTCAAATGCCGCAAAATCCTGGTGGTCCCCCCTCTAATAACATCGGACCGCATCAATTTCATCTTGTTCCCCTCCAACTTTATTGTCTGCAGATGCGGCAACTGCGCCAAGCAACTTGGCACGCTGCAAAACGGCGATTGAATGGCAACGCTGCAAAAACAATCGAATCGACTAACCTTGCGAGCTCGTTGTTGGTCAGATCCAGTTTGTTCAGGTGGGGGAGGCAAAAATTGTCGGGAATTTTCGCGATTTGGTTGTCGCGAAGTTCCAGCGTTTTTAGGTGGAGCAGGTGTTCGCAAAAATCCTCCGGAACTTCCTTTATGAAGTTATTCCCGAAATAAAGTTCCTGCAATTGCTGGCATCCTTGAAAATCCGGGATTTTTTCAATGTCATTATGAGAAGCATACAAAATTTGTAATTTTCTCATCTCCCCCATATTTGGGAGATATTGTATGTTGTTATTTCGCAAATCTAACTTTAATAAATCTAGAAAAACATGTTAACGAAAATATGATTAAAAAAAATAAAATTACCCCTTAAATTTACTAAATCAGGCGGAATTTCCCTCAACTTATTGTTGGAAAGGTTAATTTCATTCAGACGGATTAAAAAACCTAAACCCGGCGGTAAATTAGATACAGAGTTGTTAGACAGATCCTACAATACATTTAAATTAATAAAACGCTGTTGCTAGTACACCGCGCGCGGTGTACTATTCTACACCGCCAATTACGTCATAATTATAATCCGTTTTTGTTCCCCGAGCGTTTAATATTTGACAACAAGCTTGATGGCTCAGATGGTAGGGCGGGCGCTTGGCATGCGAGAGGTCCCGGGTTCGATTTCAAGAACTTTTTTTATTTTTTTATTTCATAAATTTGTTGTTTCTTTGTTAAACAGTGTTCGGTTGGGTTGGGTTGGTTAATTTGTTTTAGTTTTATCGTAACATAAAATCTACCAGAAGTTGTCGAACTTTTTTTATTTCATAAATTTGTTGTTCCTTTGTTAAAGTGTTTTATTTTTATCGTAACATAAATTTGCCCATTTTAGTTGGGTTTTTTGCTCAATGGGGCGGGGTCGGTTGGGTTGTGTTGTTGAGTTTGGGTTGGTTTGGGTTTATGACGTAATATATGATTTGGCGGTGCAGAATAGTACACCGCACGCGGTGCACTAGCAACAGCGTTAATAAAAACATGCACTTTCATCCAGAAAACACAAAAACACCCATCTGTCAAATTTGACAATTACCAAAAATAGGGTTATGTTCACTATTTTAATACCTTATGTTCTGTGTTTAATACTAACCAATTTCTCTAACATTATTAGATTAGAAAATTCGGTCGGGACACATTCCAATTGGTTGTGGCTAATAGAGAACTGTTTTAATTCGGTTAGAGTACACAATTCCACTGGAATTTGGTTAAGTATGTTACGGTTTAGGTTAAGTTTGATTAATTTTTTAAAGTTGGCTATGGTTTTTGGTAGACCGGTTAAATTATTATCTTGTAACTGAAATACACATTTAATTCCCCTGAGTTATAATAAGTAAATATTTAGCTTACATTTAGGGTTAATAGGTCCGAGAAAACACCTATTTCATCTGGTAATTTTGTTAAAATGTTTGAACCTAAATCGAGGTTTGTCAAGGGGTTTATATTCCACCAGGCATCATCATCCCTTGGGGATCTACTAAAATCTATTGTGACGTCTTTCTCATCTTCCGCATCGTAAATTTTAAATACCTTTGGGGGTACTAAAAGAAAAAATCAATAAAACAATTATAGTAAATAAACACCTTTATACCTATTGCTAGATGCCTGCCAGACAAATTTAACTGCCCAGTTTTTCTCACACTTTTAATAACATCTTTGGTTATGTATCCGTCATCATCTTCTTTTGTTTGCAAATGAAATACAGGGTTAATCAATTTTTTCCGCGACTTTACTTTCGATTGTTTTTCCATGGCTTATGTCGACTTTGTATTATTTTACGTAATGACATCATAGACCTTCGAATTGAGGTTTTTATTTATTATTTATACATGGGATTGGCTGCAAATCGCTTTTAAAATATTTATCAATGGCAACAACAATAAAAACAACTGCGCACTTTGGCCGTTTTGACAGATAAAAACAAAACATGAATCTATATACGATTTACTTGTTATAAGCTTATAGTTAAATTATTTTCATATAAAATTAGTGCATAATACAAATATTTTAATTAAAATTGTTAGTTTTCTTGTTTTTTCAATTATTAATAAATTTTGAGTTGTAGATTTTTTTATTAACCATTGCCAATTTGTACAGTTGGCAACACTCGTTGTCATTGTTAAATTTTGACAGTTCTTGTATTTTATAAACAAAGATTTTCCGGTAAATAACACTTTATATGATAAATAAAGCACTTTTTTAACATTTACAATTAATTGAAGACTTTCAAGTATTTTTTGCGATGGCGAAAGCGGGGACTTCAGATCAAAAAGGCATAGCCCAAAAGACATGGGAGTTATCCAATAACATGGAAGTGGTGAGTTCCGTGGATGAAATTTACAGATACGACAAGCAACAGCAGCAAGACATCCTTGCCGCGAAACCCTGGGAGAAGGAGTAACACAAAGTTAGGTTATGTTTTACGAAATTTACATTTTGTGTGTTTTAGCCCGTATTTTTTCAAAGATATTAAAATATCCGCTCTGGCGTTGCTGAAAATGGTCATGCACGCTAGATCCGGCGGCACTTTGGAGGTTATGGGGCTGATTTTGGGGAAAGTTGATGGCAACACGATGTTTGTTATGGATTCTTTCGCTTTGCCTGTCGAAGGGACTGAAACGAGGGTCAATGCTCAAGCACAGGCCTATGAGTACATGAGTTCTTATATAGAAGCAGCCAAATTGGTAAGAAATAAAACATTTCAGATTAAATCGAATAAAATAATGTTTTTTAGGTTGGTAGGCAGGAAAATGCTATTGGTTGGTACCACAGCCATCCTGGGTATGGTTGTTGGTTATCAGGTATCGATGTGAGCACTCAAATGTTGAATCAAAATTTCCAAGAGCCATTTGTTGCCATTGTAATCGACCCTGTGCGCACCATATCAGCCGGTAAGGTTTGTCTGGGGGCTTTCCGTACTTTCCCTAAAGGGTACAAGCCTGCGAATGAGGAACCATCAGAGTACCAAACCATTCCACTGAATAAAATCGAAGATTTTGGCGTGCATTGCAAGCAATACTATTCCTTGGAGGTTTCATATTTTAAGTCTTCTCTTGACCGAAGGCTGTTAGATTCTCTGTGGAATAAATATTGGGTTAATACTTTAAGTTCTTCAAGTCTATTAACCAACGCCGACTACACAACAGGCCAAATTTTCGATTTGTCCGAGAAATTAGAGCAATCGGACGCGGCCATAGGTAGTAAGCGCAAACAACCCCAAACATAACCTACAAATTATTTTATCCCGGTAATTTTTAGGTCGCGGCGGTTTTATTGTAGGCGGTACCGATCCTCACGAGAAAAGAACCGAAGATAAATTGCTCAAAGCTACAAAGGACAGTTGCAAAACAACAATCGAAATAATACACGGTTTAATGGCCCAAATGATCAAGGACAGATTATTCAACAGTTGCAAGCCCAACAGTACCCCAGCTTAAAAAAATAACATTTATTTATGTGTGTTACTGTTTTATTTTAAGAATTTTCACTTAAAAAATAATAAAGGTTTTTTTTACCTAAGAACAACACTTTTATTTGACAACCTTCCTTAAAAGACACCTGAGAACAACGCTTTTATTTGACAGCTTGCCTCAAAAATCGCAGTGAGCTGTGTATTTTTACCTAAGAACCACTTTTTTTTGACAGCTGCAATAAAATACACCTAAGAAATTCAAGCAAAAGTATTTGCAATGTAAAGAATTTGGTAATAATAAATAAATAAATAATAATTTATTTTATTGTATTAAATCTTACGTTTTTTTACTTATTTTCTGGGAATTCTATTCTAAGGATATTTAATCGCAGTGAGCAGTGTATTTCAAACGTCAGATGGAAGCGTGCGCAGAATCGAAATGCCTCCAAAAAATGTCAGTTGTCAAAATTCATTCGTTCGTTGACAGCGGTAGGGTGCAGTGCTCCCGTGAAATATCGATAAAACAAACACATTTCGCAGTGAAAGATGCGTTGAAAGTGAAAGCGAAAATGGCAACGAAACTAGCGAGATTGAACAGAAACTTGGGCGGTTTATTGACTAGAATCGCCGACAATGGCACGATATTTCGTAAATCCACGGACTACTGTGCACAAAAGTGTAGATTTAGTGTTAGTTCCAGTGACAACGGTTCCGCGGGGCACCAGGAAACGACGAGCACGACGCAGGGGCTGTCGAAATTGCAGGCGCAAGAATTAATTCTGCGTTTGAACGGCGAGGAACGGAACATTTTGGTAACGGCCCTGCACGAGTACCAATCAAAAATGATTAAAGACGAATACGAAGGTATTTGTGTTACGTTTTGTGTCCTCACCGCGAAAATTGATGTTGTCAAACGCTAGACAAGAAGTGTCAAAGTAAACAAGACTTTGGAATGCAACAGTTGTTTAATTTGACGCTTTCTTGCTTTTTTGTTTATTTTATTTTGAATACACTAATACACCACTTCAAATTCCTTAATTTTGATGTCAGGGTCTTCAACTATTTAAATATATAAAAATAATATGCATAATGTACCATACGTTTTTACCTATTGTAACGATAGGAGTATCGTTTTATTTTTAAAGAAAATAAGGTCGAGTTGCGGGCTTTTTAGGTCAAATAAACATGGTTTATCTGCGATTTGTGTAGGGCAAGGTTTATGCAATAAATCGCTGGATTTGTCCAGAATTTTGCATTTATTTCTGGTTTAAGCATTGAGTAAAGGTTCAATGGTTTAAGTATATATTTTTTACTGTTTAATGTATTTGGATTGATGCCAGGATTATAGGTAATAAATTGAACTTTCCTCAGTGGCGTAACAAATTCTGAGTGGGCCCCCCCGCAAACGATTTTAATGGGCCCTCTTTACAATAATTAAATAGTTTATTTAATAGGTAATTTTTAAAATAGTTTATCATAGTACTTTTAAACCTACATTATATACATAATATTTTTTAAATTAAAAATTTTGACAGGTAGGTATAGAGTGTATACGATAGACAGACATACGATAAGCAAATAAAAAAGGATTAGGTAAGAAAAATTGCTGTATCTGCAATTTTTGGTAGTAAAACATAAAATATTTAATTAATTTTGGTTTAAAAATATCTTATTCTATATACCTTTTTATATGCAGGATCATTTTTGTAATTCTATAATATATAATATCTTATTAAGATTATTTTAAAAAAATATTTAAATAATAATTACCTAAACATTTTCTGTTCTTATTACCAAATTTTGCCTTTCTTAGAACGGCAGTATTATACTATTATATCAGCAATAATAACAATTTAAAAATAATAATAATTTAAAAAATGTATACATATCTTACCAAGTTTAAACAGTCTTGAAAAAAAATTAAAAACATATTGTAGACAGTCTTAAAGAAGTTAAATTAAAAAAAAAATTAAAAACATAAACACAAAATGCGATTGTCTAAGTATTTATAGTCGGTCTGATCTTCTAGAGTTTTTTTTGCAAATTCAGTTATAATATTGTCAATGTTTAATGTCTTAATAAACTCATGTTCAATACTAATAATTGATAAATTACAAAGACGTTGTTTTCCCATAGTGTTACGAAGATATGTTTTCACTATTTTTAGTTTCGAAAAAGAACGCCTTGGGCCCCCTGACCGTCTGGGCCCCCCCGCGGTGCGGGGTCTGCGGGGGTGCTTATTACGCCACTGACTTTCCTATATATAGGAGTTCCATATGGTACATCTATCTGTTAGTTTAACGCTAATTTCGTCTTATTTTCCAAATTTCGGTATGAACTTTTTGTAGATCAAAAACTACTTTTGAAAAAACAATTTTTTCCATTTTTGGGACTTCCTAACCCTGTTTAAACAAAAAAAATCACTATTTCTTATTTATTTATATTAGGGGAGACATACGAATCATATGCTGTAGCGGGCCTAATCACTTTAGGGTTACACGAAGTAAAAATATACCGTGAGTAAACAAATAATACTTTGTAGTTAACATGTAAAAAAAGTAGCGGTAAAGGTAGAAAGTAATTTAATTTCCAAAAAATACGTGTTAAATGGTATTTATATTAATTAGTAGATAATTAAATGTTCTTGTAAGTCTTCCAATTCAAACAAATATTTCCATGAAATTAAAAGACCGCGAAAAAACGAATTTGAGCTGGATTAATTAAATGAACATTTATCAAAGTGTTAGAGGTGTTTGTAGACTTTTTGATTTATGCCTGCGTCACAAGCCTTTTAGGTCGATAAGTGTGACGTAAATGCACAGGTGTCTTTGATGATACCCTTTAGGTAAAGTGATATATTTGAATCAAATAAGGGTGTTTAACTTTATATTATGGTACATTTTTCAGTTTTTTTTGACAATATATACAGTAATTAATTATAGTTAGAAGTAGATTACTTTTGTACGGGGGTTGGTGATTAGGTCTCTAGTCAAAAAAAATTGTTTAGTATCATGTGTTAGGTCAGCTGGCAGCTTCGAAATGGCGCAGCAAATACGGTAGACCCAGCAAGCTGCCCAGCCTGGGCGACGTGGACCCAACCGGCACTTATTGTCCGGTACCGGAAGATTGGCTCAAGAAAAAATACGGTAAAAATGCGAACTGGGGCAATCATCATGGCTTACTTAATGATTTAACATGTGGGACTTTTTTCCTTAAAATACACTCATCAACATAATTATTGCATCTCCCCAATTGATTTAACAAATGTCTAGGTATAACAATTGGGGTGATGCAATTTTAATTAATGTTATACCTTGGTAGATTTTCCCATATATGTAGTGCCAACATAATGTTTATAGTATCTAGGGGTATATTTAGCAGTGATTTTGTAGGGTGTAGGGTTGCATGATGAATATTTAAGGGTTTGCTATAGGTATAACATTAATGGCTTCCGCATGAAATTTGCGATTTAATGGTGAAAAAAATTTAGTAATATTTTTATCGCTAGTACTATCGCTATTAATCATGGTACCTACTAACAAACTAATTTCTGACATCGACCTAATTAATCTCATACTTAGGTAACACATTTTTTGTTTTTATGCTTTGGATGTTTTAGATTACAGAATTATTCAAATTATTAGTCATATAGTCATATTTATATTTGGACCATTGTAAATATGGAAAATAACATTTTTTAATATTCTAAAAACATCACCTAGTATTAATTTAAATAATTCTGTAAATTTTTGCAAATATTTGCTTTTTTATTATTAAGTACATTTGTTATCTGGCCAAATATTATTTAATATTTTTTTATTTTTAAACATTATTTTAGGATTTTTAATTACTTTTGCTCTCTACTGTATCTAAAATTAGCCATGTAATAATACAAAAGCATATACATTTTTAAATTTTCATTAAATGTCTTCACATGAAAAAATAACAAAAAAATTAGCCTCTGTAGATAAAAAAACATTTATTTAACTGTAATTTTTGTATTAAAACTATGTAATTTGCCAAAAGCCATTAATTTTTATAATCCAGTATTATGTTTTAGTTACTTGTTATTTTATCATGTTGGGATATAAAATCGAGCTACACATATGGGCTGAATCGATTTGATAATATTTATTTTATTAAATTGGGTTTTATTCTTTTAGCTGAGTCTGTACCAAAACCAACAACAAAAAACCTAGTAGACAGTAAGTACAGTTGATTTATTGCAGTAAAGTTATTTTCTCGGAAAAAGCCACTGTTTCGTCGTAAATTTTCATTTAATATGGAGACTGACTGTTTTACGTAAAACGTTTATTGCATAATAAATTTATTGGGGGTTAGTTTAAAGGCCGTATAGACCTGCGTGCAAAATGTTATCTGTGTAAAGTAAATCGATTTACACATAAAAAATTGACATTTTCCGCCGGCAATACTAACTTGAAGTTAAAATGGCCACTCTATTGTTTTATAGATGTCGCTCTATAAAATATTTAATTTAAATCATTTTTAGATAATATTAACTATTTGTCGTAGAAAAAGTATAGTATGAAACTCGTTTATAAACTTTTCTAGACACTCAAATTCGTGACTAAAATGAAGTTTATCAAACTTGATACATAATATACTATTATTGATTAAATGTTTGATTCTGTTTTGTTTTCCAGTTGCGATAGCGAATTCCATTCCTTTCATTGGTTTTGGATTCTTGGACAATTTTTTCATGTTGTTCTTTGTAAGTAACAAAGTTATTCTGTAGTAAATATTTTTGTAAAATCTAAATTATTTATTTTGTAACATCAAAATTTAATGCACCTTAACAAATTTGGAAAATATGGATCTATTTAACTATGATTTTAAATATATTTGTTAATAAATATTATAATAATTGTTATTATTATAGGTAGTTTTTTTCCCGGTAAAAGTAAGTTTTTCTTGGGATTTTTTACGTGTTTTGTGGTTTGTCCCGATTTTCCATATTTGTTCAAGATCCACAAGTATGTATGCACTAACATTTCTATGTATTGAAACTTATTCCATGTTTTTTCCTGTTTTACATTTAAAACATTAAAACTAATTTGCTAAATAAGTCATCCCAAGTGAAAAATAATTAAAGGAGAGTTTTGTTATTGTATTTGACCAGTGGCGTTCCAATGAAACACGTGTTTTCATTACAAAACAAACTTATATAAGTTGACTTGACTTTTGAAAAGAGCTTCCAATGTCAGAATTTAAAGGACGTTGCCAACACGCTTGTGTTTTTTATTTTAGGTAGCTTAAGTTATAACTATAGTTACTTATTTTTGTATGTTGAATGTGTATGTCAGCCCATCATAGTTTGTAGGCGTACTATTTCTTTACAGTGTTGCCAAAAGAAAAAAAATAAATCAGAGGATAACGTCATGTTAGTTATATTACCAGTAGGTTTCTTTTATTAGTTAAATCATACTGAAAAATAACCTTTAAATTTACCTTAAGGTTATAGAAACCGGTTGGTAAATTTAAAGGGGTATTTTTTAGTTCATAGTAATCTTACAAACATGTTAATGGTTAAATACAAGTAAATTTTGGTAAAATGAAAGAAGACATTATAATTTTATAATTTAAATTTAAAGATTACCTAGGTACTTAAAAAGAATATATGTTTATGAAATTTAGTTTTGGTACCTTATAATCCTTTTCCCCCAGTGGCGGCCCGTCAGGGGAGGCAGGTGAGGCAGTGCCTCATCATAGAGAATTAAAAAATTAAGTATAATTTAAATATTTTACTTTCTATAATATACTATAAATTTTTAATATTTGGATTACATGAATTGTGAAATGGTCAATAAAATTGATTGATTTTATACGTGGAATACCCAGCAACATTTAAATTATTTGAATTTGAAACGACCGCAATTTAAACTAATATTTATAGCTAGATGATTGGCTCAGAAGCATGCCTGAACTAATTTAGACTAATTTAGACTCACGATTGTTGTCTCGTCCTATTACAATGCGATATCATAGTTCTCCTTCTCTCGTATTAGCATACGCGAGGCAGGCACGCCTACATCCAAGGAAATAAGCAGGTGTTGTGGCAAAACTGTTGCGGAATTGTAGATAAACTATACTTCACACGTTTTTTTTAAATTCGATAATAAATGGTACTATTTTTCTTATAATAAATCGATTTAATCGAAATTATATTCTAAAATAAACATATTTTAACACTATCGCCATCTTGTAGCCATCACAGTAACCAATAAAATAAATACAGATTCCTTCTTTAGGTTTGTTTTGGTTATAAAATTCTGAACTGTTTAAAGAACAAATCTGTGGTTATTTACGCAATATTTTGTTTATTTTTTTTCTATGAGTTTGTCTGTTTTATGATTCTTTTGTAAGTGGTTTATTCTGTGGGTTTAGTTAATTGAACTTGGTGATTTATGTGAATTTAGTCATTATGGATATTACGGTCATTACCGATATTGTTGACCTTTACCTGGTTCTTGCTGAACAATGAAATATTAATTAGACAAAAATGAGGTTTATTTAAAATAAACGTAATTTTTACAATAAAATATATTTAATTGACAAAGTAGAGGATTCTTTCCCCACCACAGTCTAAGTTTTTTACTTAATTTTAAGTATAGGTTGGGAACTGCGACGTCAGTTTTTTAAGTTGGGTTTAAAAAAATTTCTTCGCCTTTAAATGAGGGCGAAACCCTGCCTCACCAAAATGAAATGTCACGGGCCGCCACTGTTTTCCCCAATATACAAAAGCAAATAAACAATAAGAAGTTTTGCAAAATTATTTTCCTTATATTTTCCTTCCTTTCCTTATTTTCCTTATTCCTTTATATTACCCCCTCCAAAAGAAATAATTATCGACGCCCTTTACTTGGGATATGTCAAAATATCCGTAGTTCAATAAAAATGTTGTTTTTCACTTAAATAACGCCATCATTGATCATTATTAAGGCAAGACTGAAATAACAAAAAAAAAAATTCTTAGGGCGACTACATCGACCTGTACCTGGGCTCCTACTTCTGCCTGACGACGATGGGAGCTGCGGCCCTCGGCAACACGCTCTCGGACATTCTCGGCATCGGCTCGGCCTTCTACGTCGAACGACTGGCCAACAGGATCGGCTTCAGCCCGCCCAAGCTGTCCCCGATACAGATGGACATGTCTTGCTCGCGGAACTCGGCCAACTTCGGCCGCGTGTTCGGCGTCACGCTCGGCTGCCTGCTCGGCATGTTCCCCCTCCTGTTCAGGAAGGGGAAGGCGGAGGAGGAGGCCGACGCGGCCGCGGCCAAGGAGAAGGAGAAGGAGAGCGCTTTGGAGGCGTCCATTTGATTGGATTCGAGTCAATAGAGTAGAATAAAGGTTACGAATTCGAGAGCCATCGGCTGGTTCCGTTTGGCTCGTTTTCGAGTATGCGTGAGTTTAACATGTTATTTAATTTTTTTAGACAAGGACAATTTTCTCGCAAATACTGTAGAAGGGTTTAATTTGAATTTGGCAACGGTGTAGAATAGGGTTTGTCATTTTTAAGCATTTATTTTTTTCAACTAAAAAACAGGCTAAAAACTTTCAGGAAGGTGAAAAAAGAAACCTCTAAAAATTTGAGCTCTTAATATTAACATTAAGTGGTGCCTGTTCCTAACTTTCCATTTTCCATTTAAATAACATGGAAATTCTTTTTTCTTATTTTGGTAGGAAATTGAACGCTTTACAAAAAAGTTTCAATATATTTTTTCATAGAGTGAGCCGTTCTGAAGGTATTCAAACTTAAAGTTGCCTTTAACATTTCGAATCGCGGCACGTTAGCGTGCCTCTAGTCACTGTGTAATCCGAACGGTAATATACCGACTGAGCCGATATAATCTTTTATCAGAGTTATCGACTTTTAAAAAAAGATTAATAATTCAATACAATAACAAATTAATTGTTTTATTTAATCTAATTTATAAGACATAAAAGAGTATTAGTTTAATAAAATAAAAGTCATAATTTCATACATTTGCAAGTTTGAATACCTTCAGAACGGCTTACTCTGTGAAAAAATAAATTAGTACTTTTTTGTAGAGCGTTCAATTTCCTACCAAAATAATTTTTCAGTTTGTTTTTACAATGCTTAAATGTCAAGATACAAAAATAAGAAACAAGAATTTTTTTTCCATGTTATTTAAATGGAAAATGAAAATTTAGGAACAGGCACCACTTAATGTTATTATTAAGAGCTCAAATTTTTGGAAGCTTCTTTTTTCACCTTCCTGAAAGTTTTTAGCCTGTTTTTTAGTTAAAACAAATGTTGCTCAAAAATGACACACCCTAGTGTAGAATGTATAAAAACAAATATATTTCTTTTAGCTGCAGATAAAACAAGATAATAATAATGAATTTTTTACATGTAAGTTACATTTTTAAAACAATTAAAATTTAATTTATTTCAATAAAACAAATATTTTATCCAGTGTGGTTCTCACTTATATATAAAAAACTAAATGTAATATTTTTAATTATGATTGGAAGTTTGGACACCCCTGGTATTCCAAACTGATTCTGTCGCTAGATGGCGGCACATTCACTGGCGTTTGGAATAACAGGGGTGTCCAAACTCTCAATCAGTCGGAATTAAAAATATCTCCTAGGGTATTTTTGATTTAGCGAATTAAAAATATGTATTTAGCAAAAAAATGCAAATATTTTTAATTAAGTAGGTAACTAAATAAACAATATTAATTTGGCATAAAATTAAATCGATTTTTTAATTAAACGAATTAAAAATTTTATTCCATAAACGAGAACCACACTTAATGTATTTCTTAATAAATTTAGATTTTCAAAACAGAAATAATAAAAAAAATTATAAAAAATTTATGTAAAAATTCTATTAAAAAAATGTATTTGTAGAACTTTTTAAACACACAACAGTCAAACAAATACATTTTTTTATATTACAAACAAAATCTGTGACATGCTAAACTTATACTTGACATATCTAGCGCCTTCTTTAGAACAACACTGAGTACTCAAAAAGGGTCAATAAAGTGTTGTATTATTAAAAAAACGACTTTTACTTGTTTCTTTTTTAATCTAGGCGCAGGCGCAATTTCAAACTAAGTCCATGTAAATATATTACTATAGTAAATAAAGTAGATAACTACCAGGTGTTGGTATCTATATATTATATATGTATTTAGATACTGGTATCTAGTAGATACAATTTTGACCAACGGTAGATATTCCTACACTTGAGTTCTATAGAAATGGTTTTTATTCATTTTTATTGAACAATGTAGGAATGGTGTAAATTGTCTTCTTATTTTAAGATTATAAATGTGTTTTATGATATTTATTAAGAAATTTAACTTATAGTATTTATTTTATTCATTAAATATTGTATTATACAGGGTGTCCGAAAAATGTCACCATCGTTTTGCATTTTTAGCAAATAATTTTAACAAAGTTCCTTGTGCAATATGAGCAGCAATAATTATAATTAATATTACAGGGTTTGCTGTACAAATATTACGCTTGTATTAATTTATAATTTTATTACTTGGCAAATTTTTCTGATTCTGCTTGGTAATTCTGCCATTTTTTGTAAAATGTAAAGAGTGAAAAGAAATTTAGTAGGTACAGGGTCTGTAGAAACTATTTTTCTAACCTGTAACAATGTGGCCATTCTTTTAAAAACCCCTTGTAAAAATTGTCCATTAAAGAGCTTTGCTTAGTGTATAAATCTACTATTATAAGAGTACAAACGAAAATATAATAAAATCTGTATGTTATACCAAATGGTTTTAGTTATTTCCCCAAATAATCCCTGAATAAAAAATAAAAATGTCAATTATTTGGAAATTAGTTTATTCTGTATTAAATTGGTTACATTTTCTCGACTTTAGGATTTAACGTTATATAATAGGTTCGGTGCAAGTTTGTGGTAGAAGAGCCCGTATTTTATTGTGTCCGTCCATTCCGCGTGCCAAGAAGTTTCCATTTGATCCTGAATGCGCGTTTTGACCGCTTTATCCAGTCTGTCTTCGATTCTATAACGATCCAACTCCAAGTCGTACGTTTCAAAAAAGAAGGGATTTTTTAGAGGCAACTCGAATTTTTCCACGTAGTCCGACGTCGTAGCAAGCCAGTTCATGGCGGGAATGCTCCACCAATCCCACGTGACCGCCTGAGAGTTGCTCTCATTGGCCGAAATGGAAGCCAGCAGAATCCCGGTTTTAAACACGTCCACCGCGTCCATCTTCAAGAACTTACACGTGTCAGTCTTATTTTCGCCGTAGACGTAATCACTTCCAACATTTGGCATCTCGATCATTTTCCTGCCCGCGTAGAGGGTCGTTCCGGGTATCTGGCTGGTGAGAAACACGGAGCCAATCAGCGTCAAGATGCCGGCGGCGTAGGTGGCCATGAGAATGACCGACAGCGCCACCAGGCACTGCAACAGGTTGTGCAGGTCAAGAGTGCGCGAGAGGATCTCCAGCTCGGTGTAGGTCAAAAAGCCGCGCGATTTACCCTGCCTTTCCGCCAAAGCGTACTCGATTTCGTTCAGCTTTTTCCAAAATTTTAGCTCTCCCACGTAAACTTCCCATTCCTGCAAGGAAATGGCAGTTTTTTTAAATAATTTTTTAACTTATTGAAATAAAATTATTGTCAAATGAGTATGACATATTTTTGTAGGAAATTTAACGCTCTACAAAAAAGGTCCGATGTGTTTAATTGAGAAGATATTCGTATCAGTACGCATTGGGACAAATATCTTCTCAGCTCAATTGACAATAATTATTTTACAATGTGTTACAAAATTATTATAAAAATATATATTTTTTTATTATTCAAACTTTCATCTTTTAAATGGATTGATTTATAATGAAATATGGTCTTTTTCATATGCATCCATTTTTCAGAAGTAAAAAAAAAATATTTGATTTTTTTAAATCACCCTAAAGTAATGTTTTGCAAGTTTTTTCTATTTTTTTTTCTCAAACAGAAAATAAAACAAATGGAAAGATATAAAACTACAACAGCTGTATGTTCATTTTAAAAATACCTTAAAAAATATTTGCAAATAAAAAAATTATTAGCAAAAAATATTAAATGTACAGGGTATTATGTAATTAATGTAATATATTAAAATACTGAAAAAATATGAAGAAAAAATATGCATTAGAAGTTTTTTATATTTTTTGTGACACGCCACTGGTTACACACTTGTGTTCTGTGAGTATATAGATACCAACCAACAAAGTAGCTAGGCATTGCCATGGCAGTTGTAAAAAATTGTTACTAACAATTTTTTTAGCAAAAAATAAATAAAACTTGATAAATACAAAAGCTCTAATACCCTTCTGTATTTATTTACTCATCCAGCTATTAGCTTAAGCAATGATTAGAAAATTTAGTACCCATTTTAAAAACTCCATAACCACAAAATTAATTTTTTCATCGGTTTTTTTCTTCCTGTTTACTCAGTTAAAATTAGGACGACTTCACAGGTTAAACTTTAAACATTAAATTTGTGAGTAAATCCAAAAGCACTTAAGGTGGGTTTATGCAGACTTAAAATTTAAAACTTAACATTTAAGATTTAAGAATTAAAAATAAAAATATCAAGTGGTATCAAGTTGGTACTACAATTTCCGAGAAACCAAAAACTTTTCGGGATTAAAGTTTATGAAATATTTCAAAAGGACAATAATAATCTATCAAAAAAGGAATTGGACCAGGTAAAAAATATATTTCTATCATTTTAGCACAGTAATTTCAAGAAAAACACGAAACACGAATTTTTAAATTTTCAGTTACAACAACCATAGAAAAAGAAGACAACCGTTTAATTTAAAATTCCCTAGTTAACGCTTGCGCAAATACGATTTTGTTTAAGAATTAATAATTAAGACTTAAGAAAGATAAAAGTTTATTATCTTTCAAAGTCATTTTTCTTAGTTGTTAAATGTTAAGTCTTAACTCTTAAATGGTGCATAAACGACCTTTAAGGAAATCAATGAAATAACCTAACTTTTAACTTCTTAAATGTTAAATGTTAACTCTTAAGTTTTAAGTCTGCATAAACCAGGCATTAGTTAAGATATTTACAATTTGAGAACATAACCTAAAATTTGAAAGAAATGCACTAGATTCTGTCATAAAAGTTGCCAGATTTTGTTTGAGTTTACCTTTATTACAAAAATGACATAATAAACAATTGATAAAAACGCCAAATTAACAATTTGCATCAATGTTGATTTGGTCATTTTTGTAATTAAGCTGAACAAATTTAATTAAACAAAATTTGGCAAAGTTTTTGACAGAATCTGAAAACGCTGGTTGTTACCAACCAAAACATAATAAATTAAATTAGGCAAACAGATTAGACTTAAGTTCCTAGTTGACCAGTGGCGTACTTTTTGATATGATAAAGGTTATTACAAATTATTTTTTAGAATTTAGAAAAAGAAAGTTTCAGGTGCTTTTTATGGACCCTAAGGAACTACCCATTTTAATATATTACATTAATTACATAACACCCTGTGCAATTAATATTTTTTGCCAATAATTTATTCCTCAAAATTGTGAAAAACTGATTATTTTAAAACAATTTGAAATTTTAGAAACCTAAAAGGCAACATTTAGACATCTGTCAACAATGTTAACCTTAGTTGCTTAATTTTAATTATTTTCATGGTTTGTGGTTTTCATAACAACCATTTTTAAATTGGAAAAAATTATTTAATACTTTTAGACACTTTTCAATTTAACTTATAAAATAAAACTTATTAAGGTTTTAAAAGTAACTCAGATGGGCTTGGATATTATCTCAGCACAATTCCGCGCTCGCGGCGCGTCAGTAGTCACTTCCATCCCCAAAACCCGTAAAAACTGCATTTTGAGGTTAGATTAATGTCAAATTTGACAGTTAAACGATAAATTCGTAAAAATGTACTCACAATGGCCTGTAGAAAGTCTCTTTCCAACGAAATTAACTCTTTGACGGTCATTCCTCCAGATGCCGCCCATTCGTCCATAAAAACCTCATCTGATTCTCCATCATCAAATAAAAATTTGCTCGAAATCATCTGAAAACATACATAACCTTACTTAATGCCATTTCTCGCCAAATTCTGCCGTACCAATGAAACTAAGAATAAATCCGACGGAGCAGTCCTTGCTAAATACTCTGGGTTGCATTTTTTAAGTCTTTCTAGGTAGAGCATGGCCAAAACCAATGAGCACGGGGATACACAAGCGTTTCGCGATATTTTTGAGGCATCGTAGCAGTCCAGTCTTTTCAATGATTTTCCCTTTTGTGCTTCGGAAAACAGTTCCGCCGCCAATTCTAAAAAATAATCGTTAATAGGGGTTTATTTTGTTGTTTAAACGAATGCCACCTGTTACTGGCAGACTGAGAGCATCCGTTTTTGGCAATTTTCCATAGTACAGAGTTTTTTTGATACGCGATAAGTATTTTTGATGATCGCCAACACTCTAGAACAAACAAATTTGATAACAACAAATGTTATTGCATAAAATACACAAAACTCACCTTGAAGGACTTTCCAGAAGATCCCTTCGATATTTTCGACATTTCGTCGAATTTACCGCCAATTTTCTCGTATTTTCAAGTATTTTCAACGAAATATGCACTAAACACGAGGATTTTCACTTTATGAGGTCATCTTATGCGATTCACTTTTTTACTTTAAAAGGAGAACCGATGTTTTCACGCAAGGTAGTACACGTAAATTTAGAAAAACATCCGCCTCTGTCCATCTCACAATTCCCCATTCAAAACAACATTCACCGTCCTTTTTTATATATTATTTATATTAATCATTTTATTCTACACGCCAAATATTTCTAGATTATTAAAGTGCTTTAATTATAGCTTAGATATTAGATTATAAAGCGTAATAACTCGATTGTCTTCTCAACTTTTGCTGTTTTAGTTTTTCCTTAATAAAATCCTTATCTTTAATTAAACGCCTATAGTTTTTTCGCATTTTCATAAATAAAACAAATTGGGTAATTTATAGTTAAAATGTCTTTGGAAAATAAAGCAATTTCTGTTGTTTTGCAACGTTGCCGAGCTATACATTTTCCACCCAATAAACGGTTGAATACTTTAAATTAACAGTGTTAAAACCGTCATTTTATGTTACTTAACAAGTTAAATTGCAATAACGGTTAAATTTTTAAATATAATTCGTTTTTTTCACGTAAATTATAGTGGGGGTATCAAGGAGGTAATCTGACAACACATTGTTTTCTAAGGAAATTGACGTCTCGAAATGTCAAATTACGTTTATTTGGCAGTAAATTCTGTGCTGCAGTGAAATTAAAATCCGTTAATTCGCACAAATTGATGAAATCGGGTTACGAAAACTCCACACCTAAATTAACATGAACAATGATAAGTTTTTGGAAGAAATCAGGTAGGTTTTAACGTCGATGTAATTAGGTTAGATGTTTGTTATGATTTTTTTATGCAGTTTCCGGCCAAAATCGCACGAATGCGGGCCCTGTGAACGAAGTTAGTAGTCGGAGGGAACCCTTGAACGTAAATCCAGCACAAGTTAAGGATATCAAAGGCCCGCTGGCAAATTTTGATGATGAGGGCCTTTTTGACATTGGTGAGATATGTTTTGTGATTAGCCAATCAGATGTTAAAAACAATCTGATTGGTACCGACCACAGATTATTGTTGGAGTCTTACTAAACTTTTAGTGTATTTTTCAGATGATTTTGAGTCGAAAAGGGAAAAAACCAGGCTCTCTAAAACACTCCAGGAAATCCTATCTGATAAAGGTGCACTAAACTACTTTATTCAATACTTGGAATCGAGAAATGCCTCTCAGTACATTATGTGCTATTTGGACATTGAAACCTTCAAGTCGGACATAAAAGCTCAACCGGACTTCTTGCACAGCAAAATAGAACACGACAGTCTTTCAGTGTCGACGGATTGTGACTCGTTGACTGCGGATACGAGTAGCTTGAATGATTTTCCTTCGGAGAGGACTAGTCATGACGTGATTTGTGATAATAGTGATAGTTTAAGGTTAAAAAGCGAGCTTGAAGAGTTTACGCACTCGGCACTGAATTTATTCAAGAAGTACGTTGCTCAAGAGGCGGTGTGTAATATAAGGATAAGTGAGGAGATTCGTAGGGAGGTTATGGAGAGTATTTGCGCGACTGAGAAGGTTTTGTCGGGGGAGTGCTTCGAAGGGGTGCAGCAGTTTGTTTACGGTGTTCTTGAAGTCGAGTATTTCGGGGCCTTTTTGGGGACCGATTATTACTGCAAGCACCAGATAGACGTTTTGACTGGTGGCGGTGTGGTTTTGGAGGATATTCTGTATAATGAAACGGCTCTGTTTTATTTTATGGAGTTTTTAGAGCAGGAGAATACCCGCGCGCTTTTGGAGTTCTGGATTGCCGCTAGTAATTTTCAGCAGCAATTGCACGATCAAAAAGACTTTTTTGATCCTATTGAGGCTCAGAATGACGCTGTTGTTTTGTACGATAAATATTTTTCGTTGCAAGCTCACTGTCCGTTGGGGTTCTCTGATAAGGTTAGGTTTGCCGTCGAACAAAATATTTGCGGGGAGGACGGGTTGATTTTGGATTGCTTTCATTTACCCCTGAAAATAATCGAGAAAGTTTTGGATGAACACCACTTGAAATCTTTCCTGGCCTCGCAACTCTTCTACAAGTATCTATCGGAGCTAATAAACACAGTTCAATCGAACGGGTATTCTACGAGCATCGACTCGAAATATTCGCCTTCCGATTGCAGCAGCGAAAAGTCGTTTTGCACGAACACCTTTCTGGCGCTCGAGATGCAGCCCCACTGCGCGAGGAGGAAAGAAAATCGCGATATGTCCATCGACACTCGCGAGTTGTACGATCCCGATTCGCTGTGGAAGCGCAAAAAAACGCACAGGCTTTCTTTGGGCCATATGACCAATTTGGGCAAGTACGAGACTGAGTTCGAACCGGAACCTGACCGGAAGGGATTCAAGTTGAGTACGGTAGTGAAAAAATTTGTAAGTCTTGAAGAGGAAACCAAGAAAAAGGAAGACATGGCCTGGCAAGTCGCCGAAATGATCATCAAGGATATTACCAACGTTACATTAAACGATAAAGTCTAAAAACGCTTCTCAGTACAAATAGAGAATTTATTTTTGTATTTGTTCAAAAAGATTTCATCCGTAAAATTAAGGAAAACCCAGTATTATATTATTTTTTGTTTCAATCGTTTATTTTTTTGTTTTTCCCTAGTCATAAAACAAGTGAAAAAATATGACTAAACTAAAGCTTAATTTTCATGTATCCGTTTGTCCGTTAAGCTTAGTTTTCATGTATCCGTTTGTCCGTTAGTCCGATCATCCGGGAGCGCTCTTATTGCTCCAATTATATATCAAAATTATGACATTTTATCGGTCCGTATCGTACGTCTGACAAAGAAAGTTGAAATAATTTTAAGTTATCCGTCACTACACATCTGTTTTTGACGCCTAACGTTATTTTAAGATGATTTATTTTCAAATCTTTTTATACTTTTTCAATAAGATTGTAAAACGGAAATATTACGTTCGTTATGTGAATAATGTTCTACTGTTAATAAGAATAACGGAAAAAAGAAAAGACAAAAAAAAATAATTAAAACTAGAACTAAAAGGACCTGCTTAGTAAATTTAGTAAAGTGAATATACTGACACTTAATTTCTATTTGTCGCCAAATCAATCCGCTAAACATCATTAGAAAACGGATGCATGAAAATTAGAACATTTATTATCGGACGATTTTATTGAAAAACGGATACATGAAAATTAAGCTTAAACTGTCTTATTGAAAATTTTATATCAAAAAATGTATATTAGATACTTACCTACTAAAAATTAAGATTTATTATCTGTATATTAGAATTATCTTGTATATTTGTGGTAAACATAGATTAAATAAATTTTATAAAACGTTTTTGTTTCCATTTTATTATCTCAAACTACCGTTAAAACTTAGTTATTTAAATAGTAGCAAAATGAGGAGTTTGATAAATAAACAACAGTAGGCAGCGAAAGATAATTCAGCGGTGGCAATGTAGTAAAAATAAAACGTATTTTAATGAACAAATTAATACTTTATTACCAATTAAATTACCATTTAAAACTAAAAAATTGCAAGAAAAGTAAATAGATTACTATATAAATTGTTAATTTGTTGTTAAAACGGCAAAATTAAGGTTTCAAACTATCATATTTTTGTGTTTCGTAGGTTGGCAGCTCGAAATTTGAAATGATAATTACCCTACTCCCAATTTGGGAGTTTTTATGAAGAATGATTTTTGTGTGTAAAACGCATAGTTTTTCCTATTGGCACTTATGAATAATAAATCTGGCAACGCGATTCTGAAACGTCAAATTTGACATTCAAAATCAAAACATCAAGTCATGAAATAACATCATTTGGTCAAATTATGTTTGTATCATTCAAAAATGTATTTAGAAAAACCATTTTCGCAAGATCTTACTGCCAAAGGGCCGCAAAAAACGATAGAAAAACAATGGGGATTATAGGTTAGAAATTTATTTTTCTTCATTTATTTCACACAAACTTGTGTTTATTTTTAGTAATTGGGGATGAAATTCTTAAAGGCGAAGTGCAGGACACGAATTCGGCGTTTTTGGCGCAGGAATTACACAAATTAGGGTTAAAATTACAAAAGGTTCGACTTGATTTTTAACATATTAATTATTTAATTTAACCTTGCAGATTTCGGTTATAGGTGATGAAATCAACGATGTAAGCCAGGAAGTGAGGTTATTCTCTGGTAAATATGATTATGTAATTACATCAGGGGGAATAGGGTGTACCCACGATGATATAACTTTTGAAGGTAAAGACACTGATTTTTTTAATACTGTTTTAAAATTTCAGTATTTTAGCTGTTGCCAAAGCTTTTAATGTACCTTTATATGAACACCCTGAACTAAGGAAATTGTGTTTTAAATTTTATAAAACTGAAAACCCAGACAGTCCAGGATTGAAGTTAGCCAGGGTATGTTTTACAATTGGTTTACTTATTTTTATTGTATTTAATTCCTAGGTTCCGTCAATAGCAAAACTAAACTGGGAAACATCTGCAGGCTACCAAATAAATTATCCCATAATTTCAGTTAACAATATTTACATATTTCCCGGTATTCCACAATTGCTGAGAAAAGCATTTTTGGCGTCTAGTAAAGTTTTATTTAGAACTGATTCGCAATTTTTTACAAAAAATATATTCTGTAATGCCACCGAAGATAAAATTGTCGATATACTAAATACGGTTGTACAAGAATATCCACAGGTTCAATTTGGGTCTTACCCTAAATTAAACGATAGGTAATGGGTACATTATTTTGAAGTTATTTCATAATAATTTGATAATTTCAGCGAATATAAAGTAAAGTTAACCATCGAGTCAAGTAAAGAAGATTTAACAGAAAAAGCTTACCAAAAACTTCTTGATTTACTGCCAAAAGGCTTCATTGTAAAATAATTTGACCAAATAAATCATGCACAACAAAACTGAATTTTTTGTTATAAACTCGAAAACAAATTGTTCCTGTATTCACACTAATTCAAACGGAAATCGCCAGGTGGCGCTAAAAAATTAGTTCACGCATACGTCACAAGATGGCGTCAGTTACACCGAATTTCATTTATTTCGCGTTCTAACCTCAATAGTTAACGCTATTCTTGATTTTCGCCAATTTTAATATTTTACCCTGCTATTTCGGCTTTTTATTGTGTATTTTAGTTGATTTTATCGGTTTTTACGCAGTTTTAACTTTTTTGTGTTTTTATTTGTGTACCTACGAACTTTTTTAAAAGATCGGTGTGTTTTCTGGTTTTAAAGACTTTTTCTTTATTGGTCGTACTTTTTGAGAAGTGTAAGTAAAATTTGGTTGTTTTTAGTTTGTAAGGGTTTTAAAGCGTTTAAAATGAGTATACAGTTGGTACATAACCTCAATTTGCTAAGGTCTCAATAATTAGGGGGTGTTTCTTCTAATTTGCGACTTTCTATATAAAATGCTCTCTATTCAAAACAATACAAACTTGAAGCAATTGTAGGTTATGTATTCAACCGAAAAATATCTAGTTTATCCACTAAATAATGTAGATAGACAATCCCACGGGATTTAGTTCAATTTATTCGGGAATGTCTTCATTTTTGCCCAAGTGGCCCTGCGAGAATTAAGTATAGAGATTAAAAGGGATTGGATAGTTCCCTCTAATACTCCCAAGGATTTTATTATTTTTTACCCTTGTTTTTTTATTGGTATTAAACGCATGCCTGAAGGCAATATTTTATTTAGCTAATAAAAAAGTACATTTTTGTAATTCTTTTGAGGAAAACATCAAAAGAAGGGTGAATTAAAAAGGGGAGTAATTATTATGATTAAAGCTTTTAAAATTGAGTGAAAGGAGTTTATTGAATTAAAGATATTGGGATAATTTCTGGTTGTATTCCGGGTATCTCAAGTTTAAAAAGTTTATCATAAAAGTAAAAAAGACATTTACAAAGTTTTTGAAAGGTAATGTAAAAGTAACCTTGATTTTTTTAAACTTACATAATTATAATACTTATATTTAAAAATGGTGGGACGAATTCGCACAGTGGGATAAATTAAAAAAAATTGGAGGACAAATCGCACTTTGGGGCAAATTTAAAAGTGGTAGGACAAATTCGTGCACTAGTATAAATTTGGGAAAAATTGAGGAAATGTCCAAAATTGACAGAATTTTTAAAATTTCCAAATGCTTTCCTAAAATTTCAGGTTTTCAAATTTTTTAAAATAGTCATGATAAATATTTGTTCTTTTTTTATTTTTTGTAATGCAATAAATTGGTCCCCTTTTAAATGGATTAAATTTGAATTAAATTTGAATTTAAAATGACATCGACCGTTATTTTTATCGTTTTAAATTGCAAAACAAAAAAGGGGAAATTAAAATTGCAAAATCATTAAAAATTAAAAAGAAACAATATGAAAACATTGTAAAATAATTATTGTATTAGGATTTTGTAATAACGAATTTAACTCGATTATGTACTTGATTAATAAATGAAATGACACGAAGTATTGTTTTGGCAATAAATAAATATTTTAATTATTGAAAAATGCTGTAAAACCGAAACGAACTCTCTTTGGACTGCACTATGTTAAATAAATTTAATTAATTTATCAATATCGATAAAAGTTTAAAATAGATATTTTATAAACGATAAACCGTATATATTAAATTTAATAGTTAATGCGGAGGATTTATGTTGTTTTTTCCATATAAAATATAAACCACATTTTATAAATGCGAGCAGAAATTATTATATCATGCAAATTTAGCCGTTTTAAATTATTTAAACTTTTACGTCCGGACAATCAATTATAATTTAATTTAAATTCGAAAATAATTTTACTATGCGTATATATTTTTTATTTCCCTTGTGTACTCTACACAAGGTTTAAAATAAATATATGGTACATTTTTAAAAAAGGTTTTGTATTATTGTTCTTTATAATTTACTCCCACCTTTAAAACGCCCCCCATGGTACTATGCTCCACACCTCAAAGTCCCACCACGTGACCACGTACGGAACGCAGTCTTTTAAAAATTTGGCATTTACGGCTTTTTAGGTTATGTATCTGTCAAAGTATAGTCAACGAAAGAAATAATATTAGGTTTAGGCGTTAAAAATGTATAAATCTTTATAACATTAAAATAACAATGGATGGTTTAAGATTTTAAGAATATAAATACTGCATTTAATAAAATTCTAAAGTGTATGGTGCCAAATAAGTAATTTTTGTGCATTTGGTCCAAATATCTGGTTTTCTCCATAAAATAATTTTAACTAAACAGCATTTATTAAAAAAAATCTAGCTTTTTTATTATGGAATAAGAATATCTGTGTTAAAGGTAGGTTAATATATTATAACAAAAATATCATCTAATTTTGTAATTTTATGGTTAGAAAAATTTATTTTGACCAAAATAAATAAGTATTTTGGATTATTTAAAAGACAGTATAATATGGTATTTAAAAATGTGGTAGTTTTTCTTATACAGCTCAAAGTGTACCTACATACAAATAGTTAAAAAGCTTCGACTGAACTACATCAAAAAATCATTATAACTTTAATATTTTAATAAATCACATGTCATGGGAGTATTAAATATTTTCACATTGCAAGTTTCTCTAAAAATTGTTTGTTTTCTTATAATCTAACTTAAAGTAGGTATGCCGAGAGGTATGCACAAGTTTTGTCGTTAGAAGAAAAAAAGCTTCAATTTAATTTGAACCATATTCAACAATTATTTAGTATACCTATATTTATTTATGACCATATTAACACACTCTTCCAAATAATCCACTTATTTATTTTGGTCAAAATAGATTTTTTTAACCTTAAAATACAAAATTAGATGATATTTTTTGTTCTAATACATTAACCTATCTTTGATACAGATATTCTTATTTCATAATAGAGAAGTTAGATTTTTTTTTAATAAATCCTGTTTAGTTAAAACTATTTTATGGAGAAATGTAGACCCAATGCACAAAAATATCACTTATATTGCACCTTACACTTTGGAATTTCATTAAATGCAGTATTATGAACGCAAAATTATTCCAATTTTTTAGGTTGTAAGACTGCGCGGTCTTAGGCGACCTAACCTTTAGTGGCAACAATTCTAAAATATTTCAATATTTTAAAAACTAAACACAAGTGGTTTTTAAGAGAAAAGCCAAAAAAGACTGATGAAACTTTTGTAAAAATTAATTTAAAAAGGCTTGATTGTCGGGGATAATTTAGGGAGAAGTTAAGTGAATTGTTGAAAGTTTAAACTGGGAATTAAAAAAGAAAGTCAACAATTTATTTTCCTAATTATGGAACGAAAAACTCACTTAGCGAATTAAAAGTTTTTAATTTTTGTATGTATATTTTGTTCATTCATCTTTTAGCAGTCAAAACTAAAAGTAACTGTTTTAACTTTTCAGTAGCATTTTTACATTTAAAGAGAAGGTAAGGTAGCACAAGTGGAGAGATCTGGTCTGGAGGTACCAACCATTACTCACCGCTGTTACCATGGGTCCCAATCTACATACTGGTTCCGAGACAATGGCCATTGATTTACTGACAACTATTTAATTCAGGACATAATGTCTCTTTGATTTGTGACAATGCAATCGAAAACATTATCGTGGGACTCGTAAATCAGCCAAGCGGCTGTCCGATGGAATTTCGCAAACGAAACGCAAAAAAAAGTTTTGAAAATAAAATTGAAGGAGACCTGATCCCATATAAAAAAGGCATCATAAATAGAAAAAGTCGACTAGACGGGGCACTATTAAAACGATTTCGAATGTAAACTATTCACTTCATTATTCCGGGCTTTGTTCTTCTTTTTCTGCTGCTACCGATGCTGCTCGCTTATGACTGCTGACGTTTTTATGCTTAATGTATCATTTATGGGCTTGATAAGTAAGATAAGTTACTTTTAACAGTCCCCAAGATGCCACAATATGGTATTGAAAATTAAAAAAAAATACTGTTAATTTTCTTTTCACCCTGCAGATGGGGTGAAAAAATAAAACATTTTGACATTTATACCATCAAATCCTAAGAAAACTAAAAATATCTGAGGTAGTAAAAGCATACTGAGAATATTATTAAAAATAAATAAAGAAATAATTTTTATAACCATTTATGTAGGTGTTACAAAAATTGATTCTATCCTCCGTGAATCTGTTTTTCTTTAAATTTTATGCAACGGATGGCGCTTTAATCATTTTAAATAAACAAAAACCTCTGTTTACGACATTATATATGCATGTGATTCCTGAAGGTCAGTTAGAATTTACATGCAGATGAGAGTGTTACTGTTTTATAATTCAAAAGTTTAAGTTAATTAATTTGCTATTTAAAAACCTATCCACCGTGAAGTGTAATATCTCAGTAAGTAGATTTTTTTTATAAATATTTTATGTATGTACAATTGTATTTTTAAAAAATATTAAGGTGTCAAAAGATACAATAACTTATTTTAAAAGTACAAAGGGATGTTGAAAAAAACATACACTTATTTTTATTAATATTGTAATAAATGAGTCATTAATGTATGTATGTATAGGCGCGATAAATCATCGGGATCAATGTTTAAATGTCATCAATTTCGATAAATAGATGTATGTATATAGTTTGGCCATTGGATAACAATCTATTCAACGCAAATTGAAAATTATCCTCGAGCAAGGGATAATTCACAAAGCGCAAATTCAATATTCTCCATATGCCCGTATTCCTACATTATATTATACGTTATACATACATCATGTAAACTATTAATTTTATAGGAACATGTGTTTTACATATTTTATGGTCTACACTTGGTAAATAAGTCGCACTGAGTGTCGCAACATTTGATAAGGTTAAAATGAATTTGTCCGCAATTTTAAGTTAAAATAACTACATGTTTACTTATGGGTAAGTTATTTTTACATTAAACGCAAACGGTGAAATAATGGTACAAATTAAGG